AAGAGAGATGCAATTTACCACACATTTATTGAGAGCCTATTACACAGAACAAACACTTCGGGAAGTAAAGGTTGTTTATTTCCTCTCCAAGGATGATATGTTTCATGAGTTCCCTTGTCCTAAGCTTCATTCTTCATAATGCCAAAGAGATCCATGGGTATGATTTTCCATATAGAGTTGAATGTTTTAGTTTTAATATTTTCTCTTCACTTGTCCTGGAAAAACATCCCCCCATAAAAGAGGTTTAGATTAAAGGCAGATGTAATAATATAATAAAGCAAACAAATGAAATCAACACTATGGAGAAAGAGCAGGAGTGCTTTAAACCCAGCTTGAACCAGCGGGCAAGAATGGCATGATCTCCTAGCATTTAAAAATACTAGGGCAAATGTGGTCTTCTTTGGCTTAGAGTGGGAAGACTTATAAAAAATTCAGCAAGAAGAATGCTTCTTTTTGATAAGTTTTCAGATATAATACCCGACTCTGGAATTTTAGCTCCTGGATGTCTTTTGTCTACGAAGAAAGATTAGAGTCTTGTTGTCTTTGTTCTTCTTTGAATGCCCATTATCTAACATAGTGCCTGACACACTGTAGAACTCAACAATTATTCTCTTTGCACCCCACAACTTACAGCTTGGTTTAACAGCCTCAAGCTCCATAGAGGAACCAACATTTCCTGCAGAAGCCTATGAGGTTAGTGGTTCCTAGTCTAGTTATAGGAGTTACCGTGTGCAAGAAGTTCAAAGTTATGTCTTCCTTCCTGGTATTTATGGTTCATTCACAGAATTTCCCATCCAGATGCAACTTAAAAGTCAAGCATGACTTTTCCTATAGGCAGCATTGCCTGGAGATATAACTGATCTTCCAACTTTATCAAGTTTCTTGGGAACAGAGCTAGAAAGTTAACCCAAGGTCAAATTTGTCCATAGAGAAAGAGTTTCTCTATTAGCTTTTTACTCAAACTTTGTGCCTAAAAAGTAAAAGCATAAGATATTTTTCTGTAGATATGGGGTCTTACATTGTTGCCCAGGCTAGTCTCAAACTCCTGACCTTGGGCTGGGGGCAGTGGTTCACAGCTGTAAATCCAGCCCTTTGGGAGGCCGAGGTGGGTGGATCGCTTGAGGTTGGGAGTTTGAGACCAGCCTGACCAACATGGAGAAACACTGCCTCCACTAAAAATACAAAAATTAGCTGGGTGTGGTGGCACATGCCTGTAGTCCCAGCTTCTCAGGAGGCTGAGGCAGAAGAATTGCTTGAACCCAGGAGGTGGAGGTTGCGGTGAGCCGAGATCACACCATTGCTCTCTAGCCTGAACAACAAGAGTGAAACTCCACCTCAAAACAAAACAAAAAACAAAACAAAACAAAACACTCCTGACCTCAAGTGAACCTCCTCCTTTGGTCTCCCAAAGTGCTAGGATTACAGGCATGAGCCACCACGCTCGGACAAAGCTGATGTATTTCTTAAAGAGAGATTAATAGGAGGGATAACATGGGAAGAAATGCCAGATATAGTATGAACCTAAAATAAAATAAATAAATTTAAAAAAAAGAAAAAAGATATGTATATGTGTGTGTATGTATACACATACACACACACACACACACACACATATACATATACATATATATTTTTTTCTTTGAGACAGGGCTTTGCTCTGTCATCCAGGCTGGAGTACAGTGGCATAATCTTGGCTCATTGCAACTTCTGCCTCCTGGGCTCAAGCAATCCTTTTGCCTCAGGCTCCCAAATAGCTGAAACTACAGGCATGCACCACCACACCTGGTTAATTCTTTAATGTTTTTGTAGAGACAGGGTCTCATTATGTTGCCCAGGTTATATTAGATATTTTCCCCTTCCAAAGATACATTCGTATTATTCAATTTCCAAAATGTTAAGTGATGAAAATGATTTCCTTATTTTATTGTGGAGAACCAGTAACTGGAATGCTGGCAGCTTTGGGAATTATTCTGGATTATCTGGGAAACCTTTCATAGGTCACAATCAACAGTCTGCACCTATAATAATTTTACTCTTGTTGAGAATAATTAACCTTTTTTTTTTTTTTTTTTTTTTTGAGACAGAGTCTCGCTGTGTCACCCAGGCTGGAGTGCAGCAGCGCAATCTCAGCTCACTGCAACCTCCGCCTCCGAGGTTCAAGCGATTCTCCTGCCTCAGTCTCCTGAGTAGCTGGGATTACAGGCACCTGCCACCATGCACATCTAAGTTGTGTATTTTTAGTACAGATGGGGTTTTGCCATGTTGGTCAGGCTGGTCTCGAACTCCTGACCTCAGGTGATCAACCTGCCTCAGCCTCCCAAAGTGCTACGATTACAGGCATGAGTCACTGAGCCTGGCCATATTAATAAATTTTTTTGGGGGCATCACCTAACATGCCCCAAAAGTTTTCCTAGTCCCATTTTCCTTTTGGTGTTGGAAAGATATAGAATTAATTCACCTCCTTACCTCTAATAAGGAATAGATGCTTCTTCAGTGACCTCAATATTTCTACTACTGAGGAAAATAACATATTATCTCAAGAAATGTTAAAGATGATTTATCAAAAATTTCTCCACTTATGGTAGAAACGTATTCTTTTTTTTTTTTTTTTAGATGGAGTTTTTCTCTTGTCACCTAGGCTGGTGTGCATTGGCTTGACCTTGGCTCGCTACAACCTTCGCCTCCCGGGTTCAAGTGATTCTCTTGCTGTAGCCTCCTGAGTAGCTAAGATTACAGGCGACCGCCATCACACCCAGCTCTTTTTGTATTTTTAGTACAGACGGGGTTTTGCCATGTTGGCAAGGCTGGTCTGGAACCCTTGACCTCAGGAGATCCACCCGCCTCCGCCTTCCAAAGTGCTGGGATTATAGGTGTGAGCCACCGCACCTGTCATAAAAACATTTTCTAAGGCCATTTAGTGAGTGGATGTGGTGGCTGTGCACATGAGAGGCATGACAACAAATTAGATAGGAAGAGATTTTGTGGATTCAGGCCTTAGGAGCCCATCTTGCCCACCCAGAAATCTCTCTTTTCATTTTATTTATTTATTTATTTAATTAAGAAAAAAGAGATGGGATCCAGCAAGGTGGCTCATGCCTGTAATCCCAGCACTTTGGGAGGCCAAGGTGGGCAGATCACTTGAGGTCAGGAGTTCGAGACCAGCTGGGCAACATAATGAAACCCCATCTCTACTAAAAACACAAAAAAATTAGCCGGATGTAGTGGTGGGAGCCTGTAATCCCAGCTAATGGGGAGGCTGAGGCAGGAGAATCACTTGAACCCAGGAGGTGTAGGTTGCAGTGAGCCGAGATTGTGCCACTGCACTCCAGGCTGGGCGACAGAGTGAGAGTCCATCTGGAAAAAAAAAAAAAAAAGGAAAAGAAAAGACAGGGTCTCATTATATTGCCTAGGCTGGTCTTAAACTCTTGGACTCAAGTGATCCTCCTGCCTTGGCCTCCCAAAGTGTTGGGATTACAGGTGTGAGCCACCATGCCCAGCCTCTTTTTAGATGTCTGTTCTGTCATTTATTAAAAAAGCCAAATACGGAACAAATATGGAAGCGTAATGTCACATAGTGCTTAAAGCTCATTCTATGGTGCACTGAGCCTGATAGTGCAATGGAAGACGAGAATACCAGCAACCAGATTCCAGAAGTATCGTCTTTCTAACAGGGCCATTTCCACCCACAGAAAGGTCCTATGATTCCCTGCACTCCTCCTCTGTAATTATGCAGAGCAGCTGGGGTAGAATCCCTCCTCTGGAGCTTTTTCCATGGCGCACCCCAATTCTGTGGGGCTCACATCCACATCTCTGTGGACAGTGGGGATTTGGGGGAAGATGTTCACTCTGCTATGCCTATGCTTGGAAATTTCCCCCAATGGGAGTCTATGTTAGATTGCCCTGGTTCTGGTGATAACCCATACATCTCTGCACAATGAAAGTACATACAAAAACCAGCTCACGTGCTGTTAGTGAGCATCGATGAGTCACTGAGGAACAATATAACAAGACTGAGGAACTCGCCAGATTATCAGGAAAAGGACTCTTCCTCATACCCACCAGGAAGGGGAGTTTGTACTAAGAATAGCTCCTCAAAGCTACCCTATGTTTCCCAGGCTGGTATCAAACTGGGCTCAAGCAATCCTCCTATCTCAGCTTCCTAAGCAGCTGGGGCTACAGGCATGCACCACCACACCTGGCTTCCTTTTTTTTTTTTTTAATTTGAGAGGGAGTCTCGCACTCTCGCCCAGGCTGGGGTGCAGTGGTGCGATCTTGGCTCATTGCATCCTCCGGATCCCAGGTTTAAGTGATTCTCCTGCCTCAGCCTCCCAAGAGCTGGGATTACAGGCACACACCACCACGCCCAGCTAATTTTTCGTATTTTTAGTAGAGAGGGGTTTCACCTTGTTAGCCAGGATGGTCTCGATCTCCTGAATTTGTAACCCGCCCACCTCAGCCTCCCAAAGTGCTTGGATTACAGGCATGAGCCACCGCACCCAATGCCTCCCTTTTTTTTTGAGATGGAGTTTCACTCTTGTTGCCCAGGTTGGAGTGCAATGGCATGATCTCGGCTCACAACCTCCGCCTCCAGGGTTCGAGGGATTCTCCTGCCTCAGCCTCCCAAGCAGCTGGATTACAGGCGCCCACCAAGACTGGCTAATTTTTTTTGTATTTTAGTAGAGAAGGTTTCACCATGTTGGTCAGGCTGGTCTTGAACTCCTGACCTCAGATGATGCGCTCGCCTCAGCCTCCCAAAGTGCTGGGATTACAAGCATGAGCCACTGCGCCCAGCTAATGCTGGTCTTAATACCTAAGTGATGGGTTGATAGGTGCAGCAAACCACCATGGTACACGTTTACCTATGTAACAAACCTGCACATCCTGCACATGTAACCTCAGAACTTAAAAAACAAACAAACAAAAAACTCCCCCAAACTAGAGGCAGTTTGCAGTGTCAAGAGAGGAGTATGTAAAACAGAACAATTTCCGTGTTCACTTACCTCACTGGGTTTTGAGTCAGGACCCACTTTGCTGGAAAGTGTGTATGTCTCAGACTCAGATTTTGATTTGAGCATCTCTCTAAACCACTTTTGATATTGTTTCTGGACCTGGAACATCAAAGGAAATACCTGGATGGGTTTTGCTAACATTAGTGAAGAGCAGAAAAGTCAGTGAGTCAGGAAGAAGATAGATATGCATTATTACATATTTCTTTTCACAAAATGTGGTCTATACATACAATTGAATATTATTCAGTCTTACAAAGGAAGGAGATTCTGACACATACTACCACACGGATGAACCTTAAGGACATCAGGCTGAGTGAAATAAGCTGGTCACGAAAATGCAAATACTGTGTGGTTCTACTTATATGAGGTCCCTAAATGTTGGAAATAGAAGTTGGAAATAGATGCTCGGTGCTGCAAAGAAAAATTGTTAGTGGGTCGAAGGATCTCTCAGCAAAGCGATTCTTTTTGCTTCCTGCAGAAAGGGTACTCCCACTAGCAGTCTTGCCATGAGAGTACAACGAACAAAGGAAAGCAGACAAATTTATTTCTTCCGAATTTGGGGTTGTCCTTACTGCTGTGTCTGATCTCTGTTGGCTGGGGCCAGACCTTACAATCTAAACTAAAACCCGATTGACTAATAACTTGAAACTTTTCTAGACAGGTACAAGCAATAGAGAGCAAAAAAGGGAAGTCCAAATAAGGAAGGGGCAGAGGCTGTGAGCTGGGACATGCCTGTGAGCACGTTCAGCACAGATATCTCGGTTAAAGTACAAGGACATAGAATGTACTACGCGCCTGTAGGCATGTCTAACAGCTACATAGGATAGGGCTTCCAACAGAGAGCAAGACGGCTTTTAAAGAAAGTGTTTAAAACAAACTATTATTTTCTAACACAGATTTTTCTTAAACAAGAAACTTTGAAGAGGAACTTTTCTATTTCCCACACTACAGTAGTCAAATCCATACAGACATACAGTACAACAGTGGTTTCCAGGGCCTGGGGGGAGGAGAATGGAGAGTTAGTGTTTAATGGGGATGGAGTTTCAGTTTGGGAACAGGAAAGTTCTGGAGGCGGATGTTGACAATGCTTGCATGACATGGTGAATGCAATGCTGCTGAACAGTTGGTACATTTAAAAATAATTAAAAAGGTAAACTTTATATTATATATATTTTGCCATGATAAAAAATTTTCCATTACAGGGTATATAATTGTTGTAGAAAATTTATAGTTGGGCACAGTGGCTCACACCTGTGATCTTAGCACTGTGGGAGGCCAAGGTGGGCAGATCACCTGAGGTCAGGAGTTCCAGACAGCATGGCCAACATGGTGAAATCCTGTCTCTACTAAAAATATAAAAATTAGCCGGTCATGGTGGCACATGCCTATAATCACAGCTGCTCCAGAGGCTGAGACAGGAGAATCGCTTGAACCTGGGAGGCAGAGCCTGTAGTGAGCTGAGATCTTGCCACTGCCCTCCAGCCTGTAAGAGAGAGTGAGACTCCATCTCAAAAAAAAAAAAAAAAAAAAAAGAAAAAGAAAAGAAAAAGAAAATTTATAAGATTTGCATATGCAAAAGGAAGAAAATAGAAGTTACTGATAATTCCTCGATCTAGTGAAAATCATCAGTAATATTTTGGTAGCATCCTTCCATGTATCTTCGTTTTGGGTACCTCAGAAGCAGACTCTGCAACAAGGGTTGAAGTGTAAAGAGTTTATTTGAGGGGTGATCCCAAAAAGCACCAGTAGGGCAGTGAGGACACAGGACAGGGAAGAGTAGGCAGCTAGTAAAGGATGCATAATTAAGGATGTTTCCATTGTGGGCATCCGGGGCTCAGCTCCATTTAGGAGCTCCGCAGTATAGCATGGAACTACTTCAGAGTCAACTTGCCTGAGGGAGGAGGGAGCTGGGGTATTTATCCACCAGCTCCCATCAGTCAAGGTTTGATGGTTGCTCTCAAGGGCCATTTCTCTTGAGTGTCACCAGTTTGCCCTGTGCATGGGCCAGGCATATCCTGTGGGCAGTAACAAGCCCTCAGGCACAGTCATGGGTGTTTGCAACAAGCAGCTCCAGGCATGTAGAGATGAAGTCCAAAGGGATATGAGAGGGCCATAGACAGCATCTGCCATATCATGATACCCCAACCTTGGTGCTCTTGACATCTTGGGTTGGATCATGTTTTGCTGGAGAGGGCTGTCCTGCGTGCATTGTTTAGGATGTTTAGCAGCATTCCTGACCTCCGCCCACAAGATGGCAGTAGTACCCCCCCAACCCCAGTTATGACAATCAAACATTTCCCCTGACATTGCTAACTGTCCCTTGGTGGGAACACAATTGCTCCTGGTAAGGACCACTCTGGACCGAGTGCAGTGGCTCACACCTGTAATCCCAGCACTTTGTGAGGCCATCTTAAAAAAAAAAAAAGAAAAGAATTCCTGTTGTGGCCAGGTGCAGTGGGTGGCTCACACCTGTAATCCCAACATTTTGGGAGGCCAAGGAGGGAGGATTCCATTTGAGCCCAGGAGCTGGAGACCAGCCTGGGCAATGTAGTGAGATCCTTGTCTTAAATTGATTGACTGATTGATTGATTGAGATAGAGTCTCGCTCTGTCACCCAGACTGGAGTGCAGTGGTGTGATTGCGGCTCACTGCAACCTCCACCTCCTGGGTTCAAGCAATTCTCCTGCCTCAGCCTCCCGAGTAGCTGGGACTACAGGTGTGTGCCATCACACAAAGCTAATTTTTGTATTTTTAGTAGAGACGGGGTTTTACCATGTTGGCCAGGCTGGTCTCAAACTCCTGACCTCAGGTGATCTGCCCCCCTCAGTCTCCCACAGTGCTGGGATTACAGATGTGAGTTAGCACATCCAGCCTTAAATTTAATAATAATGATAAAAATAATGCTGATGAAAAAACACTCTGCCAGTGATGCTGTGAACCGAGTGGAGATGAGTTCTGCCTCCCGCCTCAGCCTCCTGAAGTGCTGGGATTATGGGCATGAGTCACTGTGCCTGGCCCCAGTTTCTCTTTAACAAGGCAGTTAGCCTGCAGCACAGTGAAGTTCGCGATCTCATCATGCCATGGCTTGAGATGTGAATTGCAGAAACTGCAATAGCAGACAGAATGGATCTATGAGTTTGCCCCTGAAGACACCCAGTGCTACAAAGAAGGCTGTGTGATCCTTGAATGTGACCTAGTTCGGGACAGTGAGGGCTTCAAGGGGCATGTATCATCTGATAAGTCTTGAAGAAAAAGAGATAAATCAACCCAGCATGGTGGCTCACCCCTGTAATCCCAGCCATATAATTGGTGCTGACTGAAAAAAAAATTGTTTTTTTTGAGATGGAGTCTTGCTCTGTCACCCAGGCTGAAGTGCAGTGGTGCAATCTTGGCAAACTGCAACCTCCGCCTTCCAGGTTCAAGGGATTTTTCTGCCTCAGCCTCCCTACTAGTTGGGATTACAGGTGCCTTCACCACGCCCAGCTAATTTTTTTTTTGCATTTTTTAGTAGAGATGGGGTTTCGCCATGTTGGTTAAGGCTGGTCTTGAACTCTTGACCTCAAGAGATCCGCCTACCTCTTGGTGCTGAGATTACAGGCGTGAGCCACTGTGCTGGGCCTAAACCAATGAGATTGTTGAGGTTGTTTGTTACACAGCATTAGCTATTACAAGTGGGAAAACTGAAAAAAAAAAAAAAAAAAAAGGCATGATTATTTTTGGACATAGCAATTATTTATATTCTGAAATGTGTTAACAAATGATGTATCTTATGACCAGTAGCAATTTTTTTTTTTTTTTTTTTTTTGAGATGGTCTAGTTCTGTCGTCAGGCTGGAGTGGAGTGGCATGATCTCAGCTCACTGCAACCTCTGCCTCCCAGGTTCAACTCATTCTCCTGTCTCAACCTCCCGAGTCACTGGGATTACAGGCACATGCTGCCACACCCAGCTGATTTTTGTATTTTTAGTAGACATAGGATTTCACCATATTGGCCAAGATTATCTCGTTCTCCTGACCTCATGATCCATCCACCTCAGCCTCCCAAAGTGTTGGGATTACAGGTGTGAGCCACTGTGCCCAGCCAGCATTTTTAAAGTAGAGAAAATAGAGGGAGCGTTTATACATGGATTATAGTCTCATATGGAACATTTAGAGAACATTGACTTAAATCCTCATTTAAACTCCACTTCCAAAATTTTCTCAAGTTTTAAATGACAAAGAAAGGGGTCAGTGTTTACCTGCTGGCTGAGGAGGCAGTAGACCAAGAAGATGAAGAAGCCCTGCAGGCTGTTGATGATGGTGAAGAGGTAGGCCATGACCCGGGCAGCCGGACCCACCTGTAGGAAGCCCAGACACCACGTGCAGCCCAGGATGAAGAGCTGAGCTGTTGCTTTGAAAGTCAGCATCCTGGGAGGAGGAAGTCAGAGATTAGGATGTCAGAAAACTAATAATGGGCATCAAACCCCCTCTGGTTAGCTGGCCAGGCTGGTCTCAAACTCCTGACCTCAGGTGATTCACCTGCCTCTGCCTCCCAGAGTGCTGGGATTACAGGTGTGAGCCACTGTACCCAGCCTAAAGCAATGAGATTTTTGAGGTTGTTTGTTACACAGCATTAGCTGACTATTACAAGCAGGAAAACTGGGAAAAAGGCAGTGAGAACTCTGGAGCTAAGCTACCTAGGTTTAAATGGAAGCCAGTACTGGCTACCTGTGTGACCTTGGGAAAGTCGTGTTACCTTCTTGTGACTCAGCTCCCTCATCTTATTTTCATTTTATTTTATTTTTGAGGTAGAGTCTTGCTCTGCTGCCCAGGCTGGAGTGCAACTCACTGCAACCTCTGCCTCCAGGGTTCAAGCAATTCTCCTGCCTCAGCCTCCCGAGTAGCTGGGACTATAGGCATGAGCCACCATGCCTGGCTAATTATTGCATTTTTAGTGGAGATGGGGTTTCACCATGTTGACTAGGCTGGTCTCAAACTCCTGACCTCAAGAGACCCATCCACCTCAGGCTCCCAGAGTGTTGGAATTACAGGCATGAGCCACTGCACCTGGCCTCAGTTCCCTTATATTAATAATTGTTCTATTTCACGGGGTTGCTATAAAGATTACATGAGACTGTAACATGGGAAAGTATTTAGGACAATGTATAGTACAAAATTAGTGCCACACATACATAGACATTCTAAAACCTGCCTGCTTTTTATCTCTCTCATTCTTATCATTTATAGATGATGTCTGTCGCCCAGGCTGGAGTGCAGTGGCGTGATCTCAGCTCACCGCAACCTCTACCTTGCTGGGTTCAAGTAATTCTCCTGCCTCAGCCTCCCAAGTAGCTGGGATTACAGGTGCACGCCACCACACCCAGCTAATTTTTGTGTTTTTAGTAGAGACGGGGTTTCAACATGTTGGCCAAGCTGGCCAACATGTTGAAACCCCGTCTCTACTAAAATGACTGACCTCAAATGATCTGCCCACCTTGGCCTCCCAAAGTTCTGAGATTACAGGCATGAGCCACTGCACCCAGCCAGGGTCATATAATTTGTTATTCAAAAAGGAAGGCTTTTGAGGTCAAAAGGAGGTGTAATGTTCCTAACACAAAGAAATGATAAATGTTTAAGGTGATGGATATCTTAAATACCCTGATTTGATGGTTGCACATTTTAGGTATGAACCAAAATATCACAAATACATCATAAATGTATATAAATATTATGTGTCAATAAGAATAAAAGGGGATACTGTTAATAATTATATTGTATCAACAGACATAAACTGAGACTGTCCCAGTCAAGCTGAAACATAAAGCCATCCTACTTACAGTATTTACGGCATATATATATCGACACACACACAATATACGTACGTATATATTTCACATGCACTATCATAGTATATCATCACAATATATAGTGATAGTGTATATGAATTATGTATATATATTATATGTTATATATGTCATATACATATAGGATTTATGTCATCTACATACAACATGAGAGTGAAATAAACTTGCATTTTATTCCTTATTTATTATTATTTTTTTTTGTATTTTTAGTAGAGACGGGGTTTCACCATGTTGACCAGGATGGTCTCGATCTCTTGACCTCGTGATCCACCCGCCTCAGCCTCCCAAAGTGCTGGGATTACAGGCTTGAGCCACCGCGCCCGGCTCTTATTTTTTTTTAGTTCATTTTATCACAGCAGTTTAGCTTGTAATCTAGCTAATACAGGTTCTCACTAATTGTGACAGTGGAAGATTACAGTGGTCTTGCTAGTCCTGGGAGCATGGCTGTTGAGTGTGTGTGTGTGTGTGTGTGGATATGCAGGAGGGATTGGTAGAAGGAAAGGGATCAGGAAGTACTGTTTGTCACATCCTACCTTGTGTTCTGGATGGTTGACACTTCACTGTTGAGGGAGGAAAGTTTTCTTTTCAAAATCCAAAACACCAAGAGAAAAAACACTAAATTCACCTGCAGGAGCAACAGAAACAAGGCAAAATGCAAGTGAAAATAATGTATGATGTCCACTTTAAATTGCACACATGAGTCCTACCTCCCTGTTCATGGGATTGAGTTGGGAGCGGGTGGAAAATCAAACCACACAACAGTGGAAATGCAAGCCCCTTGTACCCAGAACTTCTCTTGGTTCTTTTTAGTTTGGGAACATCAAAGGCACATACTCACAGAGAAAATGGCACAGACTGGGCCAAGGAAACCCCAGATGAATCCCTTGTCCAGGTGGAGCCAGCACCTATGAACGATGGGAAAAGAGACCCAAAGAGAGATCAGAGAAAGTGCATGACACGAACACAAAGAGACTCTTTTCTGACCAGAGAATTGTTTCCGATTTGTCCAAAAAGTCAGCTGATGACAACCAACTTTTTTTTGTTTTGAGACAGGGTCTTGCTCTGTTGCCCAGGCTGGAGTGCAGTGGCTCAATCTCGGCTCACTGCAACGTCTGCCTCCTGGGATCAAGTGATTCTCCTGCCTCAATCTCCCAAGTAGTTGGGATTACAGATGTGCACCACAACACCTGGCTGATTTTTGTATTTTTTGTAGAGATCAGATTTTGCTGTGTTAGCCAGGCTGGTCTTAATCTCCAGACCTCATCGTGATCTGCCCCCCTTGGCCTCCCAAAGTGCTGGCATTACAGGCGTGAGCCACCGCACCCGGCCAACAGTCAGCACTGATTACACATTTCGACTGCAACGTTGATCCATGCATCATGTGTTAGCGTCCTGTTAAGCATTTTAGGAGCACAGTCCTGTTGAATTTTCACACTAGCACTGTGAGGTTGGGACGATGGGGACAACTATTATTCTCATCTCACTAATGAAGGGACCGAGACTTGAGAGCTCAAATCGCAGGAAGAATAAAGCTGGGACCTAACTCTCGTGATCCGAGAGATTGAAATAGACACTCCTATATCCACTAAGGTTAAGGAAACCAAATACAGGTGAGTCAAGGGTTCGGGGCCTGGCTGGCACAGCAAATTTTCCTTCCTTCCTTCCTTCCTTCCTTCCTCTCTTTTTCCTTTTCCCAAATTTCACACTTGTTACTCAAGCTGGAGTACAGTGCTGTGATCTCGGCTCACCACAACTTCCACTTCAAGTGATTCTCCTGCCTCAGCCTCCTGAGTAGCTGGGACTACACGAGTGCACCACCACATTCAGCTAATCAAACAATTTTTTTTCATGGAGATGGGGTTTTGCTGTTTCCCAGGCTGGTTTTGAACTCCTGGGCTCAAAAAATCCTTCCTCCTTGGCTTCCCAAAGTGCTGGGGTTGCAGGCATGAACCACCAAGCCTGGTCTTCCATCTTATTTTAATGCTAAAATCCTGCCCCAAAGTAAACATGGGATGTATGTTACATGTACATATATATGTTTATCCATTGTGCATGCACTCTGCTCCCATCTTAAACAGGTACAGCTCTTCCTTGAAACCTGCTGAATGCGTATGACTCTGTAGTGTGATACGAATCTAGTGAGGCATAAAGCCTAAACTGTCCTTGCCCTTCTCAAAGAGAGAGCACCTTTGGCTCATGCTGGAGATTTTCTCTTTTTGGTTTGCAAACCAATGTTGCCAATAAAACTCTCCTTCCTTCCTTTTTCTTTCTCTCTCTCTCTCTCTCGACAGTGTCACTCTGTTGCCCAGGCTGGGGTGCACTGGTACAATCACAGCTCACTGTAATTTCTGCCTCCCAGGTTCAAGCGATTCTCCTGCTTCAGCTTCCTGAGTAGCTGGGATTACAGGTGCCCACACCACCATGCCTGGCTAAAGTTTGTATTTTTAATAGAGGTGGGGTTTCACCATGTTGGCTAGGCTGGCCCCGAACTCCTGACCTCAAGGGATTCTCCCGCTGTGGCTTCCCAAAGTCTGGGATTACAGGCATAAGTCATCATGTCCGGCCTTAAAGCTCTTCTTTCTATTATTTATTCATCTTGATAGTCTTTTGAGCAACACCCAAAGCCCTCTCCTTCTGAAGCCATTCCTATAAACTTTATAAAAATAATCAGAGAAGAAGAAAATGGGAGAAATGAAAATAGACCAAGCTTTCAACACATCCAGGATTCATTCCAGGTCAGCTTGCTCTCTGTGCTACTTCCTCCTAGCTGTTTGGTGCCTATTATCCTAGAATCACATAGATCCTGGATAACAGTTTCAGTTCACTGCTCTATAGATAACAACTTAAATATTATAAAATATTAAGTTTCAGCCTGGCATGGAGGCTCATGCCTGTAATCCCAGCACTTTGGGACGCCGAGGCTGGTGGATCACCTGAGGTCAGGAGTTTGAGACCAGCCTGGCCAACATGGTGAAACGCTGTCTCTACTAAAAATACAGAATTAGCCAGGTATGGAGGCACATGCCTGTAATCCCAGCTACTCGGGAGGTTGATGCAAGAGAATTGCTTGAACCCGGGAGGCAGAGGTTGCGGTGAGCCAAGATCGTGCCATTGCACTCCAGCCTAGGCAAGAAGAGCAAAACTCCGTTTTAAAAAAAACCATTAAGTTTCAGCCAGACCTGGTGGCTCATGCCTGTAATCCCAGCACTTTGCGAGGCTGAGGTGGGTGGGTCGCCTGAGGTCAGGAGTTCCAGACCAGCCTGGAAAACATGGTGACACCCAATTTCTACTGAAAATACAAAAATTAGCTGGGTGTGATGGCGGGCACCTGTAATCCAAGCTACTTGGGAGGTTGAGGTAGGAGAGCCGCTTGAACCCGGGAGGAGGTAGAGGCTTCAGTGAGCTGAGACCATGGTACCATTGCACCCCAGCCTGGGCAACAAGAACAAAACTCTGTCTCAAAACAAACAACAACAACAACAACAAATCCTACAAAAAATGAAGTTTTCCTTGAGATATTCTTTCAGGTCCTTTGTACCAGTGAAACTACTGGCCTCAGCTGCTCTGAAGGACCGCACGAGGTGCTGAGCCACCAAAGAAGGCAGTTTCTGCCTTCTGATAATTTCATTCACTGTACCACGAACAATGACCCAAACTTTCCAGCCTCCCCACCCTCCATGATCCCCTTAAAAGCCCCAGTCTAGAACTCCTTGGGGAGATTGATTTGAGTCTTCTCCCATCTCCTCGCTGGCACCCTGAGATTATTAAGCTCTTTTTCTTTTCTTTCTTTTTTTGTTTGATACAGGGTCTTGATCTGTCACCCAGGCTGGAGTGTAGTAGCCTGAGCATAGCTCACTGTAGCCTTGAACTCTTGGGCTTAAGCAATCCTTCCATGTCAGCTTCCTGAGTAGCTGGGACTACAGGTGTATAATATAACCACACCTGGCTATTTTTGAAGAAAAAAAGAAAAAAACTTTTGGTAGACACAGGTCTTGCTGTGTTGCCCAGGCTGGTCTTGAACTTGTGAACTCAAGTGATCCTCCTGTCTGGGCCTCCCAAAATGCTGGAATTACAGGTGTGATCCATGCTCAGCTGATTTTTAATTTTTTTTTGGTAGAGATGAGGGTCTTGCTATATTGCCCAGGCTGGTCTTGAATTTCCGGCCTAAAGCGTTGGGATTACAGGTGTGAACCACCACACCTGGCCTCATTAAGCTCTTTCTCTGCTGCAAATCCTGCTGTCTTGGGGGATTGATATGTTACTGTGCAGTGGGCATATGGCCCTGTTGGTTGCATAACACTTCCAGAACTTTGCAAACTCTCACCACTGTCTCACCCTGCCTTGCTGGAAAAGAGGTTAGAACTGTTATAAAGGGGAACAGAGAGTGCATTGGTTACGTCTATTTCCACCATCATCATTCATGCTGCCCTCAGATGCTTTCTTAGGAAACTGTCCATGACAGGATGGGATTCAGGCTCACCGATCAGTGGTTCCGTAAAGGTGAGGCCTGGAGGCTGCAGAAATGGCCACAATCATAGCGGGAACGCCATAGCCGACTGGGAACATGACCCACTTCATAAGTCTGTTGATGCTTGAGTAGTTGGCCACCGTCAGGTTCCGTGCAGTGAGGAAGAGGTGCAGGCTCTCCAGCAGCATCCAGGTGAAGGCAGCCAGGTAGAGATAATGCAAGACACCAGCGATGACGGCGCACAGCACCTGGGGGTGGAGAAAGGGATGCCTGAAGGTGTTGTCAGGGTGGAGTTTGGCCCTAGGACCTCTCCTTGACATTGGCTTTGGGTTCAGAGCACATGACATCAGACCAATGGCAGTAAAAGTCAACGGGAACTGGACGCAGTGGCTCATGTCTCTAATCTCAGCACTTCAGGAGGCTGAGGTGGGAGGATTGCTTGAGCCCAGGAGTTTGAGACCAGCCTGGGCAACTTTGTGAGATCCCACCTCAATTATATTAAAAAGAAAAAAGATAGGCTAGCACTGGCCACGTGGGCACCCTTCAACCTGCCCTTGGGACTGAAAGTGTGGCAGAATGTGCCACCTTCACCAATGCCACTTTGCAATAGATCACCAGAACTTATTCCTCCTTTTTAACTGCTCAAAGACTTTGTATGCTTTGAGCAATGTCTCCTTTCCTCATTCACTTCCCCCCTCAACCTCAGGCAACCTCCATTCTACGCTCTACTCCTACTATACTGCACGGTGCCTTCAGTTAATAATAATACATTGTGAATTTCAAAGTTGCTAAAAGAGTGGGTTTTATTTTTAAAAATTTATTTATTTATTTATTTTTGAGAGGGAGTTTCACTCTTGTTGCCCAGGCTGGAGTGCAATGGCATGATCCTGGCTCACTGAAACCTCTGCCTCCTGGATTCAAGCGGTTCTCCTGCCTCAGCCTCCCGGGTAGCTGGGATTACAGGCATGCACAACTACGCCCGGCTAATTTTGTATTTATAATAGAGACGGGGGTTTCTCCATGTTGGTTAGGCTGGTCTCGAACTCCAGACCTCAGGTGACTCACCTGCCTTGGCCTCCCAAAGTGCTGGGATTGCAGGTGTGAGCCACTGAGCCCGGCCAAGAGTGGACTTTATTTTATTTGAGACAGGATCTCACTCTGTCACCCAGGCTGGAGTCACCAGGGATAATCATAACTCACTGCAGCCTCAAACTCCCAGGCTCAAATGATCCTTCCACTTCAGCCTCCTGAGTAGCTGGGACCACAAGTGTGTGCCACCCTACCCACTAATTTTTCTAGAGATGGGGTCTCACTATGTTGCCCAGGCCAGTCTCCAAGTCCTGGGCTGAAGTGATCCTCCTGCCTTGGACTCCTAAAGTGCTGGGATTACAAGCATGCGCCGTCACCCCCGGGCCTAAAAGAGTGAATTTTGAATGTTTTCACCAGAAAGAAATGATAAGTATGGAAGTGATAGATAATGTTCATTATCCTGGATTGATCATTTCTCAATGTGTACCTCAATGGAAACTTCACATTGTACCCCATAATTTTATACAATTATTATTTTTCAATGAAAGATAAAATTTAGGAAAAAAGTTTCACTTTAACGTAAGAGATTATGATTATGATTCTTTTTTTGAGACAGGATCTTGCTCTGTCACCCAGGCTGGAGTACAGTGGTTGCAATCATAGCTCACTGCAGCCTCGAACTCCTGGGTTCAAGCAGTCTTCCTGCCTCAGCCTCTGAGCAGCTGGGACTACAGACACGCACCACTGTGCCCAGCTAATTTTGTTATTTTTTGTTTTTTGAAGAGATAAGGTCTCACTATGTTGCCCAGGATGGCCTCGAATCCCTGGCCTCAAGTGATCTTTCTGCCATTGCCTCCCAAGGTGTTGGGATTACAGGTGTGAGCCACTGTGCCTGGCCCAGGGGATTATTTTAAACTGAAGGCAGTTGAGAAGAAACAGATAAAAATAAAAAAAGCTCTCTGCCCTCCCCTACTTGCCTAAAAGGAGGACATGTTTATATACTTGTCTTTTTTTTTTTTTTTTTTAGAGACGAGGTCTTGCTATGTTGCCCAGGCTGGAGTGCAGTGGCTATTCACAGGTGCGATCCCACTACTGATCAGCACGGGAGTTTTGACCTGCTCCGTTTCTGACCTGGGCTGGTTTACCCCTCCTTAGGAAACCTGGTGGTTCCCCACTCCCGGGAGGTACCATATTGATGCCGAACTTAGTGCGAACACCGAATTGGCATAGTGCACTACAGCCCAGAACTCCTGGGCTCAAGCAATCCTCCCACCTCAGCCTCCCAAGTAGCTGGGACTACAGGCATGCACCACCGTGCCCGGCTATATACTTGTCTTTTTTTTGGGAGTGAGAACACTTAAAATCTACTCCATTAGCAATTTTTCAATATACACTATATTGTGATTGACTATAGCCATCATGATGTGCAATAGTTCTCTTGAATTTATTCTTCCTGTCTAACTGAAATTTGGTATCCTTTGACCAACATCCCCCGAAACCCCTTCCCCATTGTCCTAGTCTCTGCTAACAACCAATCTCCTCTTGGATTTTGTGAATTTGGCTATTTTAGTTTCCACACATAAAGTGAGATCATGCAGTATTTGTCTTTCTGTGCCTTGCTAATGTCACCCAGCATAACATCCTCCAGGGTCATCCATGTTATCACAAATGGCAGAATTTCCTTCTTTTTCTAAAGGCTGAGTAGTATTCCAGGACATTAAGGCGTTCCTCCTACCTAGTCTCTTCCTTCTACCCTCCTACCCCTGCTATGGAGAGGACAAAAGTTGATCACCAATACAACTTTATTTTTTGAGATGGAGTTCTGCTCTTGTCGCCCAGGCTGGAGTGCAATTGCACAATCTCGGCTCACTGCAGCCTCTGCCTCCCAGGTTCGAGCAATTCTCCTGCCTCAGCCTTCTGAGCAGCTGGGATTACAGGCACTCACCACTGTGCCCGGCTAACTTTTTGTATTTTTAGTAGAGATGGGGTTTTGGATGTTGACCAGGCTGGTCTCGAACTCCTGGCCTTGGGTGATCTGCCTGCCTCGGCCTCCCGAAGTGCTGGGATTACAGGCATGAGCCACTGCACCTGGCCACCAAGACAACTTTAGATCCTCATTGGCCTGGAGTCAATGCCAGAGGAATCTACATAACCAATGAAATGGTTTGGCTCTGTGTCCCCACCCAAATCTCATCTTGAATTGTACTCCCACAATTCCCACGTGTTGTGGGAGGGACCAGGTGGGAGATAATTTGGATCATGGGGGTAGTTTCCCCATACTGTTCTTGTGGTAGGGAGTAAGTCTCACGGGATCTGATGGTTTTATCAGGGGTTTCTGCTTTTGCATCTTGCTCATTTTTTCTCTTGCTGCCACCATGTAAGAAGTGCTTTTCCCCTCCCACCATGGTTCTGAGGCCTCCCCAGCCATGTGGAACCGCAAGTCCAACTAAACCTCTTTTTCTTCCCAGTCTCGGGTATGTCTTTATCAGCAGCTTGAACATGGACTAGTACAACCAATGATACTAATTAGCCTTTATCTATCACTCATTTCCCACATATTTGACTCCCATACTTTGCTGCTCCTAGAGATCCAAGGTCTTTTTCCCTTCTCCAAAAACGTATAGTTCTTTGTCAAAAATGCTGTTGTTCTTAACTACCTCTTTGAGAATACCTCATTTCCTGGGTATCTCCCATGAAATATGCGTACGTGTTAATAAACTTTTGTTTGCTTTTTCTCTTGTTTATCTGTCTTTAGCTATAGGGGTCCCAACTACGATCACAGAAGGGTAGCAGGAAAATTATATTTTTCTCCTCTACAGACCCAAGGACATTTTATTAAGGTATCCAGTGCAGCCTTGCTCCATAAGCTCAGTATCTCTTGGGGCAGGGCAGGGCATCTTCTGAGACACTGTCAGTACCTTGGCTTCAGTTTGATCAATCCCCACGAGGAAGAGGAGGTGGGCCAGGAAGAGGCAGAGTGAGAGTTGTAGATGCAGCGAGGTGCTGGTGTTCTGGATGGCTTTGCACAGGAGGAAGGTGAGGGCTGCCAGGAGGAGGCACAGCAGAGAGAGGCTCAGCCCCACATAGGTGATGACGGTCAGCATGGGATCCTCCTCCTGGGACCGAGAAAAAGAGTTCACAGTTATGCTTTCCTGCACTGGGATTATGGCTCCCCTCCTTGGACTGGGGCATCCTTGACACAGGCACCAAGCCCAGTGGCAGTGTGGGATCGTTAGACTGCCAATGTAGATTGCTAATGTAGTTTGCTAATATAGATCGCTAATGTAGACTGTTGATGTAGATTGCTAACGTAGACTGTTGATGTAGATTGCCAACGTAGACTGCTGATGTAATTTTTAATGTAGACTGCTGATGTAATTGCTAATGTAGACTGCTGATGTAGATTGTTAACACAGACTGCTAGTGTAGACTGTTAATATTGATTGCTAATGTAGACTGCTAATGTAGATTGCTAATGTAGACTGCTAATCTAGATTGGTAATGTAGACTCAAATTGTAGATTGTAGATTGCTAACGTATATTAGCAGTCTGGTATAATACCTGGCTGGTGAGTGCCATCAGGACAGCGAAGCTGGACAAGTGAGTGGAATTGCACACGGTATGACTCTTGTTCATGCTTATCAGGAAGGAGCCATCCTTGGACCACTGGCCGCCCTGCTCTGTGCTCTCCCAGTAGACACAGAAGACTTTTTTGCTTCTGGGGTTTATCTGAAAATAGAAAGGGCTCATTGTCTTTTCTCTTTTTTTTTGAGATGGAGTCTCACTCTGTTGCCCAGGTTGGAGTGCAGTGGCGTAGCATGATCTCAACTCACTGCAACTCCCGCTTCTCCCGCCTCAGCCTCCCAAGTAGCTGGGATGACAGGTATGCACCAACACACCTGGCTAATTTTTGTATTTTTTTGTAGAGACAGGGTCAACTATGTTGCCCAGGCTGGTCCTGAACTCCGAGACTCAAGCAATCTGCCTGCCTTTGCCTCCCAAAGTGCTGGGATCATATGGGCATGAGCCACCATGCCTGGCTGGCTCATTGTCTTTTTTCTCGGGAGGGACCGTTCTCAGCGTTGATCTACATCAAGGTGCCACCTGCTAAGGCACCTGGGTGATGAGTGACTCAGGTGATTTCTTCTTTGTTTTTGAGACAAGGTCTCATTCTGTCATCCAGGCTGGAGTGCAGTGGCACAATCACAACTCACTGCCGCCTTGACCTCCCTGGCTCAAATGATCCTTCTATCTCAGCCTCCAGGGTAGCTGGAACTACAGGTGTGCTCCACCATTTCCGACTAACTTTTGTGTTTTGAGTAGAGATGGGGTTTCAACATGTTGCCCAGGCTGGTCTTGAACTCCTGACCTCAAATGATTCTCCTGCCTTGGCCTCCCAAGGTGCTGCAGTTATGGGTGAGCCACTGTGTCGGATTTCTATTTTATGTGGCCACCAGGACCCCTGATCCATAACCGCAGCTCTTTTGGGATTTTATGTAACATAAAATAAAGCGAAGTCTCCCTGGAAACCAGTTTCACGAGATTTCATTGACTTTGGAACCCTGACCCACCACGGGAGAAAAACAAAAAAAATCCCAAAAAACCAGTGGAGTTGGAAGCTTACATAATGTTTTCCCCCAAAGTCTCCCTAAGCTTAATGTCCCTGCTCCTTGTACAATCAATTCTGTTTCTGACTCCCTTACAACACTGTGATTTCTGATAGAATGAGAGTCATAGTATAGGAAAGAAACATCATGGAGAGAATGAATAAAATTAGGCTTTGAGGCTGGGCGCAGTGGCTCACACCTGTAATCCCAGCACTTTTAGAGGCTGAGGTGGGTGGATTACCTGAAGTCAGGAGTTGGAGACCAGTCTGTCCAACATGGCCAAACCCTGTCTCTACTAAAAATACAAAAATTAGCCAAGTGTGGTGGTGCTTGCTTGTAATCCCAGCTACATGGGAGGTTGAGGCAGGAGAATCCCTTGGACCAAGGAGTCAGAGGTTACAGTGAGCCAAGATCACACCACTGAGCTCCAGCCTGGGCGACAGAGACTCTATCTCAAAAAAAAAAAAAAAAAAAAAAAAAAAAAAAAAAAAAAGAAAGAAAGAAAGAAACAGAGGCCGGAGGAAGTGGTTCACACCTGTCATTTCTGGGTTTTGGGAAGCTGAGGTGGGAGGATCGCTTGAGGCCAGGAGTATGAGACCAGCCTGGGTGACATTGTGAGTCCTCCTCTCTACCCAAAACAGAAAAATTATTTGGGCGTGATGGCTCACAACTGCAGTCCAGCTGCTGGGGAGGCTGAGGTGGAAGGGTCGCTTGAACCCAGGAGTTTGAGGCTGTAGTGAGCTATGATTGTGCACCTGCACTCCAGCCTGGGCAACAGAATGAGAGCCTCTCTCAAAAAAGGTAAAGATATAGGTGAAATTAAGTTTTTTTTTTTTTTTTGAGACGGAGTTTCGCTCTTGTTACCCAGGCTGGAGTGCAATGGCACGATCTTGGCTCACCGCAACCTCCGCCTCCTGGGTTCAGGCAATTCTCCTGCCTCAGCCTCCTGAGTAGCTGGGATTATAGGCACGCGCCACCATGCCCAGCTAATTTTTTGTATTTTTAGTAGAGACGGGGTTTCACCGTGTTGACCAGGATGGTCTCGATCTCTTGACCTCGTGATCCACCCGCCTCGGCCTCCCAAAGTGCTGGGATTACAGGCTTGAGCCACCGCGCCCGGCCGAAATTAAGTTTAATATAATTCACTATAGTCAACAATCAATAAAAAATCTGGAGACAACAGATGCTGGAGAGTATATGGAGAAACAGGAACATTCCTACACAATTGGTGGGAGTGTAAATTAGTTCAACCATTGTGGAAGACAGTGTCGCGATTTCTCAAGGATCTAGAAATAGAAATTCCATTTGACCCAGCAATCCAATTACTGGGTATATACCCAAAGGACTATAAATCGTTCTATTACAAAGACACATGCACATGTATGTTCACTGCTGCCCTGTGTACAATAGCAAAGACCTGGAACCAACCCAAATGCCCATCAATGATAGACCGGACAAAGAAAATGTGGCACATATACACCATGGAATACTATGCAGTCATAAAAAATGACGAGTTCGTGTCCTTTGCAGGGACTTGGATGAATCTGGACACCATCATTCTTAGCAAACTGATGCAAGAACAGAAAATCAAATACCACATGTTCTCACTCCTAGGCAGGTGTTGAACAATGAGAACATGTGGACTCAGGGAGAGGAGCGCCACACACTGGGGGCAGTTGGGGGGGCAAGGGGAGGGACAGCGGGGGGTGGGGAGGGTGGGGAGGGATAACGTGGGGAGAAATGCTGGATATAGATGAAGGGGGATGGAGGCAGCAAACCACCTGGTTACGTATGCACCTATGCAACAACCCTGCATGACCTGCACGTGGCCCCCAGAACCTAAAGTAAAATAAAAAAAAATTTATGTTTAACTTATAAATTACAATTGTATATCTTTATGGGATGCAATGTGATGTTACAATACCTGTATTTGCCTACAATGTAGAATGATTAAATCTAGCTAATTCTTTTTTTTTTTTTTTTCATTTATTCTTATTGGTTCTCTGAACTCCTGGATCTGTGGATCTGTGATTTGGTGTTTGACATTGGTCTGGGGAAATTCTCAGTCCCTCCCTCCCTCTCCTCCCTGCTCCCTTCCTCCCTTCCTCCCTTCCTTTCTCTATGTTTTTTTCTTCTTCTCCTTCTCATTTTTCTTCTTCTGATAGTGTCTTGCTCTGTGCCCCAGGCTGGAGTGCAGTGGTGCAATCATAGCTCACTGTAGCCTCCAACTCCTGGGATCAAGTGATCTTCCTGCCTCAGCCTCCCAAGTAGCTGCAACTATAGGAGGATGCCAGCCTGCCTGGCTTAAATCAAGCTAATTGTTTTCGTCTTATTAAGTCTTCAAAAGCTGATTTACAAGACGTAAATCTGGAAATACCGTCTTCAAAATCTCGATTTAGACCAGCCACATTTCAAATGCTCAGTAGCACCAGGTGATCAGGACTTCCACCCTGGACAGCACGGGTCTAGAACTGCAGCCTGGGATGATGCACACATCGTCCAGGCTGCCTCCTTGAGACCTGAGAAGCTCAAATCACACCCGTGACCCACCTTCACGTGCTGGAAAGTCAGCATCACAGGCGTGGAGAGGGTCACGTTCCTTTTGGGTCCAATAGCAGCACTCACTACCTGAGAGTTCAGATATAGTCGATCTTTCTCATCCATCTCTTCAAAAAAAGTTGCATTTATGATATTTCCAAGAGAAGAATATGAGATAAAGGCAACCGCACTGGGACCTGAGGAAACAGAAAAATGGAATTTTTTTTTTTTTTTTTTTTTTTTTTTTTTTTTTTTTTAGACAGTCTCACTCTTGTTGCCCAGGCTGGAGTGCTGTGGCACAGTCTTAGCTCACTGCACCCTCCACCTCCCAGGTTCAAGCAATTCTCCTGCCTCAGCCTCCTGAGTAGCTGGGACTACAGGTGTGCACCACCACACCCAGCTAATTTTTGTATTTTAAGTAGAGACAAGTTTCACCACGTTGGCCAGGCTGGTCTCGAATTCCTGACTGCAGGTGATCTGCCCACCTCCGCCTCCCAAAGTTCTGGGATTACAGGCGTGAGCTAACATGCCCAGCTGAAAAATGGAATCTTTAAAAGCTTCCCGAGGCCAGGCGCGGTGGCTCAAGCCTGTGATCCCAGCACTTTGGGAGGCTGAGGCGGGTGGATCACGAGGTCAAGAGATCGAGACCATCCTGGTCAACATGGTGAAATCCCGTCTCTACTAAAAATACAAAAAATTAGCTGGGCATGGTGGCGCATGCCTGTAATCCCAGCTACTCAGGAGGCTGAGGCAGGAGAATTGCCTGAACCCAGGGGGCGGAGGTTGCGGTGAGCCGAGATTGCACCATTGCACTCCAGCCTGGGTAACAAGAGCGAAACTCCGTCTCAAAAAAAAAAAAAAAAAAAAGCTTTCCAAAAGCCAGGCACAGTCACACCACCAGTGACTCTAATTCCAGTGACTTAGGAAGCTGAGACTGGAGGATCACTTGAGTCCAGGAGACTCACACTGCAGTGTGCTGGGACTGTGCCACTGTACTCTAGCCTGGGTGACAGAGCAAGACCCTGTCTCAAAAAAAAAAAAAGTGAATTGTATTCAGTGGCATTGAGTATTCACAATGCTTTTCTTTTTTTTTTTTTTTAAATCACCTTTACGTCATTCCAAAACATTCTCATAACCTCCAGAAGAGGATCCATTCCCATAAGCAATCCTCACTCAGCTCCTGGAAACCACCAATCTGCTTTCTGTCTCTGTGAATTTACCTGTTCGAGACATTTCACATAAATAGAATCATACACTATGTGACCTTCTATGTCTGTCGTCTTTCACTCGGCATCACGTCTTCAAAGTTCATCCACGCTGTAGCGCGGCTCAGTGCTTCGTTCCTTTTTCTGACCAAGTAGCAGCCCATCGTATTCCCTTCTCCTCCCCTCCCCGCCTTCCCCTCCCCTTCCTTCATGTGTCAGGAACACGCTCAGAGCACCTACTATGTGCTAAGCACTCCCTGGGTGCTGGCCTTACAGCAGTGGGCAGGGCAGATGAGGCCCAGTCCCTGGCATTTCCCAGCCTTTCCAGTCCCATCACCACTGCCTCCACTCGTGGTCTCCTCCCAGACTGCGCAGGTTCAAATCGTAGCTCCCCACTTCTAGTGATGTCATCTTGAGCGAGTTACTTTACCTCTCTGTGTTGCCTTTGTTTCTATTTTTTTTTTTTTTTGAGACAGAGACGCCTCATCTCTTTCTCCCCATCTCTTTCCATCTCTCTCTCCCCGTCTCTCTAATTCCATTTCTCTCCCAATCTCTCTCTTTCCATCTCTCTTCCCTTCTCTCTCTCCCCATCTCTATGATTCCATCTCTCTCAATTTCCCTTTCCATGTCTCTCTCTCCGTCTCTCTTTCCATCTCTGATTCCATCTCTCCCCATTTCTCTAATTGCATCTCTCTCTTCCCATCTCTTTCTCTATCCCTCTCTTTCCATCTGCCTCTCCACATCTCTTTCTCTCCATCTCTCTCTCTCTCTCTCTCTCTCTCTCTCTCTCCACACACACACACCTCCCACACCCTACGCTTTAACGCTAGTTGTGATTCTCTGGAGAACCCTGATGAATACACCACTGCTGTTCCTGGGGATCGCCTCCCAAAGAAACTCCTCAGTCAGGATTTGCTTCTGGGTGAACCCAAAGTGCGACACAGGCAGCACAGCACTCCCCTCCCTCCCAAATTGCAAAAACAGTCCCTCCCATACTGAATAATAGAAAGCCTCTGTTTGGGGAAAATGCTTTTTTTTTTTTTTTAAAGGGAGAGTCTCCAATATCAAAGTTTGAGGGTAACACGCCCATTAGGGGAGGAGCCCAGTGGCCTATTTCCCCACAACTCACACAAGGACACGGCTCGTGACGGATTCTCAGTGCAGCCCCCACCCGTACCTTGTGTGTCTCCCTGGATGGCGTCACGGCAATGGATGTCCATGGAGTTCATTTGGACGTTCAAGCTGAATGTCTGTCTGTCTTCAGAGCAATTGTCTGTGATCACTCGAGTTTCAACAGCTGGCAAGAAAAGCAATGGGCCATCTTAGCGATATTGTCAGAAGCTTAAAACACGTGCATCAGAACAGGACATGGTGGTGCATGCCTGTTGTCCCAGCTACTCAAGAGGCTGAGGCACAAGGATTGCTTGAGCCCAGGAATTCAAGCCTGGGCAACCCAATGAGATGCTGCCTGTAAAAAAAAAAATGTTGCTGGGTGCAGTGGCTCGCACCTGTAATCCCAGCACTTTGGGAGACCAAGGTGAGTGGATCACCTGAGGTCAGGAGTTGAAGATCAGCCTGACCAACATGGAGGAACCCTGTGTCTACTAAAAAGACAAAATTAGCTGAGAGTGGTGGTGCATGCCTGTAATCCCAGCTACTCGGGAGGCTGAGGCAGGAGAGTCACTTGAACGCTGGAGATGGAGGTTGTAGTGAGCCAAGATCGTGCCACTGCACTCCAGAAACTCTGTCTCAAAAAAAAATTTTTTTCCATAGCAACAGAAAGGGCTCACACATACTGAATGTCTAGGATGTGTTGGGCACTGAGCTAAGAGCTCATGTTGTCTTATAATAACCTGTAACCTCATGAGGGACCATTTTTTTTTTTTTTTGATGTGGAGTCTCCCTCTGTTGCCTAGGGTGATGTGCAATGGCATGATCTCCGCTCACCGCAACCTCCACCTCCTGGGTTCAAGCAATTCTCCTGCCTCAGCCTCCCAAGTAGTTGGGATTACAGGTGCCTGACACCATACCCAGCTAACTTTTGTATTTTTAGTAGAGACGGGGTTTCACCATGTTGACCATGCTGGTCTCAAACTCCTGACCTCATGATCTGCCCGCCTCGGCCTCCCAAAGTGTTGGGATTATAGGTGTGAGCCACTGTGCCCAGCCGGAACCATTCTATAGATGAGGAACCTGAAGTGAAGTTAGGTTAAGACTCTAACTCCTGAACCCAGGTTCTTAACTAGCAGCCCCTAGCATACCACCTTTGAAGCAACAGTTCTAATTCTAGGAGTTTGTTCTCAGAAAATGATCTTGGACAAAGGGCAGATTTAGCTACAAGAAAGTTCACAGCAGCTTAGATGATAATGGTGGAAAATGAGGGATTATCTACATGTTCAACAAGAAGCAATTGATTAAATAAGTGACGATGTAAGCTGGGCACAGTGGCTTGTAATCCCAGCACTTTGTGGGGCCACAGTGGGTGGATTGCTTGAGGCTAGGAGTTCAAGACCAGCCTGGCCAACATGGTGAAACCCCAGCTCTATTAAAAACACAAAAATTAGCTGGGCATGGTGGTGTGTACCTGTAATCTCATCTGCTTGGGAGGCTGAGACAAGAGAATAGTTTGGACCGGGGAGGCAGAGGTTGTGAGCTGAGATCGAGCCACTGCCCTCCAGCCTGGGTGACAGAGTGAGACTCTGTCTCAAAAATAAATAAATAAGTGATGACATATTCCTATAGTGGGGAACCAGGCTTCAAATAAAAATAAAGTCACGAATGAATTGCTATCAAGAAAAACTCATGAGAAAAAAGGTAACCAGGTGAGTGATGGATGTGTTAGGTAATTTGTGGTGGTCATTCCACACTATATATGTATATCAAGTCATCGTACTGTACTCCTTAAGTATATACAATTTTATTGTCAATTATACATCAATAAAGCTAAAAAAATGTTAAGCTCATGAAAATATGTATCTTAAAAGCAGACAGCCCAAGACTGGCTGTGAGTTGGAATTGTTTTTCCTGTATTTGAATGTTGGCCTGCTTTTAGGTGAATCTGGGGTTTTATTCTCCTAACTCCTTTTGTGTATATTAAAAGGTTAAAAAAAAAAAAAAGAATCAAGCAACATAATAGCACTTTAAGAATGACACTATTTTATGACCGGGCACAGTGGCTAATGCCTGTAATTCCAGGACTTTGTGGAGCTGAGGCTGATTAATTGCTTGAGGTCAGGAGTTGGAGCAGGGATTACAGTTGTGCACCACCACGTTTAATTTTGTTTGTTTGTTTGTTTGTTTGTTTTTTGAGACAAAGTCTCACTCTGTCGCCAGGTGCCAGGCTAGAGTGTAGTGACGCCATCTCGGCTCACTGCAACTTCCGCCTCTCGCCTCCCAGGTTCAAGCAATTCTTCTGCCTCAGCCTCCCGGGTAGCTGGGACTACAGGCACACGCCACCATGCCCAGCTATTTTTTTTTTTTTTTTTTTTTTTTGTATTTTTAGTAGAGATGGGGTTTCACCATGTTGGCCAGGATGGTCTCCGTCTTTGACCTTGTGATCTGCCCACCTCGGCCTCCCAAAGTGCTGGGATTACAGGCTTGAGCCACTGCGCCCAGCCTAATTTTGTTATTTTTAGTAAAGATGAGGTTTCACTATGTTGCCGAAGCTGGTCTGAAACTACTGGCCTCAAGTGATCCACCCACCTCGGGCTCCCAAAGTGCTGAGATTACAGGTGTGACTGGTGGGAGTCACCTTGCTCAGCCCGAAACCTGTTTTTATTTTTTTGAGACAGGGTCTTGTTCTGTCATCCAGGTTGGAGTGGCAATGGCAGATCATAGTTCACTGCATCCTCAAACTCCTGGGCTCAAGCCATCCTCTCCCTCAGTCTCCCAAGTAGCTAAGACTGCAGGTATGAACCACTGCACCTGGCACATTAAAAAAATATCTTTTTTAGTGATGGGGTCTCGCTATGTTGCCCAGGCTGTTCTTGAGCTCCTGGGCTCAAGTAATCCTCCCACTTTAGCCTCCCAAAGAGCTGGGATTACAGGCATGAGCCATCATGCCTGGTCCTCAAACTACATTTAAGTGAAAATTCCGGACCTGGGATTGGAAACCGTTGGCAATCTTCTGAGTAGGCCACTGTATTGAGGTACAATTGATGTCTAACAAACCGCACACATTAAAGTGTACAGTTGGGTGAGTTTTATTGGGTGTATACACCTCCGAAACCAATGCCACAGTCAAGGCAGGGAAGATTTCCATCACCCCAGTCATTTCCCCAGGTTTTCTCATGCCTCTGCCATCCCTCCCTCCTGCCCCTTACGCTCACTACAGATAAGTTTGTGTCTTCTAGTATTTATACAAATTTATGTAATTTATAGAAATAGACTCATGTGGTGTATTCAATTGTTTTTTTTCTAATTGCCTGACCCAGACCCCAGCTGCTAACCAGTCCCCCCAGCTACTAACTAGTCATCAGTGTCTTACCCATAGTACTGTTCTGGATTTTCTGGACTTTTTGTTCTGGCGTTTTCAAGGCAGTTTCTAGAACACTTGATTCCACATCCTGAAGAATAGAGGTAGCTCTGGATGAGATTTCTTGTCTCTCTCCTGTTCTCAATAGAGTCTGATTGGTGAGAAGTGACTGAAAATTGTCCACAATTTTTTGCAGCTTTGAAGACATAAAGAATTTTCATTTAAAAAAAATGCAATCTGTTAAGTCCCCATATCCAAAAGAGCAGTAGAAAGCGCGAGAAAGCAGGTTCTGGAGCTGGAGGAACCACGTTCAAATCCTGGCACTCTGCTATGTCCCAGCTGTGTGACCTTGGGCAAGTCGCTTAATCACTCTGTGTCCCAGGACAGGAAAAGGAACTCATAGGGTTTTCTGGAAGATTAGAGTTAACACATGCTATGCTTTTAGGACAGTGTCTGTGCCTGGCAAAAGCTATGTAAGGGTGAGTCATTATTATTATTTTTGAGACAAAGTCTTGCTCTGTTGCCCAGGCTGGAGTGCAGTGGTGGGATCTCGGCTCACTGCAGGCTCCAGCTCCTGGGTTCAAGCTATTCTCATGCCTCAGCCTCCTGAATAGCTGGGGCTACAGGTGCATGCTGACATGCTTGGCTAATTTATTTTTATTTTTTATTTTTTGTATAGACAGAGTCTTGGTATGTTGCCCAGGCTGGTCTAGAACTCCCAGGCTCAAGTGATCCTCGTGCCTTGGTCTTCCAAAGTGATGGGCGTAGAGGAGTTAGCCACCGTGCCCTGCCGGGTTAGTTATTATTAACATTTTTTTTTTTTTTTTTTTTTGAGATGGAGTTTCGCTCTTGTTACCCAGGCTGGAGTGCAATGGCGCGATCTCGGCTCACCGCAACCTCCGCCTCCTGGGTTCAGGCAATTCTCCTGCCTCAGCCTCCTGAGTAGCTGGAATTACAGGCACGTGCCACCATGCCCAGCTAATTTTTTTGTATTTTTAGTAGAGACGGGGTTTCACCATGTTGACCAGGATGGTCTCGATCTCTTGACCTCGTGATCCACCCGCCTCGGCCTCCCAAAGTGCTGGGATTACAGGCTTGAGCCACCGCGCCCGGCCTCTTAACATTTTTTTTTGCCAACAAGGTAGTGATAAGTTTATGAGCAATTGGACAGTGGTTCTCAACCGGAGGCGATTCTGCTACTCCCTCCACTGGGCACATGCGGCAATGGCTGGAGACGTTTTGGTTGTCACTGTCACAACAAGGGTGTGGTTGCCACTATTGAAGCGGCGTCATTGTCTGGGGTAAATACCCAGAGTTTGTCATCTTGTGCCAAGAAGATTAAGGACATGGACACACATGAGGAGTGAGTTTAGAAGTGGAGGTTTAATAGGCAAAAGAAAGAGAAGAGAGGGCTGGGTGCAGTGGCTCATGCCTGTAATCCTAGCACTTTGGGAGGCCAAGTGGGGGTGAATGAACTGAGATCAGGAGTTCAAGACCAGCCTGTCCAACATGGTGAAACCGCATCTCTACTAAAAACACAAAATTAGCCAGGTGTGGTGGTGCATGCCTGTAATTAAGGTGCTCAGGAGGCTGAGACAGGAGAATCGCTTGAACCTGGGAGGCGGAGGTTGCAGCGAGATTGCACCATTGCACTTCAGCCTGGGCAACAAGTGCAAAAAAAAGCTTGATCTTCAGCCTTCTGAGTAGCTGAGATTGCAGGCATGCACCCCCCATGCCTGGCTAATTTTTGTATTTTTAGTAGACATCGGGGTTTCATCATGTTGGCCAGGCTAGTCTCAAACTCCTGACCTCAGGTGATCCACCCGCCTCGGCCTCCCAAAGTGCTGGGATTACAGACATGAGCCACCGTGCCTGGCCGGATTACGTGATTCTTTATTTGTTCATGACTTCAATCCTTGAACTCCTAATTTGGGGTTGGTTTTCTTCCTTTTCTCAAGAAGCTTACGGTCTAGGGATTGTTTACATGATGTGATTACATATTTATATAAATGCTGTCAGTTGGCCAGAGATGCTGATGATTACCATTGAACACCTGGCTCTCCTTTGTGTAGCTGTTCAGCAGACCTTAACACACTCTCTCTTAGCCTGTCTTTCTTGGGCTGGGATAGATTCCTGTCTTTAGAGGGCAACATACACACACGCTCATATGTATGTACCTACATGCACAGCGTATGTCTACCTATACCGATGTCTATAAATAGATATAGATACAGTCCTCTCTTGGTATACACATGATATTGGTTCCAGGACCATCCCTATATGCTTAAATCCATCCATGCATGCTCACGTCCCACAGTGGCTCCTTTGGAACTCGCTTATGAAAAGTCAGTCCTTCCTCTTTGTGGGTTTTGCATGCTGCCAATATTGTATTTATTATTATTTTTTTCTGAGACAGAGTCTCGCTCTGTTACCCAGGCTGGAGTGCAGTGGCACCATCTCTGCTCATTACAACCTCCACCCTCCTGGATATAAGTAATTCTCCTACTTCAGCTTCCTGGGTAGCTGGGATTACAGGCATGCACCACCACACCTGGCTCGTTTTTGTATTTTTAGTAGAGACGGGGTTTCACCATGTTGGACAGGTTGGTCTTGAACTTTGACCTCAAGTAATCTGCCTGCCTTGGCCTCCCAAAGTGCTGAGATTACAGGCTTGAGCCACCATGCCTGGCCGGCAATACTGTATTTTTGATTCACATTTGATTAAAAAATGTCTTTGTGTAAGTGAATCCCTGCAGTTCAAATGTATGTGGTTCACCTGTATATATAGTGATATATCTATAGTCAGCTATATAATGATACACATGTAGTAGTATACCTAATGGCTCTATCTATCTATCTATCTATCTATCTATCTATCTGGCTATCTAGCTATATAGATATATATAGATATATGTATAGATACCACAGTTATATATAGTATATAATTGTATATAATATGTAAACAATGTGTAACATGTACTATTATGTAGCAATATGATATTATATGTTAATAATATTTTATATATTTATATATAACATATAGGTCTTGCCCTAAATCCATCCCCGTTTGCTCACTTTGGGCTTTGTGAATATTTGTTACCTGATGTTTGTTACTTGGTTAGGGTCCAGGGATCCGCCTCCACTCACCTCTTTCCCGCCTTGGGTTGTCTCTGAGGAGGTGTCGTCTGCAAAAGACGTCATGAAGCAGTTACTATTGGAACTGAGAATGTCCTGGTAGAGGGCTGGGCAGGTGGGGCAGGTAACGGGGTGGAAACTTTGCACCTAGAAAGGTGAAAGTCTGAACTCATAGTTTTTGTTTATTTAAAATTGAAAAATTTTAAATTATTTTTATTAATTTTTTTTTTTAAATTTTCTGAGACAGGGTCCCATTTTGTTGCCCAGGCTGGAGTGCAGTGGTTTGATCTCGGCTCGCTGCAACCTCCACCTCCTGGGCTCAAGTGATTCTCCTGCCTCAGCCTCCAAGTAGCTGGGATTACAGGCATGCACCACCAGGCCTGGCTCATTTTTGTATTTTTTTTTTAATTGTACTTTAAGCTCTGGGGTTCATGTGCACATCCTCAGGGTTGTTGCATAGGTACACACATGCCATGGTGGTTTGCAGTCTCCATCTCCCCATTGCCTACATCAGGCATTTCTCCCAGTGTTTTCCCTCCCCAGCCTCCCCTCCCCTCAATGTCTCTCCCCTAGCCCCACCCCGCAACCTACCCCATTGTGTGATATTTCCCTATGCCCACGTGTTCTCATTGTTCAACACTCGCCTATGAGTGAGAACACGCAGTGTTTGGTTTTCTGTTCTTGTGTCAGTTTGCTGAGAATGATGGTTTCCAGGTTCATCCGTGTCCCTACAAAGGACAGGAACTTGTCGTTTTTTTTTATGGCTGCATAGTATTCCATGGTGTAGATGTGCCACATTTTCTTTGTCCAGTCTATCATTGATGGGCATTTGGGTTGGTAATTTCTTTTGCAGCATCAACATTTTACTTATAACAATAGTGAGACCCTCCCTCATCTCTTCAAAAAAAGAAGACATTAGCCAGGTATGGTGATTCACACCTATAATCTCAGCTACTCAGGAGGCTGACGTTGGAGGATTATTTGAGCCTAGGAGTTCAAGGCTGCAGTGAGCTGTGATGGTGCCACTGCACTCCAGCCAAGGTGACAGAGTGAGACCCCATCTCTGAAAAATAAAAGTCTTTCTCTTATTATTCCGACAGCAGCCAGTACCTCGTGGGTGATCTGCCAACTCTCATCTCTTCTCTCATATAGACTTTTCCCATCAGTGTTTTCCGTGGGAGTGATCATGTTTCTTTGACACAGCACCTCTCCCTGGACACAGAGCCAAGGGTGCACATGGGGCTCAAACTGGCTCAATTTGTGCATTCCCAAAGAATTCGCAATGGGGTCTTTGAGAGAGTCAACTGATCTCTCTTTGGTTGGTTGGGGCAACAGAAAAGGTAAGATCTGGAGTGACTGGTGGGCATATTTCCTTTTTTTTTGTTTTGTTTTGAGACAGAGTTTCACTCAGTTACTCAGGCTGGGGTGTAGTGGCACAATCTCGTCTCACTGCAACCTCCACTTCCTGGAATCAAGAGATTCTTGTGCCTCAGCCTCCCTAGTAGCTGGGATTACAGGCACCCACCACCACATCTGGCTAATTTTTCTATTTTTAGTAGAAATGGGTTTTTGCCATGTTGGCCAGGCTGGTCTTGAACTCATGGTCTCAAGTGATCTGCCTGCCTTAGCCTCACGAAGTGCTAGGATTACAGGCATGAGTCATCCCTCCCAGCTGGTGGTCATATTTTCTGTTCTGGGGTCTAGGAAGCAGAGAAAGCCAGCCTATAGTGAAAGAGAAGGAAGGAGTAGATTCAAGGATAATTCCAGAAGCCCAGCTGCGTTCCTGTCCTTGCAGGGTATGGCCACACACCCTTTTCATAAACCCATCTTTTCTGCCTGTTAGCCTGAGTGAGTTTCACTTCCTTGCAGTTCAAAGAATGTGGTCTCAATCATCACCTTATCACTTCCTCCATCTCCAGACTACGGTTCCCTTTCTCACCCCATTATTTCCCTCGAGTTGAACTTCCTCCTTTCCTTTGTTTTCTTCTAGTTCCCTGAAGAAAATAAAAAAGTATCCTGGCCCCATAACAAGAACATCTTTTCCGGCGTTAGAGTCAATAAAAAATCAGGAAGGACTCTTGCCTGTAAGAAATCCCAGCACTTTGGGAGACCAAGACAGGTGGATCAAAAAAATGAGCCAGGCATGGTGGCGCACGCCTATAATCTCAGCTACTCGGGGGACTGAGGCAGGAGAATCGCTTGAACCCAGGAGGCGGAGGTTGCAGTGAGCTGAGGTCACGCCACTGCACTCCAGCCTGGGCAATAGAGTGAGACTCTGTCTCAAAAAAAAAAAAAAAAAAAAAAAAAAGAGGAAGGAAGGCAGGAGGAGGCAGGAGGATAGAAACGTTCTTACCCTGACAAGTGTTCTCGCTGGAACTCTTGAACTGTGCATCCCCAGAATGGAGTTTATATCCTGGGACACAGTGACAGTAGAAACTTCCTTCCACATTCTGACATGCAGCATTTACCCCACAGTATACACTAAAGGGTGGTTGACATTCATTAATATCTGGAACACAAAGAAGGAATCGCGTCATTCATTCAGCAAAGATTGATTGAGCATCTACTATGTGTCAGGAGTTGTGCTCTTTCCCGCAAGGTCTGTCCCGGCTTTCCAAGACCAATCAATTTAGGTCATGCTTATCTTAGTTTTTTGCTTTCTTCATTGACTTTGGTGGGATTCTCTAAGAAGCAGACATTGAGACAAGGATATAAGTATAAGCACTTTATTTGGGAGGGGATCTCAGGAAACACGGGGAGGGATGTCGTGAAATGATACAAGAAACTATCTTTTTTTTTTTTTGAGAGAGAGAGTCCCGCTCTGTTGCCCAGGCTAGAGTGCAGTAGAGCAATCTCAGCTCACTGCAACCTCTGCCTCCTGAGTTCAAGTGATTCTCTTGTCTCAGCCTCCCGTGTAGCTGGGATTACAGGCACACGCCTCCATGCCTGGTAAATTTTTGTATTTTTAGTAGAGATGGGGTTTTACTATGTTGGCCAGGCTGATCTCGAACTCCCGACCTCAGGTGATCTGCCCACCTTAGCCTCCCAAATTGCTGGGGTTACATGTGTCAGTCACCACGCCCAACCAAAACAAGAAAGTATCTTAAATGAACCACCAAATTTCCAAGACAGCCCCCATTTTGTCTCCCTTTCGCTCATGCTTCTGGATGACTTGTAAATTACCACTGGCCAGGTACAGGGTTCACTTCTATAATCCCAGCACTTTGGGAGGCTGAGGCAGGAGGATTGCTTCTCTACAAAAAAATTAAAAAAAAAAATTAGCTGGGTGTGGTGGCATGCCTGTAGTCACAGCTACTTGAAAGGCTTGAACCCAGGAGTTGGAGGCTGCAGCGAGTATTTTTATTTATTTTTTTGATCAGAGTCTCGATCTGTCACCCAGGCTGGAGTGCAGTGGTGCAGTCTTGGCTCACTGCAACCTCTGCCTCCCAAATTCAAGTGATTCTTATGCCTCAGCCTCTAAGGTAGCTGAGTTACAGGCACCCACTACCATGCCCAGCTAATTTTTCTACTTTTAGTAGAGACAGGATTTTGCCATGTTGGCCAGGCTGGTCTTAAACTCCTGACCTCAAGTGATCCGTCCGCCTTGGCCTACCCAAGTGCTGGGATTACAGACAGGCCTGAGCCACCATGCCCAGCCCGCGGTGAGGTTTGATCATGCCACTGCAGTCCAGCCTGGGCAACAGAGTGAGAACCCGTCTCTTAAAAAAAATATTTATTTACCTTTACATATCTCCAAGGGGAATGTGAATAGTTTCTGTCCAGATCCAGAAGTATATCCCGAGTCGCAGGTGCAGTAAGTATTATTGACACAGGAAGCATTTTCAGGGCACTGACAGGAAGCTGCAGGGAGAAGACAGACAGGTTAAATGCACTGGGGCCACAAGCTCTCCTCTTATAATTAGGCCACCCCTCCATATCACCTGAGGTCAGGAGTTCAAGACTAGCCTGGCTAACATGCTGAAACCTCATCTCTACTAAAAATACAAAAATTAGCAGTGTGTGGTGGCGCATGCCTGTAATCCCAGCTACTCAGGAGGCTGAGGCAGGAGAATCACTTGAACCCGGGAGGCGGAGATTGTAGTGAGCCCAGATCACATCATTGCACTCCAGCCTGGGTGACAGAGGGAGACTCTGTTTAAAAATAATAATAACAAAAATAAATAATAATTAGGTCTCGCCTCTGGGCAAGTCCTCTCAAGGCTGAGGAAGACTGTATCTTTTCCTCTTGTGAGATCTCAGCACATTAAAAAATTAGAGCTACCAAACCATAATTACAGGAAAAAGTGGAATTCCTGTGCATGATCAAGGACTGGGGTTGGCATTAAACAAATTAATTTTAGTGCAGACATTTCTGATGCAATATAACTGTGTTATTCTCAAAACCACTGCAGAATTTACACAAAAGAGGGCTGGGAGCAGTGGTTCATGCCTGCAATCCCAGCACTTTGGGAAGCTGAGGTGGGAGGATCACTTGAGATCTGGAGTTCGAGACCAGCCTGCCCAACATGGTGAAACCCTGTCTCTACTGAAAAATACAAAAATTAGCCGGGTGTGGTGGCAGGTGCCTGTAATCCCACTGATGTGCCCCATTCCATCCCCAAATGAATTAAGACCTGACTCTAAGCCCCCAAGACTCAGCCTCTGGTTTATCCATCTATTCTGCTCCTCTCCTCCTGTCTTTTAACAGCTGTCGCCTAGCTGCTCCCATTTTTTAACTTAATAGTTAAGCAGGGGAGTCTGGGCAGAAGAGGTGGTATTTTTTTTGTTGTTGTTTTTATTTTTTCTTTTATTTCTTGTTTACACAAATAAGTTGTTTAGTGGTGATTTCTGAGCTTTTGGTGCGCCCATCACCTGAGCAGTGTACACTGTACCCAATGGTCTTTTTTCCCTCACCACCTCCCACCCTTTCCCCCGAGTCCCCAAAGTCTATTGTGTCATTCTTATGCCTTTGCATCCTCATAGCTTAGCTCTCACTTATGAATGAGAGCATATGTTTGGTTTTCCATTCCCAAGTTATTTCATTTAGAATAATAGTCTCTAATCCCATCCAGGTTGCTGCCAATGTCATTATTTTGTTCCTTTTAATGACTGAGTAGTATTCCATGATATATACATATATATACACACACACATATACCATGGAATGAATATACACACACACACACACACACACACACACACACACACACACACGGTGAATTTTCTTTATTTACTTGTTTATTGATGGGCATTTGAGCTGGTTCCATGTTTTTGCAATTGTGAATTGTGCTGCTATAAACATGCTTGTGCCAGTATCTTTTTGTATAATGGCTTGCTTTCCTCTGGGTAGATACCCAGGAGTGGAATTAGGGATCAAATTGTAGATCTGCTTTTAGTTCTTTGAGGAATCTCCATACTGTCTTCTATAGTGGTTGTACTAGTTTTAATTCCCACCAACAGGGTAAAGTGCTCCCTTTTCACCACATCCAAGCCAACAACTATTATTTTTTGACGTTTTTGATTATGGCCATTCTTGCAGGAGTAAGGTGGTATTGCATTGTGGTTTTGATTTGCAAATCTCTTGTAATTAGTGATGTTGAGCATTTTTTCATGTTTCTTGGCCATTTTTTAAAGACAGAGTCTTGCTGTGTTGCCCAGGGTGGAGTGCAGAGGTGTGATCTTGGCTCACTGCAGCCTCCACCTCCCGCGTTCAAGTGATTCTCCTGTCTCAGTCTCCCGAGTAGCTGGGGTTACAGGTGTGCACCACCACACCTGGATAATTTTTGTGTTTTTTGATAGAGACGGGGTTTCACCATGTTGGCCAGGCTGGTCTTGAACTCCTGACTTCAAGTGATCCACCTGCCTCAGCCTCCCAAAGTGCTGGGATTACAGGTGTGAGACACCATGCCTGGCCTGTTGGCCATTTGTATACAGAAGAGATGGCACTGTACTAAGTGGAGCAAAATAGTCACCCACTAAGAATGCACAATTCTCCTGGGGGGACAGGGAGAGATGATATATTCTGCTACTCATTTTTTTTCCTTCTCTTCCTGCCCAGATTATGCTTAGTTCTGAAAGTCTACTCTCGACCTTTTCCAGGACATAATACCTCACCATACTGAGTATACTGGTTTAAATAGTGTCCTTCTAAAACTCATTTCCACCCAGAACCTCAGGATGTGACTTTATTTGGAAGCAGGGTCTCCACAGATGTAATCGAGTTAAGATGAGGTCATACTGGAGAAGGGTGGGCACAAGTGGTTCCTTCATGTAGTCTCAGGGCATGGGCTAGTTTGGGCTTCCTTCCAACATGGCAACCTCAGGCAGGCTGTTTATGGCCTCCAGAACTCTGGGAAGGGGAGCTGGGGTTGTCTGGGGAGGCTCAGCAGTGAGGAATTGTGGCAACTGGTGGCTAAAGCGAGACTTGAAGCAGATGGAAATTTTTTGCAGTGAAATGTGGCATGCCCTGTAATGCAAATACCCCTCCATCCTTCCTGTGAATGGGCCAGTAAAATCTACCTTGCTCATGAATGTCTTCTTTTTTTTTTTTTAGATTATGGTGACGTGCACATAACATGAAATTTACCATCTTAGCCATTATTAAGTGCACAGTTCAGTGGAATTCAATACATTCATATGTTATGGAACCATCTCCATAACTGTTTTCATCTTGTAAAACTGAAACTCTGTACCCACTAAACACTCATTCCAGGGCGGGCATGGTGACTCATGCCTGTAATCCCAGCAATTTGGCAGGCTGAGGTAGGCAGATGGTGTGAGTCTAGGAGTTGGAGACCAGCCTGGGTGTTATGGTGAAACACCATCTCTACAAAAAATGCAAAACTTAGCCCAGTGTGGTGTGTGCCTCTAGTCCAAGCTACTCAGGAGGCTGAGGAACGAGGATTGCCTGAACCCGGGAGGTGGAGTTTGCAGTGAGCTGAGAGGGTGCCATACACTCCAGCTTGGGTGGTAGAGTGAGACTCTGTCTCAAAAAAAGAAAAGAAAAATAAAAGATTCTTAGGCTCCACCCTAGACCTGATGAATCAGAATCTAGTGAGAGAGCCCGGGGGAGTAACATTAAACAGAAACGATCTTGTTCATTATATGTTGACTGTTTATGATCAGAATGATAAAGATTACCACTGCTTTGTCTCTCAACTAGGATGTCTACTTCATGAGACTTTGTGTGTTTTATTTACTGTTCTAGCTCCACGTTGTACCCATTGTGGTTAGCAAAAACAGACAAATTACAAATGATAAAAAAGATAAATGAAAGGCTATTCATGTTTAATATAATGATCAATTAAGCAAACCAATAATAAAACACAGGAGCAAGCCTTCCTAAATCTCACTCTCAGAACAGGCACTTTTCTCTGGCCCATTGGAGAACGTGGGTGGCCCCAGGTCCAGCCCTTGGTCCACACCTTCTCTGTTCTGGCTCTGAGCACTCACCTTTGGTTTTCTGAATCACAGCTCCAGACAAGCTCAGCAGAAAGACAAGGGCTGGAATAGATGGGAAACAGAAGGGAGAGACATGAAACAATTGAGGAATGATTCAAGGAAATTGCCCAAGGACTGTGTGTTAGTTATCTATCACTGTGTAACAAATCACAAAATGTAGTGGCTCACAAAAACATTTTTGTTGAGTATGGAGCTCTCTCAAAGAACTAAAAGCAGGACGACTGTTGGACCCAGGAATCTCACTGCCAGGTATCTACCCAAAGGGGAGGAGATCATTGTATCAAAAGGACACCTGCACTCATATGTTTCCGGCAACATTATTCACAATAGGCAAGTCGTGGAGCCAACCTAAGTGTCCACCAACAGTTGACTAGATAAAGAAAATATGGTATATTGTTCACTCCCTCTTTTAGGTCAGTGACTCTTAGATTTACCATTTTGAGGCGATTTTCTATATCTCATTAGCATTTAAACATTTTTTCTTTTTTTTTTTCTGACTGTGTTTTCAAATAGCCTTAGAGCTGATAAATTTTCTTCTGCTTGATCAATTCTTCTGTTGAGACACTTGATGCATTTTTTTAGTTTGTCAATTGCATTTTTGAGCTCCAGGATTTCTGTTTAACTTAAACACTCACTCCCCATTGCTCACTAATGTCTTGAAGAGAAAATTTCCTTTGTGGGGGAATTGAGCAAAAGTCTCAACTCTACTTCCGTAAGGTCTAAGATAAAATGAGCCCTTACTACCTACTGTGCACTTTACACAAGTGAACTTACTTCAGCTTTGCAAAGACTTTAGCAGGAAAGTGCTATTGGCATCATCCCCATTTTCCAGATTAAGAAATGGAGGCACAGACAGGGTAAGTAACTTGGCCCATTCACTGGGGCTAGTCAGTGGCAGAGCTGAGGTTAAACACAGGTTCTAGATTCTAGCTGATAACCCATTTTACCACATGGCCTCTCTTTTAGAAATCCCACAGGGCACTGCATGCATGGAAGTGCTGTTCAGATTGTCGACACCGTAGGCTGGCATGTTTATTGTGACAGTGAGTTGTCCTTTCTCCCCCAGCAGATGCCACTCACCAGATCTCACTAGAGCCTCAGAGTCCAGTAGAGAGTAATATGTGACTTGGTCATTTCAGGCAGTGCAGATGAATTGCAGGGTTTTGGAGAAAAGGCCCCAGGGGCTAGCTGTGTGAGTCTTCAAGGATGGCCATGGGAGCAATCTAAATCTTTTTGGATCTCTCTGTATAAATTTCCAATTGCTGCTATCACAAGTTACCATTCATGTAGTCGGTTAAAACAGCACTAATTTATTCTCTTACGGTTCTAGAGGTCAGAAGTCTTAAATCGGCCTCTATCGGTGAAAACCCAGAATGTTAGCAGGGCTGGTTCCTGTTGAGACCTCTAGGGGAAAATCTGTCTCCTGGCCTTTTCCAGCTTCTAGGAGCTGCATTCCTTGGCTCATGGACCCTTCCTTCTTCTTTAAATCCAGCAGCACGGCATCCTCTCTTCTTCCTGAACTTCCACCTCTTAAGAGGAACTTTCTGATTATTATATTAGGTCCCTTTGGAAAATTCAGGGTATGTGAGAGATGGGAAAGTTCTTCTTCAAAGTTAATATCTTAGACTACATTATAAGGAGTTACAATCTCTTGCTCTATGGCCATCATCTGCTATTACCATAAACATATACCCAAGTATATATATTCTCTAAATCAGCTATGCTGACTTGCTCCAGCGTGTCTGAACAGGACTGGGCAAGCTCCAAACCCTGGTGCATGCCATTCCTTATTTGGAAACCCTCCTGACCTTCTCCTGACTAGCTTCCTCTTTTTCTTTGTCTTCTTCCTCATCTTCTTTCCCCTTATCTATTCAGTAAATTTCCAAGTTCTTTAGCCAGTCAGGTAGAAAGTGAGGTCCTATTCTGGCCAATGGAACTGGACACAGCAGTAGGGCGACTGCGTCAGGTTATGAAAGTTATAAAGGTCCCCGTCTCCTTGTGCAGGGGTGCTCTTGTGGCAAGACTGCCGTCAAGTGGCACCCTTTCTGCGGGAAGTAAAGTAGCCTTGCTGAGTGATCCATTGTCTCAGTGTGGACTCTTTCCGACTTTACAAACCTGTTTCCAATAGGGTACTACCCCCATATCAAGATTCTTAGCTTAATCAACATCCGCAAATTCTCTTTTACCATGTAAGGTAATATATTCACGGGTTCCAGGGATTAAGATGTGGACATCTTTGGCGGACTGTTATTTATCTTCCCAGACTTCTTACTCTTTCCCCAAGAAGATGCCAGGTCTGGTTTGTGATCAGTTACTTACACAATTGCATTCATAGAACATTTTGAATAGTCTCAGCTGTGCTTAATGTCAGGCAGATGTTTCCTTTAAAGTCCTCTTCCTCCCACTTTTTTTTTTTTTTTTTGAGGCAGGTTCTCTTTCTGTTGCCCAGGCTGGAGAGTGCGGTGGTGCAATCATAGCTCACTGTAGCCTTGAAATTCTAGGCTACGTGCATGAGCTACCACTCATGGCTAATTAAAAAAAAAATTTGGGGTAGAGATTGGGTCTTGCTATGTTTTCCGAGCTGGTCTTGAACTGTTGGCCTTAAGTGGTCTTGCCTCCTCAGCCTCCCAAAGTGTTGAAATTATAGGTGTGAGACACTGTGCCCAGCCCTTTCTTCTTTTGTGTAAACATGAATGTGTAGCAGCCACACAAATCTTACACCTGCCCAGAAGATGACCAGCTCACAGGGCCAACTGATAAACCATATGGTTGAATAGTGTTACCTGTTCCTAAAACACAGGCAGTCTGGGCACCATCCTGTCTTCTCAAAGGATTATAAATCACTCTACTGTAAAGACATGTGCACACGTATGTTTATTGTGGCACTGTTCACAATAGCAAAGACTTGGAACCAACCCAAAGGCCCATCAATGATAGACTGCATAAAGAAAATGTGGTACATATTTACCATGGAATGCTATGCAGCCATAAAAAAGGATGAGTTCATGTCCTTTGCAGGGACACGGATGAAGCTGGAAACCATCATTCTCGGCAAACCAACACAAGAACAGAAAACCAAACACTGTATGTTCTCACTCCTAGCTGGGAGCTGAACAATGAGAACACATGGACACAGGGAGGGGAACATCACACACTGGGACCTGTTAGGGGATGGGAGGATAGCATTAGGAGAAATACCTAATGTAGATGACAGCTTGATGGATGCAGCAAACCACCATGGTACATGTATACCTGTGTAACAAACCTGCATGTTCTACACGTGTACCCCAGAACTTAAAGTATAATTAAAAAAAAAAAAAGACTAATCCTTAGCCAGCAAGCCTCTACTCACTAATTTGGGCACCTGTCTTCAGTCAGGGTTTCTGCAGTCATCAGTGTGTCAGAATCCCAGAGTTCTAAGAAACTTTAGAAATCATCCACTGACTCATTTTGTAGATGAGGAAACAGGTCCCCAGGGGGTTAAGTGGCTGGCACACTTGTTGGACAAATTTGGGTAAGTTGTTTAACTTCTCTGTTTCCTTATATGAAATAGGGTGGCAATATGACCTACTTTGTGGGGTTTTTGGGGCTGACTTAAACACAGGACTGTGTAGAGCACAATGTCAGGCAGAAAGCCCTCCAATGATGCCGACTGCCTCTGTCACCATTTGACTTTTTCCTTTCTGATTTGGATGCTTTTCCTTTCTTTCTTTTTGCCTAATTGCTCTGGCTAGCTGCCTCTGTTATCATCTGAGCTCTGTTGCCCAGGCTGGAGTGCAGTGATGCAATCACAGCTCACTGTAACCTTGCGCTCCTGAGCTCAAGCAATCCTCCTGCCTCAGCCTCCAGGTACTACAGGTGTATGCCACCAAGGATGGCTAATTTTTAAAAGATGTTTTGTGGAGACACAGTCTTGCTATGTTGCTGAGTCTGGTCTTGAACTCCTGGCTCAAGCGATCTTCCTGCCTTGGGTTTCCAAAGCTCTGGGATTATAGGTATGAGCCACCATGCCCAATCCTAGAATCCTAATTCTTGACCCAATGCTCCTATCATTGCCCATGCCTGTACCATCCAGTGATATGGACTAAGAGTTCCTGGATAACCAAACTTCACTAATAATCCACCTCAGAAGTGTTGAGGACTCTGTCTCCAGTTGCCAGAAAGCAGGCTTCTTTCATATTTGATTCCACATACACTGAAACTCCTCTTATATATAAGATGCTATGCTAGGGGTTGCAAAGGTGAGGGAGACATGACTTTTGGATTTAAGTGTAGCTTGTATTATTTCAATAGAATTTATTGTCTATCAGCTGTCTCTGCAGCAGAATAGCTGTGAGGCTATGAGCAATTCATAAACCTCTCTATGATGTAATTTCTTATCCATAATGCGGAGATGCTGTGTGACAATGTAAAGTAACTTAAGCCTAATGCCAGGCTAAAGTAGCTGCTTAATAAATGTAAGCTTTGATTGATATTGTCACTATCAATAATGTTAATTCATCTGGAGCTGGAAAGACGAATGGGATTTCATCTGTACAGAGATGGTGGGGGAAGCTATGGCATTATGGGATTCCTATAGGGAAGGGGAGTAGGAAAATAGAAGACTCCAGGAAGAATCCTGTGGGTGGGGCATTTATAGCAAAGATCTAGAGACAGATGGTTTGGGTTCAAATCCCAGCTCTGCTGTTTGTTTGCCAGCTGTGTGATGTTGGACAAATAACATAATCTCTCTGTGTCCCAGTTTTCTCATCTATAAGATAAGGATAGTGAGTGTCCCCACCCCAGCCTACTGTGATGATGCAACAGATTAATACCAGATCAATACGTGAGAGATGCATAGTGAGTTTTTGAAAGTGTTGGCTGTTATTATTTTATTTGTATAAATTTATGGGATACGAATGTAATTTTGTTACATGCATAGATTGCATAGTGGTGCAGCCAGGGCTTTTAGCGTATCCATCATCCAAATGAGTTACATCATATCTGTTAGGTAACTTCGCATTTTCCACTCCCCTTCTATTCCCTGAGCCGTCCCAGTCTTCATTGTCTATCATTCTACTCCCTATGCCCATGTGTCCATGTTATTTAGCTCCCACTGATAAACAAGATCATGAGGTATTTGGTTTTCAGTGTCTGAGTTATTTCACTTAATATAATGACCTCTAAAATTAATAATAAAATTATCATTACTTTTCTTGATAATGATAAAGCACAGAAAAATGATAAAGGAAGAAGAAGACACAATAGCAAGAGAAAAAGGAAGAAAGTCAGGGTGGGGCTAGGTTGCAGAAGTTATCAGGAAGGAGAGGAATTCAATTAGAAAACAAAACTCACTAAGAGGAAGACGAACAACCTGTTAGAGGCTGGGTGCGGTGGGTCATGCCAGTAATTCTAGCACTTTGGCAGACCGAGACGGGCAGATCACCAGAGGTCAGGAGTTTGAGACCAGTCAGACAGACCAAAGTGGTGAAACCCTGTCTCTACTAAAAATAAAAAAAATTAGCTGGGCATAGTGGTGCATGCCTGTAATCCCAGCTACTCAGGAGGTTGAAGCAGGAGAATTGCTTGAATCCGGGAGGCAGAGTTTGTGGTGAGCCAAGATTGTGCCACTGCACTCCAGCTTGGGCAACAGAAGGAGACTCCGTCTCAAAAAACAAAACAAAACAAACAAATGAAACAAACGAAAACCCAACCTACTAGATTGGGTAAGGAACATTTTAGGGATATTCGAGAGCATATTTTGAATAGGCTGGTCAGGAAGGAAACCACAGTCCAAAGGGAAACAGTGAGAGTGTTCAGAGCAGAGGAAAGAGGAGGAGAACATAACCAATTGTTGAACCAAGTGGCCCCTGTTTGGGGGATAGATTAAGACTCAGTCATTGTTATGGTCACACATACCTGGAAGAAGCAATGGCTCTTGCATTCCTGTGGCACAGGTATCCCACACCAGTCAGCCGTAGAAGCTCCCTACTGTGCTGTAAGCCAACCACCTTCCTAGCTCAAGAAATCTCATGAGAGTTGACGTATGTATCTCAGGTCAGCTGACTCATGAAATGGCTATCAGAAAAGTGAACTGCGTCCCCTCTTTTGCCATCAGACACATGGTTCTGCTTTTCCTTTATTTGCTGAACCTTTTCTGCCTAGCTATTGTTGATCACCTTTGGGATGATGGAATCAGCCAACCTAACAAAGAAATGCCCTGTAAGTTACATCACATTGCCTGAAGATTAGGAAATGCCTTTGGGGCCAAAATAAATCTTACAAACCGTGTGGTTTTGAGCTGGATAAACTGGACTTTAGGGCGTCTGTAGTTTCCAGAGGAGTCGTTTCCACATACCTTCCTTTTCCCCCCAGTAGATGATACTCACTGGTTATGACTGCTGAGTTGTAAGAAGTTAAGAGTCCCAAAGTCTCATAGAGGGTAAAACATTATTTGTTTATTTGGACCAACCCCAACCAGTTGCAGGATTTGGGCGAAAAGGTCTCTAAATCTTTCCTTCTTCCAACAAATATTTATTTATTTATTTATTTATTTATTTGGGTCTTGCTCTGTTACCCAGGCTGGAGTGAAGTGGCACAATCACAGCTCACTGCAAGCTCAAACTGCTGGGCTCCAGCGATCCTCCCACCTCAGTCCTCTGAATTGCTAGGACTACAGGTGCACGCCACCACACCTGGCTAATTTTCTTTTATTATTATTATTATTATTATTTGTATTTGAAAAACAGATTGCAGGCTGGCTGGGGCCCTCAGCTGTAATTTGCTCATCCCTGAGTTAGAATTTGCATAGTTCTCTCTCTCTCTCTCTCCCCTTTTTTTTTCTTTGAGATAGAGTCTCACTCTGTTGCCCAGGCTGGAGTGCAGTGGCATGATCTCAGCTCACTGCAATCTCTGCCCCCACCCCAGGTTCAAGTGATTCTCCTGCCTCAGCCTCCTGAGTAGCTGGGACTACAGGCACCTGCCATGTCCCTGGCTATTTTTTGGTGTTTTTAGTAGAGATGGAGTTTCCTCATGTTGGCCAGGCTGGCCTCAAACTCCTGACCTCAGGGGATCTACCCGCCTTGGCCTCCCAAAGTGAGCCACCACACCCCATCTAGAATGCCCTTTCTTGCCACTCTACTCCTGGCCATGCCCTTCAAGTGGCATTCTTTTTCATATCTTTCCTTGGTAAGCTCTTGTGAAAGGAAAATAAAGTCTCAGGACCCCAATTCACTATTCCAAAAGGAAAATAAGCTGAAAGCAGATCATGCAAGAAACTACCATTCCTTTTGTTCCTAAGCAGATAGCTACAGATAAAAGGCCAGATATCTTCACAGCTTGCTACTGCATATTGATTTTATCCTATGTAAAGTGCCGATTTACTGAGCACGAGATGAATACATCATTGATTATTCCCCCACCTGCTCCTTTTTCTCTTGCAACATGAGGGTTCAGTAATGTGACCAAACTCTCCCTCTTTCTCTCCCCCACTAGTCTGCTCATCCCCTTTAAATAGTGAAGCCCTCAAAATTATCTTTGGAGAAATAAGCACATGACAGTATTCCTTTCTACCAGGCATGTTCTTAACCCTAGTAAAATAAGCTTCTAAATTGATTGAGACCTCGTCTCAGCTTCTCAGGCACTTTTTGGTTTAAACACTGCCGTGTCCCCTTCCCTGCCTCTAAGACAGAGTTAGCTTCTCTTATTTCTCTGTTCATACCATACTTCATCAAATCTGAAGCATTATTAATTTTAAGGTATACCATTTGCTGGGTGCGGTGGTTCACACGTATCCCAGTACTTTGGGAGGTTGAGGTGGGCGAATCACTTGAGGCCAGGAGTTCAAGACCAGCCTGGCCAACACGGTGAAATTCTGTCTCCACTAAAAACAAAAAATTAGCCAGGCATGGTGGTACATGCCTGTAATTCCAGCTACTTGGGAGGCTGAGGCAGGAGGATCACTCGAACCTGGGAGGTGGAGGTTGCAGTGAGCTAAGATCATGCCACTACACTCCAGCCTGGGTGACAGAGCAAGACTCTGTCTCAAAAAAGAAAAAGAAAAAAAAAAAAGAAATTAAGGTGCACCATTATTTTATATACCACTAAACCTAACCATTAAACTATGACCCAATGCTTTCTTATTCCTTAGAAATTTTTATTTTATTCTTGAATGAGCTATAGATTTATTTCAAAATGAATTTTTGTCATGCATGACTCTGTTGCATGCATACAAAGGAAACTAGCAGTGGGAACTAAATTGGTTAAGATATTCTTGAAGCTTCTTCCCATTCAGAATCTTCTAAATTACTTTTAACACAGTCATTGATGCCCATGTTTCAATGTCTATGTTTCTCTACGTCAGTAGTTTTCAAGACGTGGTCCCAAGATGAGCTGCATCAATATTGTCTGGGAACTTGTTAGAAATGCAGATTCTTGGACCATATCCAGACCTGCTGAATTAGGAACGTTGAGCTAGAGCCCAGCGAGTGTTTTTAACAGACCTTCCAGTGATTCTGATACATGCTTAAGTTTGAGAACCCAGCTTGGCATGGTATCGTTCTCTGGACCATCAGGAGTTCTGTGATTTAACGTTTATTCAAAGAACCCATGAGAGAACCAGAGGCCATTGCTAGTTCTCTGCCATCCTCACATTCCTTAGTGGAGCACCTGAGTATAAATCAAATGTCTTTCAACTGTGATGACAAAATGATATTGTAATTCCTTTTCGTAACCAAGTTATTGCGGTTTAGTATTCCAGGGCCTTTCTTGCTGGAAATCTAAAAGTCTTCTCAGTTATATCAGAGTTTCTCATAGGTTAACCTCCCAGATGCCCCTGAATAGCTCTTTCCATCCTTCCATGCATCCATGCATCCATCCATCCATTCATCCATCCATGCACCCATGCATCCATTCATCCATGCATCCATGCATATATGCATGCATCCATCCATGCATCCATGCATCCATCATCCATCCATCCATCCATCCATGCATCTATCCATCCATCTATCCATCCATGCATCCATCCATCTATCCATCCATGCATCCATCCATCTATCCATCCATGCATCCATCCATCTGCTCACCCAGCCACCTACCTTTCATCCATCCACTCACCCACCTATCCTTCTTTTCATCCACCAGCCCATTTATGCATGCATCCATCCACTTAGTCACACACTCAACTTTTCATCTTGGGTGATAGAGGTTGGGATGCTCATGATTTTGGTGATGTTAGAGGTTGAGATGCAAATAATTTTTGGTGGGGGATAGATGCAAATGATTTTTGCTGGGATGCACATGTTTTTTTAGGGATAGGGATAGAGGTTGGAATGCACATGATTTTTGGGGAGATAGAGGTTGGGATGCTCATAATATTTGGGGGGATAGAGGCTAAGATGCAAATGACTTTTTGGGGATAGCGGTTGGAATGCACATTTTTTGGGGGAGTTAGTTAGAGCTTGGGATGCTCATGTTTCAGAGGATAGAGGTTGGGATGCACATGATTTTTAGGTGGATAGAGCCTGAGATGCACGTGATTTTTAGGGGGGATAGAGGTTGGGATGCACATGATTTTTAGGAGGATAGAGCCTGAGATGCACATGATTTTTAGGGGGGATGGAGGTTGGGGTGCACATGATTTTTAGAGGGGATAGAGGTTGGGATGCACATGATTTTTAGGAGGATAGAGCCTGAGATGCACATGATTTTTAGGGGGGATGGAGGTTGGGGTGCACATGATTTTTTGGGGGTAGGGTTTGTAATGCACATGATTTGTTGGCAGTAAGAGTTGGGATGCACTTAATTTGTTGGGGGGACGAGGATTAGAATGCACTGAATTTTGGGGAGAGTGCAGGGTTCATCACATCACCACACACATGATTTTGGGGTGGGGTTTACATGCACATGATTTTGCTGGGGGCCAGGGTTTAGAATGCACTTGATTTGTTGGAGGGATAAGGATTAAAATGCATGGGATTTTTTTCTTTTTGGTGCAGGGAGCGGAATTCACATGATCTTTGAGGCATAGAAGTTGGGATGCCTATAACTTTGAGGGTAGGGGTTGTAATGCATGTGGTTTCTTACAGAGGGGGTACTTCTAGAAGATGAGTACTGATAGGACGGAGGAAGGAGCTAAACAAAGAGGCGGTCTCAGCAAGAGTCCAGCCTCAGGCTAATCTCATGGGGAGCTATGGACTATGCACCCTGGAGTTGATCCACCTTGAGGCAGGGCCCTTATGCAAGGTCGCTGTTTCCATCAATCATTGGCTGTGGCTGCCCCAGGGGTGGGTGCAAGCCAAACCTTACAGGTAAATGAATAAATGCAACCATGAAGGGCATCTGGGTGGAGCACCAGGAGCACTGGCTGCATTGCTCAAACCTTTCTCTGGGTCATGCTCACCCCTGCCTCAAATGTTGTCACACAGAGTGTGAACGTCACTTCCTCTTCATTTTAAAGTGTTCAACATAGCAATTCTCATAAGCCATGTTGCATCATCGCAAGATAAATGTGGGGGCGAGCAGCTTCCACATGACTTTTAAAAAAATTTCTGTTATTTTTAATTGAAAGATAAGAATTTTATATATTGATGGGGTACTATGTTAACATGTTGGAATATGTATACATGTGTAATGATTGTACCAAGTGAATTAGCATGTTCATTACTTCACATACTTGTATATTTTGTTGTAGTGAGAACATTTAAATGTTATATATATATGTAGATACAGTCTCACTCTGTTGCCCAGGCTGGAGTGCAGTGACATGATCATAGCTCACTACAGCCTTGAACTCCTGGGATCAAGCAGTCCTGTTGCTCCAGCCTCCTGAATAGCTGGGACCACAGAGGCATGCCACGATGCTGGGCTCATTTATACATATACATAAATGTTTTGTAGAGATGGGGTCTTGCCATGTTGCTAACTCCAGAGCACAAGCCCTCCTTCCACCCTAGTCTCCCAAAGTGGTGGGATTACAGGTGTGAGCCACTGCACCTGAACAAAATCTATTTTTTAAAATAATTTTCAAATTTTTTAGCTATTGGCACCTTGCTGGGCAATAGATCTTGAAAACTCATCTTTCCTATTTAACTGGAACTTCATATTCTTTGGTGCATGTAACGCTTAATTATTATTATTATTATTTCTTGAGAAGGAGTCTCCCTCTGTCACCCAGGCTGGAGTGCAGTGGCATGGTCTCAGCTCACTGTATCCTCTGCCTCACAGGTTCAAGCAGCTCTCCTGCCTCAGCCTCCTGAGTAGCTAGGATTACAGGTACATGCCACCACACCTGGCTAGTTTTTGTATTTTTAGTAGAGAAGGGGGTTTCACCAAGTTGGCCAGGTTGGTCTTGAACTTCTGAACTCAAGTGATTTGCCCACCTTGGCCTCCCAAGGTGCTGGGATTACAGGTGTGAGCCACCTCATCTAGCTGTAATGCTTAATTCTTGACAGCCTCAAAGATGATCATGGAAGCCAGCTTGGTAGTCAGGTTGAATTTATTTAAGTGTTGATGTAGATCCCTATAGAAAGGATGCTGTTGATGGCTCACCCAGGTCCCATTTCCTGGTTTATTCCCTGGAACTATTTCCAAGAGAAATAAAATCAAATTTTATTAATGCCAAGAATGTATTTCTTTGCCTATTGTTCTGTAGGGACTCATCCTCCAGCTATTGTGAATTAGTTGCTTGTTGCTATGACTCACAGCTGTCTGATATGTCAACCTGAAATAATCAAAAGCATAAGATTCCAGGTTTTTTTTTTTTTTAAGACGGAGTTTCGCTCTTGTTACCCAGGCTGGAGTGCAATGGCGTGATCTCCGCTCATCGCAACCTCCGCCTCCTGGGTTCAGGCAATTCTCCTGCCTCAGCCTCCTGAGTAGCTGGGATTACAGGCATGCGCCACCATGCCCAGCTAATTTTTTGTATTTTTAGTAGAGACGGGGTTTCACCATGTTGACCAGGATGGTCTCGATCTCTTGACCTGGTGATCCACACGCCTCGGCCTCCCAAAGTGCTGGGATTACAGGTGTGAGCCACCATGCCTGGCCAAGATTCCAGTTTTAAAGAGCTCATTCAAGAGAAAACCCAGGAATAACCATTCTGGGATGCACAAACTCTAGAGAAACGGAGTCAATGCTCTGAAGTTAAAAGCTAAGTTCTTGCTTATCTATAGGAAGACAAAGTGATTCTCCTGCCTTCACCTCCCAAAGTACTGGGATTACCACAAGATGGCACTATAAGGTAAAGTTCCTTAATCTTACCACAAGATGGCACTATAAGATAAAGATTAAACCCTCTGAACCAGGCGCGTGAGGTCACCGTGTGGTAAGATTAAAGAACAAGAAATCAAACGTAGCTTCAAATGCTGGGCTTCACCTGAGGGTAAAGGGTGGGAGGAGGGAGAGGATCAGGAAGAATAACTAATGGGCACTAGGCTTAATATCTGGGTGATGAAATACTCTGTACAACAAACCTTTGTGACATGACGGGGGCGTTTTAAGTTCAGAGGTACACATGCAGGTTTGTTATAAATAGGTAAAAAACCTATAAATCCTTTGTTAACCATATATAACAAACCTGTACATGTACCCCTGAACTTAAAATACAAGTTAAAAAAGAAATAAAACGGGGTTAATCTTGTAAATACATGGACTCCTTTCTTATTCTTTCCTTTTTTGAGACAGAGTCTCATCTGTTGCCCAGGCTGGAATGCAGTGGCGTGATCTCGGCTCACCGCAACCTCCACCTCCCAGGTTCAAGGGATTCTCTTGCCTGAGCCTCCCCAGTGGCTGGGACCACAGGCGCCCGCCACCACGCCTGGCTAATTTTTGTATTTTTAGTAGAGATGGGGTTTCACCATATTGACCAGGCTGGTCTGGAACTCCTGGACTCAAGTGATCCTTTGCCCCAGCCTCCCAAAGTGCTGGGATTACAGGTATGAGCCACCGTGCCCAGCTCTACTTCTTTGTAAGAACATTTAGCTTAAAACAGATACATTATACAGCATAAAGCTATTTTCTTTCTTTATATCCTTGTTCTACAAGCTGCTTTCTTTCTTTTTTTTCTTTCTTTCTCTCTTTCTTTCTTTCTTTTTTTGAGTCTGAGTTTCGTCTTGTTGCACAGGCTGCAATCTCTGCCTCCTAGGTTCAAGTTATTCTCCTGCCTCAGCCTCCGGAGTAGCTGGGATTACAGGTGTGTGCCAAGCCCAGCCAATTTTTGTATTATTAGTAGAGACTGGGTTTCACCGTGTTGGCAAAGCTGGCCTTGAATTCCTGACCTCAGGTGATCCACCCACCTTGGCGGATCACTCCCAAAATCCTGGGATTACAGGCGAAAGTCACTTCACCCAGCCTTTTCATATTTTTAAAACCTTTTTAAATGACTGGCAGAAATTTGTTTACACCAGCATTACCATAAACATGAGTAATTCATTGCATTGCAACATTGTGACAGCTGCCACATCACTAGGTGATGGGAAATTTTCAGCTCCATTATAACCTTAAGGGATCACAACTGTGTGTGTGGTTTGTGGTTGACCAAAACGTTGTTATGTGGTGCATGACTGCACATGTGCCTGATATATAAAGAATACCAGCTGGGCACAGTGGCTTAGGCCTGTAATCCCATCACTTTGGGATGCCGAGGCGGGTCGATCACGAGGTCAGGAGATCAAGAACATCCTGGTCAACATGGTAAAACCTTGCCTTTACTAAAAATACAAAAAATTAGCGAGGAATGGTGGCATGTGCCTGTAATCCCAGCTACTCGTGTGGCTGAGGCAGGAGAATCGCTTAAACCAGGGAGTCGGAGGTTGCAGTGAGCTGAGATGGTGCCACTGCACTCCAGCCTGGAGACAGAGCGAGACCCTGTCTCAAAAAAAAAAAAAAAAAAAAAAAAAAAAAAAAAAAAAAAGAATACCGGGGAACTAGTGACAGTTGTTGTTTCAGGGAAGGAAAATTTAGGAATAGAGTTTAGAGTGAGCCTCCCATTTGAACTTTTCCTATAGGTATTATGTGTACTACATAATGCATAATTTAAAAAAGTCAGATCTGTGTTTAAACAAATTCATACATCTTATGTTTAGTGAGAAAGGCAAGCTGTAGAAGAAACAAAAATACGTAATCTTATTTTTAGACTAAATAAAGTTGACCCTTGAACAACAAAGGTTTGCACCGTGGCTATCCCCTTACAGGCAGGTTTTTTTCTACCTCTGTCCTTCCTGGGACAGCAAGACCAACTCCTCCCCTTCTTCAGCCTACTCAGGGTGAAGATGACGATGAAGACCTTTATTTACGATCTTTATGATCACTTCCACATAAACAAGAGTAAACACATTTTCTCTTCTTCATGATTTTCTTAATAACACTGTCTTTTCTCTGAGGTTAGTTTATTGTAAGAATATGGCATATAATACATATAGATGCAAAGGAACTTTATGTTATTGGTAAGGCTTCTGGTTAACGGTAGTCTATGAGTAGGTAAGTTTTTGGGGAGTCAAAAGTTAGAAGTGAATTTTCCACTGCACAGGGTGGCACCCCAACCCCTGTTGCCTAAGGGTCAGCCATGTATAAAAATACAAAACCGGCCGGGCGCGGTGGCTCAAGCCTGTAATCCCAGCACTTTGGGAGGCCGAGGCGGGTGGATCACGAGGTCAAGAGATCGAGACCATCCTGGTCAACATGGTGAAACCCCGTCTCTACTAAAAATACAAAAAATTAGCTGGGTATGGTGGCACGTGCCTGTAGTCTCAGCTACTCAGGAGGCTGAGGCAGGAGAATTGCCTTAACCCAGGAGGCGGAGGTTGCAGTGAGCCGAGATCGCGCCATTGCACTCCAGCCTGGGTAACAAGAGTGAAACTCCGTCTCAAAACAAAACAAAACAACAACAACAACAACAACAAAACATTCTTAATATGGGTATATTATTTGTAGGGGATTGAGTTAAGCCCTTGGATAAAGGTGGAAGGGGTTGGAGAGAAAGGAAGGAAAAGGGGTGAGTTAAATATTGAGCATCCCTAAAGAGCCCTGGGGGAGGTGGGATGTCCCCTCTCCACCCTCCAAACCCAAGCTCCGCCCCCATTCCCACCCCAAGCACAGGCCCCGTCCCATCTCTGCCCCTAGGGCGCACACCCTGCCCCTACCACCGCCACCACCCTCCAAACCGAGGCCCTGCGCATTCCCGCCATTGGGGTGCAAGCCCCGCCCATCTGCCCTCTGAGTGGCACCGTCTCAAAAAAAAAAAGACAAAAACAACAAAAAGCAGAGTTTTAAAATTTTTTTATTTTTTTATGTTTCAAAGTTTTACTTCTGCTGTGGGCATCAAGTTTTTTACTGAGGTGACGGTATCTTAAGGAAAGCGATTTCTCAGTTATTTCACAAATACTATTATCAAGGAAAATAATACTACGTATTATTAAAAGCAAGCCACACCCCCACCCCGCCCCAGCACAGGCCCCGCCCCACTTCTGCTCCTGGGACCAAGCCCCACCCCATCCCCGTCCCTCGGACATAGGCTCCGCCCCCAGCACCACCCTCCCTGCCCGGTGGGACCCCACTCCAGAGCCTAACTTCATCCCCCGTGTAAGAATACTAGAATTGCTTCTTGGAGGCTAAAGAAAACGTAGTTCTCCTGCCGCCGCCTAAGGCTCCTCTGGCCAGAACTGCCGGAGTCATAGCTACTTCCGCTCCCAGCGGCCCGGATACCGGAAGCGGAAGTGCGCGCGGTGGTGACCGTCTGCGGCTGAGCTGTGCTGCGCTGCGCGGCGAAGTGGGAGTGTCTGCTGCTGGTCTGCAGGTGTGGCCCGGCCCCTAGGGAGGGCGGGGAGGGCTCTTGCTGGCGCCGGGAGGGGCTGAAGGGCCTAGAACAGCTCTGCGGGTCTGAGGTGCTTCCTCTTTGCAGTCACCCGGGGGCAGCGTGAGGCCCACACCGCCAGGGCCTAGCATCTGGGCGCCCACTCCCCGGTCTCTTGTTGTCAGCTATCCCCCCTCCGGGCAGACAGGGTTGTCGTCCTGTCAAAAGGGAAATCGCAAACAATCCTGATCCCACAGCTCAGGAATGTGGTAGTACCGGCCCCAGCCCTCACCTGTCCTTCCCAAGCTTTAGGGAAAGTGCATGAAGAGGGCCCTACCTTACCTATAGTATGCAAGATAACTGCGAGTTAGTAATTCACGTTTTATATGATGTGATACTTAATATTATGTAGCTTTGCAACTGGAAAGTGACGTCTGGGTCCACATTTGCAAATTGTAGGGCTGAGGGCCCCACAGGGTCGTGGGGCGAGCCTTATGCTGTGCTGAGGCGCAGGATCCGAGAACTAAAGAGACAGGACACAGAAGTACAAGAAAAAGGCACCTGGGCTCAGGGGGCCACACCACCTATAAGCGGAGTCAGGCGAGGCCTGGAATGTCCAGAAGCGTGAGTATTTATTGTGTATAGGTTAGGGGGCAGGGCAGTGAGTGAAATCATCTTTAAGGATAGTGATAGGGTCGTGAGCAATGAAACATGGGGTCCACCCCCATTAGGTCACCTAGGAGGTGAACAGTGCGAAGCAAAGGGCCCGTTCCCATGAAGGCAAGGGCCGTGTGCAGTAAGGGGTCCACTCCCATTAGGTCACCGAGGCTTGAAGGTCAGCCGTGCGCAGTGAAGAGGGTGCAGTATGCAATACTTCTATCTATGGGCAAACTACTTATAAGATTTATAAGATTTAAGTCACATAGCAGTGACTGATCTGTCAAGGTTACCGCCACCTTCTGGCAGCTTCCGATGGGTTCTATGGGAAGATGCTTTTCAAGCAGCACAGTAGCAAGAGCTGATAAAGTGCACAGTCACCAAGGTGGATTGCCGTTCTGAGGGCAGCCTTTCACAAGAACTGGAGCAAGGTCCTACAACTCCTTTATCAGGAGGAGTGGCTCTTGCCCCAAGCCTGCCATACAGCGGGTATCTTTACGATACTGAATGCTGCCACCTGGGCTATGGATTCTTGTCCTAGTATAACTATCCCTTAAATCATGCTCTGCACTGTGTCTGCTCTAGGCATTCCTCCGATTATGAACTAAGATATAATTATAGGTATATATGTAGGGAAATATTCTTTAGGCACTCATACTATCAACTATTATATGATTATATATAGAGGATTATATAAAGGAAGTCCTATTTCTATAAACTAATATATGATTATAAAAGGAAATAGCTGAGTAGTTAACACTATAAAGTGAGATATTCCTCAAACCCTAACTGTGCCAGGGTTCTGCTTAGCTGTCATTCCTCGGTGCCTATATGGGGGGTTACCCACACAAATTGGTTTAATTGATTGGCCAAGTTTACTTAAAAAATTAAATGCGGCCGGGCGCGGTGGCTCAGCCTGTAATCCCAGCACTTTGGGAGGCCGAGGCGGGTGGATCACGAGGTCGAGAGATCGAGACCATCCTGGTCAACATAGTGAAACCCCGTCTCTACTAAAAATACAAAAAACTAGCTGGGCATGGTGGTGCGTGCTTGTAATCCCAGCTACTTAGGAGGCTGAGGCAGGAGAATTGCCTGAGCCCAGGAGGTGGAGGTTGCGGTGAGCCGAGATCGCGCCATTGCACTCCAGCCTGGGTAACGAGAGCGAAACTCCGTCTCAAAAAAAAAAAAAAAAAAAAAAAATTAAATGCATCCTCCATTAAGGAATGAATTAGATGAAGAGAGGTTTTTTGTTTTTTGTTTTTTTGATACTGACAATTTGAAGTCTTTTAGCTTAATATGTTAGCTTGGCTTTGCATTTCTTCCTTTCCTTAACTTTTTCTTTCTTCTTTTCTTTCTCATAAAAGAGAGAACTTTTGGCTGGGCGTGGTGGCTCACACCTGTAATCCCAGCACTTTGGGAGGCCGAGCTGGGAGGATCATTTGAGGTCAGGAGTTCAAGACCCGCCTGGCCAACATGGTGAAACCCTGTCTCTACGAAAAATACAAGAATTAGCCAGACATAGAGGCAGGTGCATGTAATCCCAGCTACTCGAGAAGCTGAGGCAGGAGAATCGCTTGAACCCTGGAGGCAGAGGTTGCAGTGAGCCAAGATTGCACTACTGCACTCCAGCCTGGGTGACAGAACGAGACTCTGTCTCAAAACAAAACAACAACAGCAACAAAACAAAAAAGAGAGTTAAATTTTTTTTTTGTTTTTTATTTTTTATGTTTGAGACCTTTTAATTTTTGACTTTTACTTCTGCTGTGGGCATCAAGTTTTTCACTGGTGAAAAACTTGATGAGGTGAGGGTATCTGAAGCCATTTCTCAGTTATTTCGCAAATATTATTATCAAGGAAAAGTAAGGCTATTATTCAGATCTTTTCAAATTGGCTCCAGGCCTTCCCCCGAGCATGTGAATCACAGAGCTTCAAAATGTATGGAACTTCAGGGAAAAGACGGTAGAAACTTTGTTAGTACTGGAAATTCAAATTGAGTTGGACATAAGTGAGATGTCTTTTAAAATAATGGGGTAAAAGCTCATGTCTACTGAGAAATGAGGAAAAAATTAACTCCAGAGGAAAATTATGCATCCGATTTCAGTTTAATGAGTGAGGTGTTTGTTTCCAAAAAGAATATATACCCTTGCCTTGCCTTTTTAGAAATAATTAATATTGTTCCTTAAAGATACCTGAAACTTGTGATTATGACTTGTGAAAGACAGGCTTTGAGTTATTCTTACATTTGATTTTTGTGGTGTCATATTCTTTTTTTTTTTTTTTTTTTTTTTTTTGAGACAGAGTTTTGCTTTTGTTGCCCAGGCTGGAGTGCAGTGGTGGGATTTAGGGTCACTGCAACCTCCACTTCCCAGTTTCAAGCGATTCTCCTGCCTCAGCCTCCCGAGTAGCTGGGATTACAGGTGCCTGCCACCACGCCCAGTTTCACCATATTGGCCAGGCTGGTCTTGAACTCCTGACCTCAAGTGATCCACCTGCCTCGGCCTTTCAAAGTGCTGGGATTACAGGTGTGAGCCACCACTTCTGGCCTCCTGGGCCTCATTCTAAGGCCATGGGGAAACCACTGAAGTTTTAAGTAGGTGAGTGACATGATTATGTTTGTGATGTAAACAAAACACCAATCCTGGATTGAGCATGGAGTTTAGGATGGACAAGGATAAATGCAGAGTCAGTATGGGAGGTTGGAGAAGTTCAGGACTTGGATGATGGTAGCTAGGGCTTGATGATTGTGGAACTGGAAAAGTGGGAATGTTTGAGATGCCTGTAGAAGGTAGAATTGAGAGAATTCAATGATTGATGCATTCTCTTTACCACATAAGCAAGGTCCGCAAACTGTGACTAGTGGGCCAAATCTGGTCTGATGCTGGCTTATATGAATAATGTTTTATTGGAACACATTTGTTCATGTGGCTATTTTTGCCCTATGACCATATGGCCCACAAATCCTAAGACATTTATTACTTAGTCCTTTGCAGAAAAAGTTTACCAACCCCTAATATGTAAAGTACTTAGTATTCATTACGCACTGTGCTAGTGACTGGATGTGGAGTTCTGAAAAAAGTGGATACAGGTCTATACTTGAAAAGTTTTTATCAGGCTGGGCATGGTGGCTCAGGAGTGTAATCCCAGCACTTTGGGAGGCCTAGGCAGGTAGGTCACCTGAAGTCAGGAGTTTGAGACCAACCTGGCCAAAATGGTGAAACCCTATCTCTACTAAAAATACGAACATTAGCTGGGCATGGTGACGCATGCCTGTAATCCCAGCTACTCGGAAGGCTGGGGCAGGAGAATCAATCGCCTGAACCCAGGAGGCGGAGGTTGCGGTGAGCCAAGATCTCGCAATTGCACTCCAGCCTGGGTAACAAGAGCGAAACTCTGTCTAAAAAAAAAAAAAAAGAAAAAGGAAATATCAAACGATATCTTCATACGGGCAGTAGAGAAAAAGTAGAGGATCTTAGAGGTACTTTGAGGGGAGCTAGGAGGAAAAATGATCCTTTGATGACATAGGAAGTGCTGGCAGAAGTCACCAGAGGCTGTTGTTTCAAAGGTGGCTCAGGGCCCAACATATTGCTTATGGAGATACATGTCCTGTAAGGGTTTTTAGTGTGGCCACTCTGCTGGAGATCCCCCAAAATGCTCTGCTTTCGTCCTTACGCTTTCTTGACCTCAATATCTCTTCTGTTGCAGGGAGGACACCTACTGAGACCTCAAACCCTGGCTCCAGTGCCATGGTGAGGAAGCTGGGGGACTCTGATGGCTGAAGGGATGGATAAGTAGGATAACTGTGTCTTCTGGGCCCTGTCTCCTCTCTTCACACTTCCCTCCCCAACTGAGGAAGAAAGTGGGGGTGGAGTGAGGTGTATCCTCATCCCTGCCCTAGGGAACTTAGGGATGTCCTTCTGTGTGTGACCTCTAGAGGGAAACTGGCATGGAAGAAGAGTCCCACAGCAGACCCCGGGGCTCTGAGCGCAGCTCTCCAGAGCCAGCCTTGCCATCCGTGGTGAGACCTGTTGAAAACACATGTGGCCATGTAAATATAGATTAACCTTGAATTAATTAAGATTCAACATGTTTAGCCAGGCATGGTTATGTGTGCCTGGAATTGCAGCTACTTGGGAGGCTGACGTGGGATGATAGCTTGAGCCCAGGAGATTGAGGCTGCATCGAGCTAGGATCGTGACCTTGTACTGCAGCCTGGGCTGCAGAGTAAATCCTGTCTCAAAAAAATAAAATAAAATAAAATAAAAAATTAAAGTGCTCAGTTTCTCAGTCTCCCAGCCACATTGTTCAACAGCCACATGTGCTGGTAACCCCTTTCTGGAAAGCGCAGGCATGGAACATTCCCATCATCACAGAGTGCTGTCTGTTGGACAGTGCTGCTCTAAGGAATTCTGTAATTAAAAGGCCATAAAGATTGTGGTGGCTCATGCCTGTAATCCCAGCACTTTGGGAAGCCAAGGAGGGCAGATCACTTGAGGCCAGGAGTTCAAGACCAGCCTGGCCAACAGGGTGAAACCCTGTCTCTACTAAAAATACAAAAAATTAGCTGGGTGTGGTGGTGGGCGCCTGTAATCCCAGCTACCAGGGAGGCTGAGTCAGGAGAATTGCTTGAACCCAGGAAGTGAAGGTTGCAGTGAGCCGAGATCACAGCACTGCACTCCAGCCTGGGTGACAGAGCAAGACTCCATCTTAAAAAAAAAAGTTAATCAGATGCAGTGATGCAATGGAAGTCCTATTTTCACAGGTATAAAAGATTAGTAAGGACGTAAGTCTTGGGGGATCCAGGGACTTCACAGAAATTAAGTGGTCAAGCCCAACTTTGTGATGTTGTGCCAATTTGTGATAAGGAGTTTAGGAAAAACTCTCTAAGCCAGGAAGGACAGGCCCTGCCATCACAGGTCAGTGGAGTTACAAAGAGAGCCAAAACGTACGCTTTAGGATTTGTCCAAGTGTTAAAAGAACATAAACATTTCAGCTTGGTGGCCCATGTGATCTGTGTTACAACTACTCAGTTCTGCCATTGTGGTCCATTGTGGCCTAAAAACAGCCACAGCCGTAGGTGCATTGTAAATAAATGGACACGGCTATAACCAAGAAAACATTATTTACAAAAAGAGGTAGTGGGCTGGATTTTCCGTGCCTGCCGTGTCTGAACAACCTCTCTTCCCCAGTGATAACCAGTCGTTCTGCTCAGTGGTGGGGGCAGTCTTTGCCGAGCCGGAATGTGTGTGCTGTTTTAGGAACCAGTCACCTTCGAGGATGTGGCCGTGGAGTTCGTCCAGGAGTGGGCGTTGCTGGACAGTGCGCGGAGGAACCTGTGCAGATACGGGATGCTGGACAGGTGCAGGAGCCTGGCCTCCAGGGGTAAGGCTGGCGTCCCGTGGCTCCTTTCCGTACGCAGGCACGACGTGCTTCTTTATCGCCTGCCATGTGAACAAGACGGACATGGCTTAGCCTTTGTCACAGGATGACAAAGCTTCATCCATTGCACTCACTTCTTTTTCTCCCTCTACTCCAAGGAGCTGAGGCTCTCTTACCTCGGAAGCCTGGGGCCGAGTTCAAGGAGACCCAAACAGGGCCTTTCTCAGCCCCTTGGAGCAGAGGGGAGGGTGTTTGTGGGTTGGGTCCCGAGTTTGTTAGCTGTTGGGCAAGATCCCTCTGCTCCCCATCACACTTGCTCAGCCCAGGGAATCTAAAGCCCACGTTGAAGCTGAAGGAGAGTTGGAGTTGAACAACAAGAGTTTGTTTTCCCCTGTAAGTTCTCCCTCCCTCAGCACCTGTGTCTTTCTTTATGTGCAGAAACTCCACTCTTGTCACCTAGGCTGGAGTGCAATGGCGCAATCTCGGCTCACTGCAACCTCTGGCTCCTGGGTTTAAGTGATTCTCCTGCCTCAGCCTCCCGAGTAGCTGTGATTACAGGCATATGCCAGCACACCCGGCTAATTTTGTATTTTTAGTAGAGACGGGGTTACTCCATGTTGGTCAGGCTGGTCTCAAACTCCTGACCTCAGGTGATCCATCTGCCTTGGCCTCTCAAAGTGCTGGGATTATAGGTGTGAGCCACTGCACCTGGACTTGGAGCGAGGTTTCTCAAGTTCCTTTAGCTTCTCTTCTGTTTTCACTTTCTAGCTCTCCTCTCCTACTTTCCTTTGGTCTCAGAAAAAGATTTGTTGTAGTTCCTCTTAAAAAAAAAAATTAGAACGCCGGGCCTAGTGGCTCATGCATGTAATCCCAGCACTTTGAGAGGCCGAGGCTGGCAGATCACCTGTCAGGAGTTTGAGACCAGCCTGGCCAACATGGCAAAATCCTGTCTCTACTAAAAATACAAAAGTTAGCCAGGCATGGTAGGGTGCACCTGTAATCCCAGCTACTTGGGGAGCTGAGGCATGAGAATTGCTTGAACATGGGAGGTGGAGGTTGCAGTGAGCCAAGATCACACCATTGCAGTTCAGCCTAGGGGACAGAGTCAGAATCTGCCTCCAGAAAAAAAAAAAACAAAACAACAACCAAAAAATTAGAGCTGTAAGTCACATACCATGAAATTCACCCCTTTGAAGTGTGCAGTTCAGTGGTTCACAGCCTTGTGTAACCATCACCACTGCCTAATTCCAGAATATTTTAATCACCTCAAATAGAAACCCTGTCCCCAGGAGCAGCTACTCCTCATTCCCCCTCTCCCTCAGCCCCTGGCAGCCTCTCATTTGCTTTCTGTCTTTATGGTTTGTCCTATATAGACATTTGTGTAGTGGAAATCGTATCATAAGTAGCCTTTGGCATAATAGTTTTGTGTTGCAAATAAGTTACAGACTGGGTAATTGATAAACAATGGAAGTTTATTTGACTCCTGGTTCTGGGGGCTGGGAAGTCTAAGGTTGAGGGGCTGCATCTGGTTAGGGCCTTCTTGCCGCGTCATAACATGGTGGAAGACATCATGTTGCAAGGGAGCAAGAGAGGGCCAGACTTGTTTTTACAGCAAGGCCACTCTTGAGATAACTCAGTCCCTTCTGAAATAACCACATGAATCCATTCATGAGGGCGGATCCCACATGACCTCATCACTTTTTTTTTTTTTTGAGACAGAGTCTCACATTGCTGCTAGGCTGGAGTACAATGGTGTGATCTAAGCTCACTGCAGTATCTGCCTCCCAGGTTCAAGCAATTCTCCAGCCTCAGCCTCCTGAGTAGCTGGGACTACAGGTGCACACTACCATGCCCAGCTGATTTTTTTGTATTTTAGTAGAGATGGGGTTTCACCATGTTGGCCAAGATGGTCTCGATCTCCTGGCCTTTTAATCCGTCCACCTCGGCGACCTCATCACCTTTTAAAGGTCCCAGCTCTCAATACTGTTATATGGGGAATTGCTTCCAATCCATGAACTTTGGAGGATGCATTTAAACTATCTGTCTTCTTTCACTTAGCATCATGTTTTCCAGATCCATCCACGTTGCAGCATGAATCAGAACTTCATTCCTTCTTAAGGCTGAATAATATGTATTGGATGGATAAGCTACGTTTTGATTATTCATTCAGTTGATAGACAGTTGGATAGTTTCTACTTTTTAGCTATTATGAATAATGTTGCTGGGAACATTTGTGCACAATATTTCTTTTTGTTTTTTGGAGATAGGGTCTTGTCCTGTCGCCCAGGCTGGAGTGCAGTGGTGCAATCATAGCTTACCGCAGCCTCAGCCTCTTGGGCTCAAGTGATCCTCCCATCTCAGCCTCTTGAGTAGCTGGAACCACAGGTGCATGCCATCATGTCTGGCTCATTTTTAATTATTTTTATAGAGACTGTTCTTCCTGTGTTGCCAGGCTGGTCTTGAACTCCTGGTCTCAGGTGATCCTCCTACCTTGGCCTCCCAGAGTGGTGGGATTACAGGCATGCGCCACTGTACCTGGCCTTGTGTACAAGATTTATGTAGACGTATTTTTCATTCTTTTAGGTATACACTGAGGAGTGGAATTGCTGAGTCATATGGTAACGCTATGCTTAACTTCTTGAGGAATTATACCACTTTGCAAAACAGGTGCACCATTTTATGTTCCCATCGGTGGCAATGAGGGTTCTGATTCTCTACATTCTCACCCATACTGTCATCCACTTCTTCTTTAAATGTAACTTTTCTCTAAATGTAACCTTTAAGTGTAACCTTTTAAAAATGTAACCTTTCTTTAACTGTAACCTCTTCTTTAAATATAACCTTTCTTTGTATGTTCTTGGTATAGTTCTTTCTTACTCTTTTTTCTAATAACATCTGTTTTCTGAAAATAATATCAGTCCTCATAGAATTCTTAGCTAGGAAATTACCTCTCCTTTCTCCCTCAGTCTACACATAGCCTCCTACACAGATGCTGTCTTCCCTTTCAGGATCTTCCCAAGTCTAGGGTCAATATTAAAAGGAAAAGCCAGACTGGAAGCGGTGGCTCACGCCTGCAGTCTCACCACTTTGGGAGGCAAGGTGGGTGGATCACCTCAGGTCACAAGTTTGAGACCAACCTGGCCAACATGGTGAAACTCTGTTTCTATTAAAAATACAAAAATTAGGTGGGGGTGGTGGTGTGCACCTGTAATCCCAGCTACTCGGGAGGCTGAGGCACAATAATTGATTGAACCTGGGAGGTGGAGGTTGCAGTGAGCTGAGATTGCACCACTGTACTCCAGCCTGGGTGACAGATCAAGACTCCATCTCAAAACAAAACAAAACAAAACAAAACAAATTAGCTGGACACGGTGGTGCATGCCTGTAATCACAGCTGCTTGAACCTGGGAGGTAGAGGTTGCAGTGAGCCAAGATCTCACCACTGCATTCCAGCATGGGTGACAGAGTGACACCCTGTCTCAAAAATAAAATGAAAAGAAAATGCCTGTGTATGTACACACATACATGAATATATATTTTCAATTTTACGCCACCGTTTCTTTTTGAAAGGAATTCTTTTTTTCTCAATTCATTTCAGATTGGAAATCTCAACTTGGAGATATATGTATTCAGTATTAAAACTTGAATATTTACATTCAATATTAAAAGAAAAAGCCTATGTGTGTATAGCGTGGATACATATTCACATATGTGAATGTATATTTTCAATTTAATGTCACTATTTCTTTCTGATAGTTCATTTTTTCCTCTATTCATTTCAGCCTGGGAATCTCAACTTAAACCCAAAGAGTTGCCTTCTATGCGGGATATTTTGGAAGAAGCATCCTCCAGGGACATGCAAATGGTAAGATGTCCAGGGTTTCCCTGGCTCCCAGCACAGGAGAAGTTGCGGGACACGTGAGGTAGAAATATAGGACAATATAGGACCAGTGCCAGGGAGATGTTGGCAGCATGGGTGTCTCTTGGAAGGGAGACAGTGTCTGAGGGGAGTGCCTGTGACTTCAAGATTTTTTTTTCTTTTTTTTTTTTTTGAGACAGAGTCTTGCTCTGTCACCCAGGCTGAAATACAGTGGCACGATCTCGCATTATTGCAGCCTCTGCCTCCTGGGTTCAAGTGATTCTCCTGCTTCAGCCTCCTGAGTACCTGGGACTGCAGGTGTGCACCACTGTGCCTGGCTAATTTTTGTATTTTTTGGTAGAGACAGGGTTTTGGTAGAGACAGGGTTTCACTGTGTTTGCCAGGCTGGTCTCAAACTCCTGGCCTTAAGCGATCCACCTGCCTCTAGAACCCTTTTTTCCTAGGTTTCCTGAAGGAAACATTTTAGTAAACGTGAGTTAGACATTGAGTGTGTGAAATACGACTTCCTCCTCAGCAACTGTCAGAAAATCACCTCCTGTTAGAGAAGTCCCATTTTGAATAAGAGGGAGTCCTCTAGGAGAGCTGGCAACACACTCAACTGGAAGAACTCCAGTTGTCTAAACAAGGCCTGGCTTGAAAATGCTGAGAATGTGCTCCTGGCCAGGAGGACCCCGGGCACTGACACAGATATTGGCGAGCTTTCCACCATCACTCACCTCTTTTTTTGTTTTTTAAAAGACAGGGTCTCTGTCTGCCACACAGGCTGGAGTGCAGTGGCATGTTCATGGCTCACTGGAGCCTCAAACTCCTGGGCTCAAGTGATCCTCTTTCTTCAGCGTCCCAAGTCGCTGGGACCACAGGCCTAAGCCACCAGAGTCACCATGCTCAGATACTTTTTTCTCCTTCCCTCCTTCCTTCCCTCCTTCCCTCCTTCCTTCCCTCCTTCCCTCCTTCCTTCCTCTCTCTTTCTCTCTCTCTTTCCCTTTCCCTTCCCTTCCCTTACATTACTCACCTTTCTTTCCTTTCTCCCTTTCTTTTCTTTCTGCCTTTCTGACATTGGGATCTTGCTATGTTGCTCAGGATGATCTTGAACTTCTGGCCTCATGTGATCCTCTCACCTCAGTCTCCCAAGTAGCTGGGACCACAGGTGTGAGCCAGTGGGCTCAGCCATTGCTCACCTTTTGTCAGGAGCAAGGTCCACCTGGAGAAAAGGCACCTGATGAGTTGAAAGGAGGCAGGAACAGTTTCTGGAGGAGCTGGAGAGGTGGGGAGAATGAGCCACGAGGGTCAGGTGCCCTCTTCGTTTCTGTGGGTTCTCTCCTTTCAGCACAGGGCTCCAGCACCTTCCATAGAACTCCACAGCCAGCCTAGCAAGCCCCTTGTAATGGGTGCTGAGAGTGGCAGGCATGGGGCTTTTGTTACATCAGAGCCCCAGGAAATAGGCGGTCACAGACTATTCTGAGTGGGCAGCAGGGGTCCGCCTTTGGACACATGTAGAGAAGCTGAGCGAGTTTATCCTTGAAGACATCCAGCCGTTGAGTAATAGGTGGGTTTGGAGCAAGGAGTTGAACCCAGACCTAACCACAGGGACCACAGTCTCAGCTGCCAGCTTCTACTGCCTGATGATCATACAACCTGCCGCTGGGTTGATGGTGCTGACCCTTCAGACCCTTCAGGTAGTCCTTCCAGGCCACGTCAGGCACCACTGAGTCTTATTGCAATCACTGAGGCCCTGTACAGTGGCTCCGAGGCCTCCCTGTCATATGGGGAAAAGTACTGATGGCCAGGGACAGATTGAGTCCCCATGGCCTCCCACTCTTTGATCAGCTGATCCAGTGGAGGGACCAGTGAAGAGAGGGTAGGAAACCACTCTTAGAAGAGCCCCCAAGGAAGTCAGGTGCAGGGGCTCACCCCTGGAATCCCAGCAACTCAAGAGGCTGAGGCAGGAGGACCACAGGAGCCCAGAAGTTTGAAACCAGACTGGGCAACCTAGCAAGAACCCACCTGTGCAAAACATACAAAAATTAGCTATAGCCAGGTGTGGTGGTGTGCACCTGTAGTCCCAGCTACTTGGGAGGCTGAGGTGAGAAAATTCCTTGAGCCCAGGAATTCAAGGCTGCAGTGAGCCTTGTGTTCACACCACTGCTCTCTAGCCTTGGCGATGGAGCGGGATTCTGGTTCAAAAAATGAAAAATAAATGAAAAAATCCCAAGGGAGGCTGAGGAACAGGCCTCTCCAGGCTCAGCCCTTCTTCTGTCCCAGGGCCACCCCACAGCTGCCTCTTCTGCAGATGCCCATCTCTGTGAGGCTGCAGTGTCACTGCTTTTATCCTCTGCTGTGTCCCCAGGGCCTGCACCAGCAGTGCCCATGTCTTAGTCTGTTCTCCCCCTGCTAATAAAGAGATAGCCAAGACAGGGTCATCTCTAAAGGATGGGGCTTTAATTGACTCACAGTTCAGCATGACTCTGGAGGCCTCAGGAAACTTACAACATGGGGGATGCCAACATGTCTTTCACATGGTGGCAGCAAGGAGAAGTATAAACAAAAGGGGGAAAAGCCCCTTATAAAATCATCTGGTCTCGTGAGAACTCACTATCATGAGAACAGCAGCCTTGGGGAAACTGCCCCATGACTCAGTTACCTCCCACCAGTCCCTCCCATGACATGTGGGGATTATGGGAACTACGATTCAAGATGAGATTTGGGTGGGGACACAGCCAAACCATATCAGCCCAGTATGTATTTGTTGGACAAACAGGTGGAACACCTAAAAACAGTTTCTTAAGTAGAATGATCTGTGTCAAAATCATTGGGATGTCGACACTTGTCTGAAAACATACCCATGGGATTTTGATTTATGACACAGAGAGGCCAACGTCATTGGAAAATTTTTATTACTTGTATTTCTCGGGAGGACAGGGCACACCATACCACGCAGGGAAGCACAGGGTCAGCCTGGAGGCAGAAAGGAGCAAGGGGATAGCCCAGGCCAGAGCCTTTCTTGGGGTTTCCACAGGAAAGGTGAGGCTGGACAGGGTAAACTGAGTTTGAATAATTCCAGTGGACCTTGGGGGATAGGTGCTGTCCCTGGCTGATTGAGGGCAGGGGAAACATTGGCTGGGTGAGAGTGAGGTAAAGAGCTGGTACAGCCTGTGGGCTCTGGGTCCCAGGGGAGGTGGAGACAAAGTTTGCAGGCAGCTTGGCCCTGTGACTGACTGATGGATGCCCTGAGGACAAGGACAGCATTCCTCTTCAGGACCAAGATCTCCTGACCTTTCTTTTTCATTTTTTTGGGTGACTTAAACAGCAGAAATTTATTTTCTCACCGTTCTGGAGGCTGGAAGCCTAGGATCAAGGTGTCGGCAGGCTTGGGGTCTCCTGAGGCTTCTCTCTTTGGCTGGCAGGTGGCCATCCTCCTGCTGCCTCTTCACATGGCCACCTCTCTGTACCACACCTTCATGTCTCATAGCATCTCTAGGGGCTCTGTCCTAACCTCAGGTCTGTCTCTTTATCTGCAGTGTGTTCAATCCTCCAGACCCTTGGTGGCAGCTGGTGCCTACACTAGGTTGGGGATAGTTACTAGGTCTGAGGTCACCAGATGCCAGACCTGTGTACCTTGGCTTTTTTTTTAAGACAGTCTGGCTCTGTTGCCTGGGCTGGAGTGCTATGGTATGATCTTAGCTCACTGCAGCTTCTGCCTCCCAGGTTCAAGCGATTCTTGTGCTTCAGCCTCCCGAGCAACTGGGACTATAGGCACGCACCATCACACTTGGCTAACATTTGTAATTTTAGTAGAGATGGGTATATTAGTCTGATTTCCTGTTGCTGATAAAGACATACCTGAGACTGGGCAATTTACAAAAGAGAGAGAGGTTTAATTGGATTTATAGTTCCACGTGGCCAGGGTAGCCTCACAATCATGGCGGAAGGCAAGGAGGAGCCAGTCACATCTTACAAGGATGGTAACAGGCAAAGAGACCTAGTGCAGGAAAACTCCCCCCTTATAATAACCTTCGGATCTCATGAGACTTATTCATTATCACAAGAACAATCATGGGAAAGACCTGCCCCCATGATTCAATTACCTCCCACTGGGTCCCTCCCACAACATGCAGGAATTCAAGATGAGATTTTGATGGGGACACAGCCAAACCATATCAATGGGTTTTGCCGTGTTGGCCAGGCTGGTTTGGAACTCCTGGCCTCAAGCATTTCTCCCACCTCAGCCTCCCAAAGTGCTGGGATTACAGTCATGAACCACTGCACCCGGCCCCATTTGCCTTGACTTCTGGCAGCCCTAAACCCAAAACCAAAGGTCTCTTGGGCCAAGAACAGCTATGATACCACCTCTGTCCTGCTCAGCACCCTCTTATCTTTTCCCAGGGGCCAGAGCTGTTCCTGAGGATGCAGCTGGTGCCGCCCATGGAAGAGAGGGAGACACCATCAACTCAAGAGGACTGGCCAGCTCTCCAGGAGCCACCTTGGTCTCCAGGATGCATGGTAAGCCCAGGAGAGGTCAACTGTGATGGCACCAGGTGCAGTCAGGAAAGCCTGGGGTGTGGGGTGTCTGTAAGTTGCGGGAGCAAGAGGAGGTGAGTGTCTGGGCCTATATTTGGGAGTTGGGAATCTGTAAGAGGCCCAGGCTGTGGGCTTGGGGTGTTAGAGTCTGTTTCTGTGTTGAATGTACTTGTCCCCAGCGAGATGGCGGGCTCCAGGGTGGGTCCTGGGGGAGGGTCTGGCTGCTGGACTGTGAGCCCTGCCTTTCCTGGTCCAGCCTTTTTCCTTCCTGTCCTTCTATCCCAGCTCCACTGCTTCTGTGACCTTGAAACTGACAGGAACTGGCAGGTCCTATGACATGAGGGCTGGGCAAGGGAGCGTCCAGGCTCAGGGAAGTGAGGACCTCTTGCCTCAGGGCCCTGTGTGTCCTCACCAAGGCAGAGAGAGAATGAGAGAGGGATGCTGTAAGGCAGTGGTCCCCAACCCCAGGCCGTGGACCAGTACCAGCCCCTCGCCTGTTAGGACCCAGGCCGTAGAGCAAGAGGTGAGCGGCGGGCAAGCATCTGTGCCTGAGCTCTGCCTCCTGTCAGATCAGCAGCAGCACTGAACCCTCTTGTGAACTGCGCATACGAGGGATTAGGCTGCATGCTCCATGTAAGAATCTAACTAATGCCTGATGATCTGAGGTGGAACAATTTCATGCCAAAACCAACCCCCTACCCTGGTTTGTGGAAAAATTGTCTTCCATGAAATTGGTCCCTGGTGCCAAAAAGGTTGGGGACTGCTGCTGAGGCACATCCTGAGTACTGCCGTAGGAGAAAAGGCCTCCTCCCACTTGCCCCTGCCCTGTTCCCTTGACTGAGGGACCTGCTGCGTGTACCCCGCACCTCCCATCCACCACTAAGTCCTGCTAGCATTATCTCCAACATGTAACCCACCTCCAGCTGCCCCTCCCATGCCTGCTGCTGCCACCCTGTCCAGAGCCACTGTTAGTTCTCCTGGACTCCAGGTCTGCTCCTGACAGGCACCTGGGCCCCACCCTGGACACAGAGGACAAAGGGATCCCTTAGAACTGCAGGTCAGGTCAGGCGCCTTTCCTGAGTGAGCAGCTGCCAGCAGAGAAGAGTTCAAATCCTACTTCAAGGACTGATATTCCTCCCAGAGAAATTCACTGACTGCCTGCCCCTCATTCACACGGATCCACTGGCAAGCTCCATTTCCCCTCTATCCCTCAACCTCCCGGTCATTCACTCCCCACTTTTTTCCAGATTTTCCCTGACTTCTGGAGGCTCCCTGGAGTGTGCCATCTCCCCCAGCCTCTCTCCAGGCCATTTTGGACCACAGTGGTTAGCTTTATACTTAAGGGTTGGGTAAAACCCAACAAGGTGAATGGGCCCGTCTCTTCTTTTATTAATATGTTCCCCAAAGCAGGATCAATCGTGCAGATTCATGTGGGGTGAGCAGGTGTGAGTGGATCCCCTCGGCCTCTTGACTCTAATCTGTGACCCCTGTTACTCTGTCCAGGGACCAAAGGCTGCCGTGCAGATTCAAAGGACGGTGATGCCAGTGCCCACGCTGGGCCACCCTGACCTGTGGGTGGCTGGGAATTCTGGTGAGTGAGTGCCATGTGGAACACATGGCCAGGGGGCCCTGCTGTCCTTGGGTTCTGTCCAGGAACTTGTAGCTCCTCCTGCTTGCATTTCCTCTGACTGCAAGCACTGCTGTGGCACCATAGGGAGAGGGTACAGAAAGCCGCTCTTCTTATTTGTGTGTTTAAGGGGGAGGGCACTTGCAGTGACAGGTCTTTCTGTTAAGAAAGAGAGGGTTCACCCATCTGCAGCAAAGGCCAGATCTCTCTTTGGGCAACAGGAAATTATCGATGACACGATAATGTCGGTTTTGAAAATTACGATTGAATCTACTAGAAATGGCCCGTGTTTTAACTGTGCTTTTAAAAATGAGGTCCAGGCTGCTTACAGTGGCTCATGCCTTTAATCCCAGTGCTTTGCAAGGCCTAGGCAGGAGGATTGCTTGAGGCCTGGAGTTCGAGACCAGCCTGGGTAACTTAGTGAGACACCTAGTTCAAATAAATAAATAAATAAATAGACAAATAAACAAATAAATAAATAAATAAATAGCGGGTAGTACCTCTCAAGTCCCAGCTACTTGAGCGGCTGAGGCAGGAGGATTGCTTGAGTCCAGGAGGTCGAGGCTGATGTGAACTACAATTGCTTTACTGCACTTTCCAGCCTGGGTGACAGAGTGAGTCCCTGTCTCTAAAAAAAGAGGTTCAAAGCCACTTCTCTTGAGAAGTGGGGAAGAAATTAATTCTAGAAGACAAATAACATTTTAGCTTTAATGATAAAGTATTTGTTTTTTTCCAGTTTGCCTTCTAGTAAGAATAATAAGCTTTGTTTCTTAAAAAGGCTATCCACTCTTGTGTTTGGAATCTGTTATCTTCTTGACAGGCAACAATTCTTAGATCTAGGTCGTGTGTTGCTCTTCAGTATATTTTTGATAAGCCTTCTGGGCTGGGCTCTATTTTGTTAACTTTTTTTTTTTTTTTGAGATGGCATCTTGCTCTGTCACTGGGACTGGAGTGCAGTGATGTGATCTTGGCTCACTGCAACCTCTGTTTCCCGGGTTCAAGCCATTCTCCTGCCTCAACCTCCCAGGTAGCTGGGATTACAGGTGTGCATTACCATGCCTGGCTAATTTTTGTATTTTTAGTAGAGACAGGATTTCACCATGTTGGCCAGGCTGGTCTCGAACTCTTGACCTCGGGTGATCTGCCCACCTTGGCCTCCCAAAGTGCTGGGACCACAGGCATGAGCCACTGCGCCTGGCCTATTTTGTTACTTCTTGAAGCAGGTGTGACTATTGTCTGGTGGTGAGATGGGGATGAGGAAACAGTCACAAGAAAACCCCGACCCTTCCTCTGTGGAACTCACAGTCTGGCTTGGGGGTCGGGGTTTGAAATGAAGAACAGAGTCCAATGGAAGCGTGTTATACAAGGACTTCATCTCAGGGGATGGGGGAGAGTTCTGGGAAAGGATGGATATTTAAGCTTAGGACACGGTTTCTCAGCTGCAGAACTGCTGAGACTGGCACCCGTTTGCTGTCAGTTGTGGGGCCGTCCTGTGCATTGTGGGATGTTGAGTGGCATCCCTGGCCTCAACTCACTAGGTGCTAGGAGCACTTTTCCTCTATGCGTTTGCTAGGGCTGCCGTATCAAAGTTCCACCAGCCGGGTGGATTAAACAGCAGAAATGTATTGTCTCACAGTTCTGGAGGCCAGAAGCTCGAGATCAAGGTGTTGGCACAGTTGGTTCCTTTTGATGCCTCTCCTTGGCATGTGGATGGCCATCTTCTCTCTGTTTCTTCACAGCATCTCCCCTCTGTACATGCCTGTGTCTAGACGTCTTCTTCTTGTGATAGAGTTTGGATTTGTGTCCCCGCCTAAATCTCATGTCAAATGGTAATCTCCAGTGTTGGAAGAGGGGCCTAGTGGGAGGTGACTGGATGGTGGGGGTGGATTTCTCCCTTGCTGTTCTCGTGATAGTGAGTGAGGTCTCACGAGATCTGGTTGTTTGAAAGTGTGTAGCACCTCCCACTTCACTCTCTTGCTCCTTCTCCAGCCATGTAGCGTGTGTCTGTGTCCCCTTTGCCTTCTGCCATGACTGTAAGTTTCCTGAGGCCTCCCCAGCCATGCTTCCTGTGCACAGCCTGTGGAACCATGAGCCAATTAATCCTCTTTTCTTTATTCATTCCCCAGTCTCAGGTAGTTCTTTATAGCAGTTCAAGAATGGACTAATAATACATCTTCTAAGTACACCCATCATATTGGACTAGGGCCCACCCTACTGACATCGTTTTAATTTAATTACCTCTAAAGACGCTGTGTTCAAATATGGTTACCAGGGGTAAGATAAGATACCAGGGATTAAGACTTCAACATATGAATTTTTGGGGTAATACAATTCAGCTTGTAACAGCCACATATCCCCTAGTCTTGAAAAGCTAAAACGTCTCTAGATGCTACAGACTGAATTGTGCTCCCTTTCCCCAAAGGTCATGTTGAAGCCCAAATGTCTCCCCGAAAGGTGCCTGTATTGGAGATGGGGCCTCTAGGGAGGTAATAAAGGTTAAGTTAGGTCATAAGGGTGAAGCCCTGAACCAACAGAACTCATGCCCTTAGAAGAGGAAGATACACCAGAGCTTTCTCTCTCCTCTGTAAGGACACAGCCAGAAGGCAGCCATCTGCAAGCCACGAAGAGAGCCCTCACCAGGAACCAACCATGCTGGCATCCTGATCTCAAACTTCCAGCATCCAGAACTGTTAGCAGCAAATTTCTGTTACGTCACCTAGGACATGGTATTTTGGAATGACAGCTCAACATCAGACATTGCCAAACGTCCCCTGGGGGACAAGCCCTGACCTAGACCATGATAAGCACTGTCACATTTAGCTTGGTCAGGTGTCGGGCTGTTGGGAGGTTTGGAGAGAGGATATCAGGCCCAGGAACAACATTGATAACATTCCCCATGGAGCAAGAACCTGTTGCATCCAGGGCTCATGGAAGATGTGTGAAGGGAGCAGGAAGAACTGGGGAGAGAGTGATGTGAGCTGATTGAAGAAGGAGTAGGTTCCAGATCGTTTAGTGCCGTGACCAGCTTGGTCATAGAGACCCCAACCCAGGCGGTGCTGAAGGAATGAAGAAAAAGAAACAAAGATAGAGTGTAAAAGTGGGGAGCAGAGTGGGACGTCAGGGGCTGACAGCATTTCCCAGCTGACAGCCCAGAGCAGACTGTGACCGATGTATTTATTCTTTGTGAACAAGTGATTATTTTTAATAAGCAGGTGCTCAGTGTTTCTTCATAGAATAAAGAAGAAACCAGACTAGACTAGACAGGCAGCTAGTGCCTGTTCACTGCTAAAATAGAAATAAGCTAGAAAGCACTCTTTGTGAGTCAGCAATGGGGACAAGGTCAGATATCCTGTGTTTTGGGAACTGGTTTAACTAGCGCATGACTGGTACATACTACTTACTATTCTAGAAGTTTTCTGCCTGGGGATGGCTCAGTGTTCTTTGCCATCACCTTTCAGCAAACAATATATACTCCATCGCACACACGTCAAGACCTTCTCCCGAGTTCAGGGCTTGGTGTGCAGGAAAAGAACCCTGGCTTATGTTCTAAGCCCACCGGGAGCCAGTGACGTGTTTAGGTGAGTGCTGCAGTGCACTTGTGATTTTAACAGAACCCCACCCCCAGCACCTGGGAGGAGCGTGGGCTCAGGGAGGAAAGCAGTGGTAGATGGAGGCCATCAGGAGTAGAACAGTGCTGGTCTAGACTCGGGCTGAGTGTGAAGGAGGTGTGCTAGGTTCCCCCAAGACCACCGCAGGCTCGATGATACACTGGGACGACTCACAGCATATGTCGTACTCATGACTATGATTTATTACTACAAGTGGATATGAAGCAGAATCAGCAAAGGGGTGCTGAGTGCGGTGGCTCATGCCTATAATCCCAGCACTGTGGGAGGCTGAGGTGGGTGGATCACCTGAGGTCAGGAGTTCGAGACCAGCCTGGCCAACATGGCGAAACTCTGTCTCTACTAAAAATACAAAAATTAGCTGGGCATGGTGCTGCACTCCTGTAATCCCAGCTATTCAGGAGGCTGAAGCAGGAGAATCGCTTGAACCTGGAAAGCAGAGGTTGCAGTGAGCCGAGATGGTACTGCTGCACTCCAGCCTGGGCGACAGAGTTTCTTCTATCAGTTAGGGTGATGGGAACCTTCTTGAAATCCAGGTTCTCAGACTCCACCCAAGGGCCAGCCTTGCAAATACATCTTGCTAAGGAGACCATCAAGGCCGGCTGTCTTAACTCCTTTCTGCACAGTAGGGAAGTGAGGAATGATTTAAAACACATAGAGGCCAGGTGCAGTGGCTCATGCCTATAATCCCAACACTTTGGGAGTCTGAGGTGGGAGGACTTCTTGAGGCCAGGAGTTTAAGACCAGCCTAGGCAACATAGAAGACCCCATCTCTACCAAATAAGAAAATTAGCCAGGCATGGTTGTGTACACCTGCGGTCTTGCTACTCAGGAGGCTGAGGAGGGAGAACCGCTGAAGCCCAGGAATTCCAGGCTGCAGTGAACTAGTCCAGCCTGGATGAGAGAGCAAGACCCTGTCTCAAAAAAAATTATAGCAATAATGCATATAAAACATTTAGAGAAAGTCGAGTTAATTGAGTGTTTCATGTATTCATTTACCAATGACATGGAGTGTTTTTGTGCCAAGTAGGGTATCAAGGACAGGGCAGTAAAAGCACCCACGCGTATTCGTACAAAGCTTCCAATCCAGTGAGGATGACAGGAAATAAACCCATGGCAGCAGTACAAAGCTGGTTACAAATGGGTAAGGGCTGCAAAGAGCGGGGAAGGGTCCTATCAGAGAAAAGGAGAGAAGGGGCTCTTTCTACAGGGGAGGAGACCTCAGGACGGGACACTCTGAGGGGAACATTTCAGTGGATCCAAAAAGAAAAGGCTCCATGTAGGTGTCGGCTGTAGCGGGGATGGATGGGTGAGGGACTTGGGGGTGAGTACTGCCATGTAGAGACCTCATCACTGTTTATTCTGATTAGTTGCTGGGAGCTGTGGAGCAGGCGTTCCCAAACTACAGCCCGTGGGCCGCATGCAGCCCCCTGAGGCCATTTATCCGGCCCCCCCGCCGCACTTCAGGAAGGGGCATCTCTTTCATTGGTGGTCAGTGAGAGGAGCACAGTATGTGGTGGCCCTCTAACGGTCTGAGGGACAGTGAACTGGCCCCCTGTGTAAAAAGTTTGGGGACGCCTGCTGTAGAGTGTCAGAAAGGGGTAAGGTCTCTGATTAAAGACAGGGACAGCACTTCGTGAGATTGAGGACATGTTTAGGGAGAGCAGGCTTTAGGAGGATGGTGATGAGGTGTTTTTTTTTTGTTTGTTTGTTTTAAAACATAGCCTTGCTCTGTTGCCCAGGCTGGAGTGCAGTGGTGTGATCTTGGCTCACTGCAGCCTCCGCCACCCGGGTTCTAGTGATTCTTGTGCTTCAACTTCCTGGGTGGCTGGGACTACAGATGTGTGCCACCACACCCAGCTAATTTTTGTACTTTTAGTAGAGACAGGGTTTTGCTATATTGGCCAGGGTGGTCTCCAACTCCTGACCTCAGGTGATACGCCAGCCTTGGCCTCCCAAAGTGCTGGGATTACAGGTGTGAGCCATTGCATCTGGCCTATTTTTTTTAAATAACAAATTTCTTTTTCATAGTTTAGGATACTCATAGTCTGAAATTGAGGCGTCGACAGGACCATGCTCCCTCTGATGGTTCGGGGTGGGGGATGGGGTGCGGATCCTGCCTTCTGATGGTGGCCTGCAGCCCTGGTTCTCCTTGGCTGTGGGTGCAGCCCTCCCGCCTCTGCCTGTGTTGCCTCATGGCCATCTTCCTTCTGTGTATCTGTCTCTTTTCTTAGGAGAAACATTGTATTGGATTAAGGGCCCTATTGGATTAACCCTATTCTCATGTGATCTCAACTTGTTACATCTGCAAGAATCCTGTTTCCAAATAAGATCACATTTTGAAGTACTGGGGGTTAGGACTTCCCCTTTTCAGGGAGACACAATTCGAGCCATAGCAATCTGTTCTCTAGTCCCTGCAAATTCATGTCCTTCCCAAAATACACTGACTGTGATCCTGACATCACCCAAGTTTTAATCCATTTCAGCATCAACCGTAAGTGCAAAATCTCATCTAAACACCATCAAGTCAAAATCTCATCTCATCTGATGAGAATCCAACATCTCATCGTGTCACTCATCTACATCAGGTAGGAGGGAGACTCAGAGTGTGGTCTATGGTGGGGCAAAATTCCTCCCCATCTGCGAACCTGTGAAATCAGAAAGCAAGCAAGCTGCTTCCGAAATACAATGATGGACAAACATAGGGAATTCCCATTTCGAAAGGAGAAACTGGAAGGGAAAAAGGGGTAATGGATCCTGAACAAGTTTAAAACCCATCAGGGCAAATGCTATGAGGTTTCCAGGCCTGGAAAAAAGTCCTCTTCGGTTGGAAACTCTGACCTCTGGACCTCGTTTTGGCTACATTCTATTCCCGTTCCCTTACATGGGTGGAGAGAGTTGAGCCAATGGTTGGATACACGGATCTGGTGTTCAGATGTGAGAGTCAGCCTGGAGATTTGGGCTTCATCATGCAGATTTGGGAATTGACACCCATAGAATGGGTGAGGTTGCCCGCCAAGGCAGAGGATTGAGGGAGATGTGAAGAGGAGGGTCTGCAACCTGTGGACGCCAGCAGCATGTTGGAGGAGAAGCTCTTACAGGAAACAGAGGAGGCTGGGTTGTGATCACTGATCACAGGCTGGCCGGGCCACAAGAAGGAGGGACTAGCTGGGTGCAGTGCCTTGCAACTGTAATTCTGGCTACTCAGGAGGCTGTGGTGGGAGGAGCACTTGAGGCCAGGAATTCAAGGCTAGCCTGGGCAACATAGTGAGACCCCCCATCTCTAAAAAAATTTAAAAAATATTAGCTTGGTGTGGTGGTGCACACATGTAGCCACAGCTACTTGGGAGGCTGAGGTGGGAGGATCACTTGGGCCCTGGAGTTTGAGGCTGCAGTGAGCTGTGATTGTGCCACTGCACTCCAGCGTGGGTGACAGAGAAAGACCCTGGCTCAAAACACCACCACTACCACCAGCAATAACAACAACAACAACAACAACAACAACAACAACAACAACAACAACAAACCCAGGAGACAGTAGATGATGAACACACATCAGTGGGATTTCCCACCATGGATTGAGGTCATTGGTGATTCCAGAGCAGTGCTAGCCCTTGGAATGGTGGAGCTGGGAAATGAGTGGGAGGGGAGGAAGTGGGTAAAGAGGGTAGATAGCCCATGATAGGGAATGAAGAGACAGAACAGTAGCCCAAGGGAAAAGTGGGGTGTTATGGCTTGAATTGTACCCCTTCAAAAAGATATGCTGAGGTCCTAGCCCTATGTATGTGGCCTTATTGAAAACGAGGGTCTCTGCAGACTAATCCAACATGATTGTGTTGTATGAGAAGAGGAAGACACCATGTGCAGACAGAGACACAGGGAGGGGACCGTGTGATGGTAGAGGCAGATGTCAGAGGGAGGCATCCACCAGCCAAGGAGCCCCAAGCATCGACGGCCACCACCAGAAGCCAGGGAGAGGCAAGGAAGGACTCATCTCAGAGCCTCAGAGGAGGCCTGACCCTGCTGACAACCTTCATTTTGGACTCCTGGTTTCTAAAACTGTGAGAGGATACATTTCTGTGGTTTAAGACACTCAGTTTGTGATACTGTGTTACGGCAGCTGCAAAAAAAAAACGCATTTGGGGTCAGGGATTGGGTGTGGGTCAGGTTTAAAAAGTGAGGGGACATGGATGAAGCTGGAAACCACCATTCTCAGCAAACCGACACAAGAACAGAAAACCAAACACTGCATGTTCTCACTCATAAGTGGGGGTTGAACAGTGAGAGCACATGGACACAGGGAGGGGAACATGACACACTGGGGTCTGTCGGGGTGTGGGGGGCTAGGGGTGGGATAGCAGCGGGTGGGGGATTGAGGAGGAATAGCATTAGGAGAAATACATACTGTAGATGATGGAGTGATGGATGCAGCAAACCACCATGGCACGTGTATACCTATGTAACAAACCTGCATGTTCTGCACATGCACCCCAGAACTCAAAGTATACATAAAAAAAAGTGAGAGGAAAGTTCCCATCTGGAGGGACAGGCAAGGATGCAGTGAACGAGGAGTGATCTGAGAGTTGCTTGCTTGTCTGTCATAGGCCAGAGGGAGGATGCCTGGTGCAGAGGAATCACCAGTGGTGCAGGGAGGGGTGGTGTTGATTTGAAGGCAGGTGGGAAGGAAGTTTCCTTTTAAGGCAGACTTGCAGGGCGGTTGTGGTTTATCTGCCCTCAACTTATGGTAAGTCCTGGACACCACTAGCCCTGCAGTGTAGGGGGCAGAGAAAGGGGCTAGACAGCCAGGGAGGAAGAGCTGTCCCAAAGCTGAGTCAGGGGACAGTGGTGGGTGCTGTAGGAACTTTGGAATCTTCTGGTGAATTATTGAGTCTATGGCTCTTGGGATATGGAATGAAGGGGTGTGTGTGTGTGTGTGTGTGTGTGTGTGTGTGTGTGTGCGCACGCACATGCATGTCTATCTCTGTGCATGCTACAGTCTGTGTGTATATGTTGTATGTATGTACAAGTGCATGTGGTATGTAACTGCATATGTGTGCAGGTCTGTGTGTATGTGTGTGCATGTGATTGTGTGCATGCATGTCTATGCAAGAGCTTGCAGATGTGTCTGCATGTGTGTGTCTCTGAGTGTGTGCATATGCATGTGTATGTGTGTGCACATGTGATCACTAACTGCCAGGGTGGGCAGCCTTGAGGCTTGTGAGTGTGCCCAGTAGGCCAGGCACCAACTCTCATGCCTACTCCCCTCTCCCCTAGCTGTGTCCCCAGAGGACCCTGCCTGGGTTCCGGAGGACAGAGTAGAGGAAGAAGCCATGGCTTCTGGGTTGCCAACTGCCTGTTCACAGGTAGGTAAGAACTTCCTGTTCTAAAAGAACATTGCTGTACCCAAAGGAACACTGGACTTGCCCTCTTCCTATAACCTGTCTGGCTCATCTCACAGGGTTGATCTCCATGCCTCCAGGGACTGGACTTCTTGCAGTGGGTGTCAGTGGGGGAGCCCGGCCCATGATCCCATCACCCCATTCAGACCCTCCCCAGGCTGTTGAGCACCAGGAGGGAAAACAAAGCAAAGATGTGAGCCATTCTCATTTTATGGTCTCCATGATCTCACTGAGCAAAGAGTTGAGTCATTTTCCAGATATTTTCCTCTTGCCTGTACCATGCTCAGCTCTGCAGGACCCTGGAGCTAGAAGGGGGACAAATCTGCAAGAGCTTCCTGGCCCACTGTCAATAGATAACTCCTGTCCTGAGGTCGAGGACTTGAAACATTAGTTTATCACCTCTTGCTGTTCTTGCTTAAGGAGTGGCGAGTAGAGAAAGGAGTTCTAGTTCAGAGTCCTGAGCCAAGGGGCAGATTCTGGGGGATCTCAGAACTCCCAGACTGAAAGTCCTCTGCCTCGGGTCTCCCTTCCCCAGGCCTGCCAGCCTGCAGCATCCTCTGGTGTACTGGTAGGGGTGGTCCCTGGCTGAGCCGGGATGGATGTGTGTTTTAGGAACCAGTCACCTTTGCAGATGTGGCTGTGGTGTTCACCCCAGAAGAATGGGTGTTTCTGGACTCTACTCAGAGGAGCCTGTATAGAGATGTGATGCTGGAGAACTACCGGAACCTGGCCTCTGTGGGTAAGGTGGCTTCGTCTTGTCTTTCCTTTTTTTTTTTTTTTTTTTGAGTCAGAGTCTTGCTCTGTTGCCCAGGCTGTAGTGGGAGGCGTGACCTTGGCTTACTGCAACCTTTGCTTCCTGGGCTCAGCTGATCCTCCCGCCCCAGCCTCCCTAGTAGCTGGGACCACAGGTGTGCATCATCACACCTGGCTAATTTTCATGTTTTTTGGTAGAGATGGGGTTTTGCCACATTGTCCAGTCTGGTCTTGAACTTCTTTGGCTCAAGCAGCCCACCTGCCTCAGCCTCCCAAAGTGCTGGGATTACAGACATGAGCCACTGCGCCCAGCCAAGTCTTTGTCTTTTTATCACATGCTTATGCAGCAACCATAAGCTCCAGGAACTGTGCAAGTCTAGCAAACCCAGAAGTGAAAAACAGATAATTCCCACCCTCAGGAGGCTTTCAATCTACTGGGCTTTGTATGGAATGAAGATCTGTCCACTGCTCTGTCTCTCTGTGATTAAAAGGTTTTAGACTTCTCAAATGTATTCTTGAGCTAGGCCTGTGGTTTTGTAGACCAGAGAGTTCAGTGTCCTCTTGGACCCGGTGAGGGACCTTGTGTTTAGTTCCTCAGTGAAAGAGCTTGGCTGTGTCCATCAGAATTTAGGCACATGCACTTTGCCACTCCCATCTCTAGAGCCCCTAAAGACTTAATATCAGTTCTCGTGTCATGGTGTGGCACAGTCCTCCCACAACATGGCGTTTTTTTCTCACGAGCAGGTGATCAACTGTGCAAACCCAATGCATTATCTTATTTGGAGCAAAGAGGAGAGCAGTGGACCACTGAGAGGGGAGTTATCTCAGACACCTGTCCAGGTGAGCCCAGGCAGATCAGGTGAGCATCATCTCTGGTCAGTAAGGGGAGTGTCCAGTTTGGAAACTGTCAATCAGGGCAACCTATACATACCCTTGACTGAGAAGCCTGCTTGGTTGAGCTCCCATATTAAATGTCACCTTCTTTCCTTTTTCCCTTTCTTTTTTTTTTTTTTTTGAGGCAGAGTTTTGCTCTTGTTACCCAGGCTGGAGTGCAATGGTGCAATCTCAGCTCACCGCAACCTCTGCCTCCTGGGTTCAGGCAATTCTCCTGCCTCAGCCTCCTGAGTAGCTGGGATTACAGGCACACGCCGCTATGCCCAGCTAATGTTTTGTATTTTTAGTAGAGACGGGGTTTCACCATGTTGACCAGGATGGTCTCGATCTCTTGACCTCGTGATCCACCCGCCTCGGGCTCCCAAAGTGCTGGGATTACAGGCTTGAGCCACCGCACCCGGCCTCCCTTTCCTGTTTAATCTCTGAAACTTTACATTAATCTTTTAGAAAGATTTGTCCTACTTTCTCTTCATATTTAATATTTCCATGTGTATATTTTATCCATTTCCTCCCCACTGTACAATCTTGCTAATATTTTTTCTCAACATTAGGTTACAATTTTCATGGAATCATTTTTTGGTAAATCACCTACTATTTCCATCCCATGTTTCTCTGATTACCTAACTTCTCACCTAGCCAAACACCTTAAAATTTTCCTTAATTCTTAGATACATTCCTTGTCTTTGTAATTTATTCCCATATTTAGGATCAGTATTTGGAAAAAAAAGTCCATATGTGCCTTGCTTGCTTTTTAATTCACCTTGATCCCACAGTTTCTTTCCCTGTGCACTTAACATTTTCTTCCCTAATTCATTTCAGAACCTCAACTGCAGCCCCAAGAGGCAATTCCCAGCCAAGATACTTTTACGGAGATTCTGTCCATTGGCATGAAAGGGGTAAGACTTACCAGGGATTACCCTTGGTTCTCTATAGTAGGATGAGTCTGGGGTTGCTGTAAGTTAGAAAAGCAGCCAAAGAGCCAAGAGAGATTCAAGGCAAGTAGTGCTTGCCCAGGAGAAAGCAGTTTCTTGGGAAAGAGTCTGTAAATGTCATGAAATGATGGAAAACTAAATGTAGATCATCTTCCTACAGGCAAACATTTTCACAGGTATGACACAGATACCAAGTGTTTAAGACGTAATTTGGCCTAAAAGAAATTGGAAAAATTCTGCACCTAAGATGCCCCATGAAAGTAATGAAAGATAGCTCTTTGCAACAGAGTATACACCCTGTTCCACTTAAGGGAACTCTGGGTAGAAATGGTATGGATTCAGTAAATGGTACAAGTATCAGATGTAGAACTGTGTTTCTCTTACATTCATTTCACATACATAGGGGAGGATATCTGAATCTAATTAAGGCCTTTGGTCTTCACATTTTCCTTAATCGACAGGAGCAACCTGAGCCTGGAGAAAAACTCTATAAATATAATGTACTTGAGAAACCTTTTAACAGCATTGAACCACTTTTCCAGTACCAGAGAATTCATGCTGGAGAGGCCTCCTATGAATGTCAAGAGAGTAGAAATTCCTTCTTCCAGAGTGCTCACCTAATTGTGCCCGAGAAAATCCGTAGTGGGGATAAAACCTATGCATGTAACAAATGTGAAAAATCCTTCAGATACAGCTCTGACCTTATCAGGCATGAGAAGACTCATACTGCAGAGAAGTGCTTTGACTGTCAAGAATGTGGGCAAGCCTTCAAATATTCCTCAAATCTTCGGCGACACATGAGAACTCATACCGGAGAGAAGCCATTTGAATGTAGTCAGTGTGGGAAAACCTTCACGAGGAACTTTAACCTGATTTTGCACCAGAGAAACCACACAGGAGAGAGGCCCTATGAGTGTAAAGATTGTGGGAAAGCCTTCAATCAGCCATCATCCCTTAGGAGCCACGTAAGAACTCACACTGGAGAGAAGCCCTTTGAATGCAGCCAGTGTGGGAAAGCATTCAGGGAACACTCTTCACTGAAGACACATCTGCGAACCCATACCAGAGAGAAACCATATGAGTGCAACCAGTGTGGCAAGCCCTTCCGGACGAGCACTCATCTGAATGTGCACAAGAGGATACACACAGGGGAGAAACTGTACGAGTGCGGGACTTGCGGTCAGGTCTTGAGTCGTCTCTCAACTCTGAAGAGTCACATGCGAACTCACACTGGAGAGAAGCCCTATGTGTGCCAGGAATGTGGGCGAGCCTTCAGTGAGCCCTCATCCCTCAGGAAACATGCAAGGACTCACAGTGGCAAGAAGCCCTATGCATGCCAGGAATGCGGGCGAGCCTTTGGTCAGTCTTCACACCTTATTGTACATGTGAGAACACACAGTGCCGGGAGACCCTATCAATGTAGTCAGTGTGAGAAAGCCTTCAGGCACAGCTCCTCACTCACTGTACACAAAAGAACCCACATGGGAAGAGAGAACATCAGGAGTGGCAGCCTGCCTTTATCCATGTCTCATCCATACTGTGGGCCCCTTGCTAATTAACTTCCATTTTGTAAAAATATAAACATATGGGGCTATGACTTTCCATCATAATACTCCTTTAGCTGCATCCCATGTTTTAATACATAATATTTTCATTTTGGTTTAATTTTAAGTATTGTCTTAACCTCCATTATCATTTATTGTCTGATCCATCTATTATTTGGAATTAGATTTTTCAAAACATAATACATGGATATATTTTCATAGAGGTATAATGACTTACAGTGAAATGCATACATCTTAAGTGTACAGTTGGATGAACTTGACAGATGCATACATGCATGTAACCAACACCCCATTCCAGATATTGAATGTCATTCTGGAAGGTTCCTGCAGGTTATATGGCTATTTCTTAGTTGCTGGTTTTTTGTTGGTTTCTAATTTAATTACATGGTGAGGCAAGTATGTGGCTTCTTTGTTATTGAGTCTTAGGTATTTGCCGAGATTTGCTGTTAGGTCTGGTGTGGCTTATTCTGCTAGCCATCAGCCAAAATTGTCCCTTCCTCCTTAGAAAAGAACCTGGGTTTTCTGTTCATATTGGTAATGTGCACTATTAAAAAGCTTCCATCTGCCGGCCAGGCACAGTAGCTCACACCTGTAATCTCAGCACTTTGGGAGGTCGAAGTGGGTGGATCACCTGAGGTCAGGAGTTTGAGACCAAGCCTGGCCAACATGGTGAAACCCCGTCTGTACTAAAAATACAAAAATTAGCTGGGTTAGGTGGCATGCACCTGTAATCCCAGCTACTTGGGAGGCTGAGGCAGGATAATTGCTTGAACCCAGAAGGTGGAGGTTGCAGTGAGCTGAGATCTCACCACTGCACTCTGGCCTGGTCAACAGAGTGAGAACTCTGTCTCAAACAAAACAAAACAAAACAAAACAAAACAAAACAAAACAAAACAAACAAAAAAAAACTTCCGTCTCCCAGCCCTTCTTGTGAGCAGGGGCAGGCCATTTCCTCCAGTCCTGGCTAGTTTGAATATGAGAAGTCACTGGATGTCACTTTTGGGAAGTTGTTGTACAGAGATGGTTTCATGTAGTCATGTCTCTCCACTTCTTGCCCTTTGGACAAGCAGACCTGATGTCTAGAGCCAGAGGAGCCCTCCTGTGACCATAAAGGTAAAAGCCACAGGCTAAGAAGAGTGTGGCTGGAAGTCACAGCCATCTTGATTCCCTAATCTAAAAAATATTTAGAATGTATTTAATGGAATTGATATATTTGTGTGATTGCAGCACCCCTGGACTATTTATTTCTGGATCTCCCACACATGAAAAATACCCACTTCTTACTGATACAAGATTTTTTTTTTTTGGTGTAGGGGTTTATTTCAGCTGAATATAATCCCTAACTGATGCACTTAGTATACGTCAATTTTTATAAATGCTTCGTGGGTGGATGAAATCAATGTATTGTATTTTACAGATGTCTGCTAGATCAAGCATATGTGTTTAAAAACCATCTACACATTTATAAACATTGATCTGTGATCTGTCATTTTTTGAGATAGATACTGAACTCTCCCACCATGATTTTTTAATGGATTGCTGAAAAATATTTGTCATTCTGTCAGTTTTTAAATTTATGTACATATATACATACGTATGTTTTGAATCAATGAAATTAAATATAGATACTGACACTTTTTACATTTCCAACAAATTGTTGCTTGTATTCTCATAAGGTGATCATCCTTTTCCCTATTACTGAACATTCAACTATTCATCATATTGATAGTAAATTCTTATTTATAATTTACTATTAACAGATAGTAGCCACTGCCTGAAGCTTTGCATCTTTTAATTTAGTCCTCACACTGATACTTTGAGGTATGTACTGTTATCATCCCCAATTCACATATGAGGGAGCTGAGCCCCAGCAGGTTGAGGTCGTATTTCAAGGTCATCTGGGTGGCATGTGATGGGGCTTGATGCTCTCTACAGCGGCAGACCCAGGGGACTAGTCTCCATTTTTACTTCTTCTCACTTTTTCTTTTTTTTAGGTATAACTTACATAAATGTTATGGTATAGCTTATATAAGTTATAAAGTATAGGTATAACTTACATAACTCTTAGGTATAACTTACATAAATGTTAATAAATTTTAGGGTACACCTTGGTGAATTTTATACCCACCACTGCTCCCATCAAAATATTTTATCATCCCAGAAATTTCCCTTGAGCCCATCTCATCCTCAAAAGTTACCACTATTCTGACTTCTGTCACCATAAATTTGTTTTTCCTGTTCATGGAAATGGAGCCATAAACAGCCTTCTTTTGTTTGTTTTCTTCACTTAACATAATGTCATTGAGGTTTATCTATGTTGCATCATCAGTAGTTTATTCTTTTTAATTGCTGTGTAATAGTCCATTGTCTGAATATACCACAATTTAAAAATTCCATTCTATTTATGAACATGTGAGTTCTGTCCTTCAGGTTCATCCATGTTAGCACAAATGACAGAATTTCCTTCCTCATTAAGGCTGAATAGTATTCTGTTGTATAGATATACCACATTTTCTTTCTTTCCTTCTTTCTCTTTCTTTCTTTTCTTTCTCTTTCTTTCTTTTTCTTTCTCTTCCTTCCTTTCTTTCTTCCTTCCTTTCTTTCTTTTTCTTTCTTTCTTTTCTTTCTTTCCTTTTTCTTTCTTTCTTTTCTTTTTTCTTTCCTTTCTCTCTTTCTTTCTTTCTTTTCTTTTCTTTTCTTTCTTTTCTTCTTTTCTGATGGAGTCTCGCTCTGTAGCCCAGGCTGGACTGCAGTGGCACGATCTCGGCTCACTGCAACGTCTGCCCCAAGGATCCCGGTTCAAGCAGTTCTCCTACTTCAGCCTCCCAAGTAGCTGGGATTACAGGCACAAGTCATCATGCCCAGCTAATTTTTGTATTTTTTAGTAGAGATGGGGTTGCACCATGTTGGCCAGTCTGGTCTTCAACTCCTGACCTCATGATCCACCCACCTCAGCCTCCCAACATGCTAGGATTACAGATGCGAGCCACCGTGCCTGGCCTGATATACCACATTTTCTTTATCCACTTATCCACTGATGGACAGTTAGGTTGATTCCATATCTTGGCTATTGTGAATAATGCTGCAGGTTTTGTTGTTATGAATAAAGCTGCTGTGAACGTTTCATACTGTGGATATAGGTATTCATTTCTCTTGAGTATAAATGTAGGAATGAAATTGCTGGATTTTGGAGGAGGCCTATCTTTAGCTTTAGTGGATCTTACCAGACAATTTTTCAGTGCAGTTGAAACCATTTATACCTCAATTTGTACATCAATGCATGAAAGTTTCATTGCTTCACATCCTTGGCAATATGTAGTACTTTCACTCAAATTAATCTGAGATACATTACTGGGTATGCAGCAGTGTCTTAGGTTTAATTTGCATATTCGTTTTAAAAAATATTTTATTGCGTTTTAGGCTTTGGGGTACATGTGAAGAACATTCAGGATTGTTGCATAGGTGCATACATGGCAATGTGGTTTGCTGCCTTCCTCCCCATCATCTATATCTGGCATTTCTCTCCATGTTATCACTCCCGAACTCCCCATCCCCACTGTCACTCACCTGGTTCCCCACAACAGACCTCAGTGTGTGATGCTCCCCTCCGTGTCCATGTGTTCTTATTGTTCAACACCTGCCTATGAGTGAGAACATGTGGTGTTTGATTTTCTGTTCCTGTGTCAGTTTGCTGAGAATGATGGTTTCCAGGTTCATCCATGTCCCTGCAAAGGACATGAACTCATCATTTTTTATGGCTTCGTAGTATTCCATGGTGTATATGTGCCACATTTTCGCTGTCCAGTCTATCATCGATGGGCATTTGGGTTGGTTCCAGGTCTTTGCTATTGGAAACAGTGCTGCAATGAACATTCGTGTGCATGTGTCTTTATAATAGAATGATTTATAATCCTTTCGATATATACCCAATAATGGGAATGCTGGGTCAAATGGAATTTCTATTTCTAGGTCCTTAAGGAATCGCCACACTGTCTTCCACAATGGTTGAAGTAATTTACACTCCCGCCAACAGTGTAAAAGTCTTCCTATTTCTCCACATCCTCTCCAGCATCTGTTGTCTCCAGATTTTTTCATGATTGCCATTCTAACTGGCGTGAGATGGTATCTCAATGTAGTTTTGATTTGCATTTCTCTAATGACCAGTGATGATGAGCATTTTTTCATATGTTTGTTGGCCTCATATATGTCTTCTTTTGTAAAGTGTTCATATCCTTTGCCCACTTTTGAATGGGCTTGCTTTTTTTCTTGTAAATTTGTTTTAGTTCTTTGTAGATTCTGGATATTAGCCCGTTGTCAGATGAGTAGATTGCAAAAATTTTTTCCCATTCTTTTGGTTGCTGATTCACTCTAATGATTGTTTCTTTTGCTTTGCAGAAGCTGTGGAGTTTAATTAAGTCCCATTTGTCTATTTTGGCTTTTGATGCCAATGCTTTTGGTGTTTTAGTCATGAAGTTCTTGCTTAAGCCTATGTCCTGAATGGTTTTGGCCAGATTTTCTTCTAGGGTTTTTATAGTGTTAGGTCTTATGTTTAAGTCTTTAATCCATCTGGAGTTAATTTTAGTGTAAGGTGTCAGGAAGGGGTCCAGTTTCTGCTTTCTGCACATGGCTAGCCAGTTTTCCTAGCACCATTTATTAAACAGGGAATCCTTTCCCCATTGCTTGTTTTTGTGAGGTTTTTCAAAGATCAGATGGTTGTAGATGTGTGGCATTGCCTCCAAGGCCTCTGTTGTGTTTCATTGGTCTATGTCTCTGTTTTTGTTTTGTTTTTTTGTTTGTTTTTTCGTTTGTTTTAAACCAGTACCATGCTGTTTTGATTACTGTAGCCTTGTAGTGTAGTTTGAAGTCAGGTAGTGTGATGCTTCCAGCTTTGTTCTTTTTGCTTAGAATTGACTTGGCTGCGCAGGCCCTCTTTTAGTTCCATATGAAGATTAAGGTGTTTTTTTTTTTTTTTTTTCCCAGTTCTGTGAAGAAGGTCATTGGTAGCTTGATGGAGATAGTGTTGAATCTATAAATTACTTTGGGCAGTATGGCCATTTTCATGATACTGATTCTTCCTAACCATGAGCATGGAATGTTTCTCCTGTTTGTGTCCTCTCTTATTTCGTTGAGCAGTGGTTTGTAGTTCTACTTGAAGAGGTCCTTTACGTTCCTTTTTAGTTGTATTCCTAAGTATTTTATTCTCTTTGTAACAATTGTGAATGGCAGTTCGTTCTTGATTTGGCTCTCTTTAAGTCTGTTATTGGTGTATAGGAATGCCTGTGATTTTTACACATTGATTTTGTATCTTGAGACTTTGCTGGTTGCTTATCAGTTTCAGGAGATTCTGGGGTGAGATGATGGGGTCTTCTAAATATACAATCTTGTCATCTGCAAATAGAGACAATTTGACTTCCTCCTCTCCTAATTGAATACCCTTTATTTCTTTTTCTTGCCTGATATCTCTGGTTAGAACTTCCAATGCTATATTGAATAGGAGTGGTGAGAGAGGGCATCCTTGTCTAGTGCCAGATTTCACAGGAAATGCTTCCAGTTTTTGCCCATTCAGTATGATATTGGCTGTGGCTTTGTTGTAAATAGCTTTTATTATTTTGAGATAGGTTCCATCAATATCTAGTTTATTGAGAGTTTTTAGCTTAAAGGGCTGTTGAATTTTGTCAAAGGCCTTCTTTGCATCTATTGAGATAATTATGTGGTTTCTGTCTTTGGTTCTGTTTATGTGGTGAATTATGTTTATAGACTTGCATATGTTGAACCAACCTTGCATCCCTGGGATGAAGCCTACTTGATTGTGATGGATAAGCTTTTTGATGTGCTGTTGCAATAGGTTTGCCAGTATTTTATTGAAGATTTTTGCATCTATGTTCATCATGGATATTGGCCTGAAGTTTTCTTTTCTTGCTGAGACTCTGCTGGGTTTTGGTATCAGGATGATGTTGGTCTCATAAAATGATTTGGGAAGGATTCCCTCTTTTTGGATTGTTTGGAATAGTTTCAGAAGGAGTGGTACCAGCTCCTCTTTATATGTCTGGTAGAATTTGGCTGTCAACTCATCTGGACCTGGGCTTTTCTTGGTTGGTAGGCTGTTAATTGCTGCCTCAACTTCAGCCCTTGTTATAGGTCTATTCAGGGTTTTGACTTCTTCCTGGTTTAGGCTTGGGAGGGTGGAAGTGTCCAGGAATTTATCCATTTCTTCCAGGTTTACTGGTTTATGTGCATAAGAGTTGTTTGTAGTAATCTCTGATGATGGTTTGTATTTCTGTGGAATCTGTGGTGATATCCCCTTTATCTATTTTAATTGCATCTATTTGATTATTCTGTCTTTTCTTTTTTATTAATCTGGCTAGTGGTCTATTTTGTTGATCTTTTCAAAAAACCAGCTTCTGAATTTATTGATTTTTTGAAGGTCTTGTGTGTGTGTATGTGTGTGTGTGTGTTTCTATCTCTTTCAGTTCTGCTCTGATCTTAGTTATTTCTTGCCTTCTGCTAGGTTTTGAGTTTTTTTGATCTTGCTCCTCTAGCTCTTTCAATTTTGACAATAGGGTAACAATTTTAGATCTTTTCTTGCTTCTCATGTGGGCATTTATTGCTATACATTTTCCTCTAGACACTGCTTTAAATGTGTCCCAGAGATTCTGGTACATTGTGTCTTCATTCTCATTGGTTTCGAAGAACATCCTTATTTCTCCCTTCATTTCATTGTTTATCCAGTCAACATTCAAGAGCCAGTTGTTCAGTTTCCATGAAGTTGTGTGGTTCTGAGTTAGTTTCTGAATTCTGAGTTCTAATTTGATTGCACTGTGGTCTGAGAGACTGTGTTATGATTTCCATCTTTTGCATTTGCTGAGGAGTGATTTACTTCCAATTACAGGTATTGATCGACTTACGACCTATGCAACTTATGACCATTCAACTTTACAACCACAATTGCTAGCCATGACTGCTTCGCGTCTGGCAGCGCAAACGTTGCCCAGCTGTGTGTACGACAGTGCAGACCAGCTTCTGGCAGCACTACCCTCTCTGCGTGCACCATTTCAACTGTACATATAGCCTACTCAACTTACGACCAAATCGTGTTACGACCGTTCCGTGGTCCCGACTGTGGCCGTAAGTCGAGCACTAGCTGCATGTGGTCAATTTCAGAGTAGGTGCAATGTGGTGCTGAGAAGAATGTATATTCTGTGGATTTGGGGTGGAGAGTTCTGTAAATGTTTATTAGGTTTGCTTGGTCGAGGTCTGAGTTCAAGTCCTGGATATCCTTGTTAATTTTCTGTCTCGTTGATCTATCTAATATTGACAGTGGAGTGTTAAAGTCTCCCACTATTATTGTGTGGGAGTCTAAGTCTCTTTGTAGGTCATTAAGAACTTGCTTTATGTATCTGGGTGCTCCTGTATTGGGTGCATATATATTTAGGATCATTAGCTCTTCTTGTTGCATTGCTCCTTTTACCATTAAATAATGTCCTTCTTTGTCTCTTTTGATCTTTGTTGGTTTAAAGCCTATTTTATCAGAGACTAGGATTGCAACTCCTGCTTTTTTTTGGCTCTTCATTTACTTGGTAAATCTTCTTCCATCCATGTATTTTGAGCCTATGTGTATCCTTGCATGTGAGATGGATTTCCTGGATACAGCACACTGATGGGTTTTGACTTTTTATCCAATTTGACAGTCTGTGCCTTTTGATTGGAGCATTTAGCCCATTTACATTTAAGGTTAATATTGTTACGTGTGAATTTGATCCTGCCATTTTGATGCTAGCTGGTTGTTTTGCCCATTAGTTGACACAGTTTCTTCACTGTGCCGATGGTCTTTACCATTTGGTATGTTTTTGGAGTGACTGGTACTGGTTGTTCCTTTCTATGTTTAGTGCTTCTTTCAGGCGCTCTTGTAAAGCAGGCCTCGTGGTGATGAAATCTCCGAGCAATTGCTTGTTCATACAGGATTTTATTTCTCCTTCACTTATGAAGCTTAGTTTGGCTGGATATGAAACTCTAGATTGAAAGTTCTTTTCTTTAAGGATGTTGAATATTGCCCCCCACTTGCTTCTGGCTTGCAGTGTTTCTGCTGAGAGGTCTGCTGTGAGTCTGATGGGCCTCCCTTTCTGGGTAACCTGACCTTTCTCTCTGGCTGCCCTTAGCATTTTCTCCTTCATTTCAACCCTGGTGAATCTGACAATTACGTGCCTTGGGGTTGCTCTTCTTGAGGAATATCTTTGTGGTGTTCTCTGTATTTCCTGGACTTGAATATTGGCTTGCTTTGCTAGGTTGGGGAAGTTCTCCTGGATAATATCTTGAAGAGTCTTTTCCAGCTTGGATTCATTCCCTCCATCACATTCAGGTACAGCTATCAAACGTAGATTAGGTTTTCTCATATAATCCCGTATTTCTTGGAGGTTTTGTTCATTTCATTTTACTCTTATCATTTTTCTCTAATCTTGCCTTCTCATTTTATTTCATTGAGTTGATCTTTAATCTCTGATATCCTTTCTTCTGCTTGGTCAGTTCTGCTATTGAAACTTGTGTATGCTTCATGAAGTTCTCCTGTTGTGTTTTTCAGCTCCATCAACTAATTTATATTCCTCTCTAAGCTGTTTATTCTTGTTAGCATTTCATCAAACCTTTTTTCAAGGTTCTTAGTTTCTTTGCATTGGGGTAGAATATGTTCTTTTAGCTCAGAAAAGTTTGTTATTATCCACCTTCTGAAGCCTATTTCTGTTAATTCATAAGACTCATCCTTCATCCAACCTTGTTCCCTTACGGATGAGGAGTTATGATCCCTTGGAGGAAGAGAGGCATTCTGGTTTTGAGTGTTTTCATCCTTTTTGCACTGGTTTCTTCCCATCTTTGTGTATTCATCTACCTGTGGTCTTTGTAGTTGGCTACTTTCAGATGGGGTCTCTGAGTGGATGTCCTTTTTGTTAATGATGAAGTTATTTCTTTCTTAGTTTTTCTTCCAACACTCAGGCCCCTCTGCTGTAGGACTGCTGGAGATCCACTCCAGACCCTACTTGCCTGGGGATCACCTGCAGCAGCCTGTTTTCTCTGGGAACTGCAATCCAGAGCTGTTCTTCCGCCATCTTGGATTGACCTCCTGATGTGAGGATCTTACTCAACCCGGAACTGTGGTGACTGGGATGCAGGGCAGCTTTCTGGAAACCTGAGAATCTCAGCTGTCCAGCTCCCAGGCACAAACTGGGACTCCCCCACCCACCCGCCATGGCCTGGGCCCCCACCTCAGCCCCTCGCCTCTTGGCGGCCTCAGCCTCCTTGCACACCTGCCATCAGCTCAGGTGCCGCTTTCGCACAGTGGAGAGACGGAGTAGAGGTCCTGGCCGAGGGTGCGCCTGGGGCCAAAGCCGAGGGAGGCCGCGAGGGAGGTTCAGCAGCCCCTCATACCCGGGTGGTGGGTGGAGCAGGACGGACAGGTGGGCGGCAGTCCCGGCCCTCAGGGCTGGGCCGGGGAGGAGGGGGTGGAGCTGGCAGGGAGGGCGGTGCCACGGGGGGCGGAGCCCAGCCTTTCCCCCGCCCCCTTCGGTTCCTGGAGTCAGCGACTGGTGACTATGACGGGGAACACTGAGGGCCGCTGTGCAGGTAGGGGCGCCACACGAAGTGAGGGGGTGGGGACCTGGGGCTGCCGGCGCCCCCTTGGCGCTGTTCGCGCCCTCTGCGTGGCTTGCGGTAGGAGAAGCTGCTGCCGCTGGCCTGGGCCGCGGCGTGCGTCTGGCTGAACGGGGCGGGGCGCGCAGGGACCACCCAGCGATGCCGTCGCGCCGCCGCCTCTGTGGAGAAGCGCCCGAGCCCGCCACGGAGAAAGGTCGGTGAGTTCCGGTTTGTTTCTCTGCGCTGCCTGCTCCGGGTCCGGGGCGGACAGACAGGCGCGCCGGGATGTCTGCGCCCCCACGGTGGCCGCGTCGGAACCGCGGAAGCGGGAAAGGGCAGCTGCCGCCCGCTGTAGCTGGGGGTATCTTCTGGAGGGCGGATAGGGTGGCGGGCCGCAGAGGTCCCGGGGAGGGGAGCGCGGGTCCGCGGGGCGCGGGGGAAGTGGTCCCGGGAGTTGCGTGCGTCCGGGGCGCTGGCGGAGTTGGGCGGGCGGCGGAGTCCTCAGATGCTCCCTGGAACTCGGTTCCCAGCTCGCGGAGTACGTTCTTGAGTGGAGATTTGTGGGAACTGTTAAAGCTCATTGGAAAGTACTGGCACATAACAGATACTCGGTGGGTAGCAGCTGGTGACTCTGTCCCAGTTTCCCATTCACTACACTCATGGTCAAGGCAGAAAATGTTCTCGGGACAGGAAATGTGCCTAGTGTTGAAGCGGCGTCGTTTGGGGAAATATCCGAGGTTGGTTGTCTCGCGCGAAGGAAATCAAAGAGCCAGACACAGGAGCAGTGGGTTTAAGAGCAGAAAGTTTAACAGGCAAAAGCAAGAAGAGAGACCTTCCTCGTGCAGAGGAGGGGGACCTCAGTAGGTTTCCGGGTTTTGGGACAATGTGGTTGGTTTTATAGACGAGCTTGAGGAGGCAGTGTCTGATTTACACGGGGCATGCACAGTGGTATCCGTTTGGTTTTGGCACAACTGTTGGCATTTACCTATGCAAGCTTCCAGCTTGATTTTTCAGGCTGCTTTTTGTTAGAAAAGAATAGCTGGGCAGGGTGGCTCATGCCTGTAATTCCAGCACTTTGGGAGGCTGAGGCAGGTGGATCACCTCAGGTCAGGAGTTCCATACCAGCCTGACCAATATGGTGAAACCCTGTCTCTATTAAAAAATAATAATAATAAATTAGCTGGGCATGTTGGCATGCGCCTGTAATCCCAGCTACTCGGGAGGCAGAGGTTGCAGTGAGCTGAGATCATGCCACTGCGCCGTAGCCTGAGTGACAGAGCAAGACTCAGTGATATATGTGTGTGTGTGTGTGTGTGTGTGTGTGTGTGTGTGTGTATGTGTGTGTGTGTAAATATACAGTCGCTATTGGTCCATCAAAATAAAATTAAATATTTCAATTAAAAAACATCACAGAAGGCAAAAATAAAATGTAAAATAAGATGGCAATACATATGAAAGGCGATTTATTTCTACTAAAGATGCAGCAGAATTTTCTATGTCAAGAAAATTTGGAGAAGATGGGTACACAGTATGACAAGCTGCGAGATTTGACCACAGGAAATTTATAAACTTTCACATATTCCCTCAGATATAATCTATACATACACAAACATTGGACTATTATTCCGCAAAGCTGGTGAAAAATCTCTCATTCTTTATCTGAAACAATGTAAAAAAAGAGTAAAAGTCAGACTCTCAGACGTAAAAGCAAAGAACTTGCAAAATTGCCATAAAGTAAATGGCTAACAAACCAGCAATCACTGTATACTCAGCCTCAGCAGAAAGGAAATAACTGAGATTAAACACTCTTGAATATTCCTAATTTGATCTGTAAAATAATATTTTTTCACGTGATTATGAAAAATAATCCAGGGATACTGCTCAGCAGCCTAAAATGCACAGGATAGCCCATAGCACAAACATTATGCAGCAAAATGTTAACACTGGGGAGTTTGAGAGGCTGTTCTGTTCACACTATGTCCAACCTCAATGGGTGTGTGCTTCAATTAGGGATCTTGTTCAAATGTAAATTCTGATACGGGGCCTCTAGGATAGGTGCAGACATTCTACATGTGTAACATTTTTTTCTGTTGATGTTGATGCTCCCTAACCTGTTGGGTGGTTCACTCTTTGAGCATCAAGGTTGTGGTATAGTGTTAGAGTCAGATTTAAGTACTTTGAGGTCTTCTCCAGCAGGAATCCTACCACACACCTCATGTATGACTTCAGGTAGTCAAATGTTGAACTTGGCAGGTCAGCTTTTGCATAAACAAAGATTGCATGTGCCTCTTTTGTGCTTTTCTCATGACAGGAAATGAAACCTTTAAAGAAAACTCCCATCTTGTTTATGGAGTTTCTGTGAGAAGTAATATTTTGAAGCTCATTGAAGATTACCTTGCACAAAGCAGATGCTTAGTGGAGGGCAGCTATTCTGTCTCTTGGTTCATCAAATTACTCCTTCAACTCTTGTAGGAAACTCTTATAGGACCTCCTATAGCTCTTTCTAGAACTCTTCTCTTTGTTGAAACTTACAGCACATTATGCATTAAGAACTATTGTCAACATAAGTATGAAATGCTTGCATATCTGTTTCGCATGCCAGTGTAAATACATTTAATTTTCACATATTGGTTAACTCCCCAGTTGTCTTTGAGAATTGGTTGAAACTTACAGCACATTATGTATTAAGAACTATTGTCAACATAAGTATGAAATGCCTGCATATCTGTTTCACATGCCAGTATAGATACATTTAATTTTCATATATTGGTTAACTTCCCAGTTGTCTTAATTCTCCAGTTGTCTTTAGTTGTCTTTAGGAGAACCCAGAGCCAAAGGTGTGTAGTTCCACACCTTTGGCTCTGGGTTTTGTTAATAGCTCAGTTGGAAAGTATGTTTATCCTTACAGTGGTTGATGCTGAGCTTGGACATGTGATGAGCCTTGTCTGAAACAATGTGAGCAGTCAGGAGATATCCAGTGTCTATGGGGACGTTGTGAGAGGCATTCTGAGATTCTACCACTTTTCTTCATCTTCCTCTGCCAAATTGTCTTTTCTGTTCAAAATTTAAAAACCTACTAGATTTGTATAGTTGTATGGAGTGACTATTTTGTCCTGTCTAAATTTCGTATGTCCTAATTCCAATGTCCCAACATAGATTTCTATGTGATCAAAAAGCATAACAATTAAGTCACTTACCAGTGGAATTGCTTGTGTATGCAGCATTAGCTTACTGGTGCAATAAACAGTGCAAATAGATCTAAAGACATTCAGAATATTCTGATGCCTGCTATTTTTAACATGAGTTCTGATATTTCAAAGCAGAATTCATGATTACCTGGATGTTCATGTTTATGCCAGAAAACTGGATGAGACTATTGTCTCCTTTTTTTTTTCTAGGTAAACAGAAGAGGTTGAAGGAGATATATTTAATTTAAATTTAACTTTTATTTTAAGTTCAGGGGTACATGTGCAGGTTTGCTAGATAGGTAAACTTTTGTCACGGGGGTTTGTTGTACAGATTATTTCATCACCCAAGAATGAAGCCTATTACCCATTAGTTGTTTTTCCTAATGAGGGTGAGTCTCTCCCACCTCTTAGCCTCCACCCTCTGATAGTCCCCAGCATGTGTTGTTCCCCTTTATGTGTACGTGTGTTCTCATCATTTAGCTCCCATATAGGAGTGAGAACATGTGATATTTGGTATTCTGCTTCTGTGTTAGTTTGCTAAGGATAATGGCCTCCAGGTACATCCATGTTGGCTGCCAAGGACATGATTTAATTTTTTCTTATGGATGCATAGTATTTCATGGTGTATATGTACCACATTAAAAAAAATCCAGTCTGTCATTGATTGGCATTTAGGTTGATTCCATGTCTTTTCAAATGTGAATAGTGCTGCAATAAACATACCCATGCTTGTGTCTTTATAATAGAAAGGTTTATATTCCTCTGGATGTAGATACCTAGTAATGGGATTGCTGGGCCGAATGGTATTTCTGTCTTTAGGTCTTTGAGGAATCACCACACTGTCTTCCACAATGACTGAACTAATTTACACTCCTAACAGCAGTGTAAATGTGCTCATTTTCTCCACAACCTTGCTAGAATCTGTTATTTTTTGACTTTTTAATTATGGCTATTCTGACTGGTGTGAGATGGTATCTCATTCTGGGTTTGATTTGCATTTCTCTAATCAGTGATGTTAATATTTTTTTTCGTATGATGTTGGGTGCATGTATGTTTTCTTTTGAAAAATATCTGTTCAAAAAGACATGTATGTTTCTGGAGAAATGAGTTCTGACCTTGAGTCACACAAGTCTCTATTTCCAGGAGCAATACTGGGCAGAAATTCAAGCTCTTGTGTGAGTCTTCCTTTGATCAGGAGGGTTGTAGAGAGTTTATAGTATAAAAGAAATAAAGCAATGGCTGATAAATTAAACACACATATTGTTCACTTATCTGCAGTTTAATGCTTATGATGAAATTGTTTAAAGGGAAAGATATTTATTAGTACAATGGAAAGAGTTGTATTTGCAGGTAGCACAGGAAGCTTTTAGGTAGAATGAAGATGATACAATAAAATTACATAGACAATGACATCAAATTGTTCACTCAAATGAAAAAACTTCATTATGCACGGACATCAAGATTCCTCACTCCAAATGTTCCAGAGTAATTCCATGCATGACTAAACATTTTACTCTGTCATAGTTAAGATAATCTCTGAGTCTAAGTCCAGATGAAGTCAATTGATGTATGCTAATTTGTCTGTTTAGACCATGCTTGGAACATGGATTTCATAAGTAATTTTGGTCGTCTTTGTTTTAAACAAGAGATATAGTGGGCATTGTGGATGTGGAGATGACTAGAGAACAGGATCGTAGTGAAGAGGATAAAATGCCAACACTGGCTATAAACACATGAGTATGTTAAAGTTTTACATTATGAGGAGGAGCAGTTGAGGCAGTGATAGAGAAAAAAATGATAGACACAAACAGAAAACTGTGGTCTCAGCTGTTCATCCACAATAAAATTATATTAATCATTTTTATAGTTGCCATTCTTGGTTCTTTGCACTAACGCAACTCACCAGTGTATGAGACCAACAGGAATATCCACCTTGTTTCTGACCTTAGCCTGGGAATAACTTTGGGGAAGTTGGGAAATGACAAAGGAGAAAACGGTTGGCTATCTGAGAGCTGAAAGCTTCTTTAAGGAAATGCATGCATTTTATAAAGCAGTTAAGATCATAGAATTGGAAAGTTCAAGAAATTAATAGGAGCAATTTCTACTTCCACCATCTGACTACAAAATCACAATTTTTGGGTCCAGGGCTTGGAGCTCTGGAATCACAGGCCCTTCTTGAAAAACAGCTCTTTTATTGTTTCCTTCTGAAGAATTGTGTCAGAGCCCCCTTTATGTCTTTATTCCTCAGGCTGTAGATGAAGGGGTTCAGCATGGGGGTGACCACAGTGTACATCACCAAGGCTGCAGCACTTGAATGTGAGTTGCCAGTTGCAGCAGAACTAAGGTACACACCTAGGAGTGTACCATAAAATAAGGAGACAATTAAGATGTGAGATGCACAGGTGGAAAACGCCTTGTACTTCCCCTGAGCTGATGAGATTGCACGTATGGAGGAAACTATCTTAGAGTAAGAGTAAATAATTCCTGTGAGGGGACCACCGCCCAGCAGCATAGCTGCCAAATACATCACCACATCATTAAGGAAAGTGTCATAACAGGCAAGATGTATGACCTGATTAAGTTCGCAGAAAAAGTGGGGGATTTCCAAGTCTGTGCAGAAGGAAAGCCGCAGCACTATTAAGGTTTGTAATGAGGAATTCAGGGCACTCAGGATCCAGGATGCCAGAACCAGCAGTCCACACAGTCTGGGGTTAATGGTGACTGTGTAGTGCAGGGGGTGACAGATGGCCACATACCGGTCATAGGCCATCACAGTCAGCATAAAGATGTCCAATGCTGCAAAGAGTAGGCAATGGCCTATCTGGGTGATGCAGCCTGCAAAGGTGATGACTTTGCTGTGTGTCTGGATATTTACCAGCATCTTCGGGACAGTGGTAGACACAAAACAGATGTCTACAAAGGACAGGTTGGAGAGGAAGAAGTACATGGGAGTGTGGAGGTGGGAGTCTGAGATTGTGGCCAGGATGATGAGCAGGTTCCCGAGCACAGTGACCAGGTACATGGAAAGGAACAGCCCAAAGAGGAAGGGCTGCAATTCTGGTTCCTCTGAAAATCCCAGAAGAAGGAATTCTGAAATTTGTGTATCATTTCCTGCTTTCATCTGGTTGACGTTTCTACCAAAAAGAGAAAAGAACATGACACTCACATGCATTACAAACCTACCAGAAATGCTGTTACGGATATCCTACAGTGAAGAGGCTATGGTTTTTTATTTTTTAAAGTTGATTTTTTTTATGTCGGCAGATAAAATGGTGGGTTTTTATTGTGTCCACCATGATGTTTTGAAGTATGCTTATACTGTGAATGGCTAAATCTGACCAGTGATTATTTTAGTCATCATGTGTGATGAGAACATTTAACATTTACTATCTTTGGATTTTTCAAAAATTCAATGTATTACTATTAACTATATTATATCACCATTGATGGTTTTATGTACATGATTACATTACCATTAGAACCATGCTGTACAATAGATCTCTTGAACAAAATCTGTCTAGCTTAATTTTGTATCCTTTGACCAACATCTCCCCAGCTCTCCCCAGCAACCCTCCCATCCTCTGATAATCTCCATTCTACAAGAATTCAATCTTCCTGTCTGATTGTAATTTTGTGTCCTCTGATGTCCCCAACCCACCCTCCCAGCACCCTCAGCCTCTGGTAACCTCCATTCTACAGGAAGTTAATTGTGCGTATTTTGTGTGTGAATCTGGTGCCGATCAGGGGATTCTCTTGCTATCTCGGATTAGGAATTCCTGTCCCACTGTCAGCCTTTCCCTGAAGGCGTGTACTCTACAGTACTGATGAGAAAATCTTTCATGCATTTGAGGAATATAAAGTGAATTTTGATATGTTTCAGGCACTGCCTAGTAAATGAGTATGTGGGAAAATCTCTACAATCTGATGACTGAGAGAGAATAGAAGAAAAAAATGTAAATGCCATATATTATGTCAGATGGCAACAAATGCTACGATGAGGAAGAATGATGCTAAGAAAAAAGTGTAGATGGAGCATTATTATTGTTATTATGATTTCTGAGATGGAGTTTTGCTCTGCCACCCAGGCTGGAGTGCAGTGGCACAATCTCGGCTCACTGCAACCTCCGCCTCACCCTCCCAATGTGCTGGGGTTACAGGAGTGACCCACTGCACCTGGCCTATTACACTGAACTCTCTTCACCATTATATAAAAAAAATTCAAATGAGCAGGAACTTCACCTGCTCTGTTTATCTTTGTTTTTTTTCACTTAGGTACATTAATATGTGTAGAAGAATTACAAAAACATTAAAGCAAGAGGAAGTTATAAAATAAAAAGTGTCAGTGGAATAAAGCCAGAAAAATATAGTAAATTTAAAAACACTATCTTAAGTGAATTTGAGGGAGACATTGAAAATTAACTGAAAGAAGGTATAAAATAACAGTAATTTAATATCAGAACGGATGAATTATTTAATTGGCAAAGACCTACACAATGAATTATATTACATATAGTGTCACTAGAATGTTCTGGTATATGGCAGATACTCATCTGTTATTGAATGAATCAGAAACTAAGTATTAGTATATATGGACATTTAATGTATGACAAGGTTACATTGCAATTTAGTTGGAAAATGCTGAATTGTGGAACAAAAGCTGGTAAATGGCTATCTACCTGGAAGACAATGAAGTTTCTCCCCATCTCATATTTTACAAAAAATTAGTGGGTTTAAACACCTTATAAAGTAAATAATACATGTTAGCTGAACATGTAGAAAACCACATAGAAAATGACGTGTATGCAAAGCGTGCTAAGGCAAGAAACAGAAGATTATAGACATATATTTAGGTAAATAAAATTTACAGCTTTTTGTGCTGAAAAGTATTTCCTCAAATGTCAATGAAAAATCAGTAATCTGTAGAAATAATTTGAAATGGTGATAACTGGACAAATGGATATATGATAATAAACAAATCAAAATGGTGATTGTATGTAGGAATCTTTGCTCAAACCCAGTAATGGTTTAATACAAGACTCTCTATCACACCCATCAGCCTGGGGAAAAGCCTGAAGGGCAGCTGCCACGTTGAGTGGGGTTGGAACTTTTCAACAGGTAGGAAACAGGGACTCTGTCGTTTTGCCGGCAGAAGTGTAAAGTGTTACAGAATCTTGGGGAGGTAACCTAGAAGGAGATGTGAATATTAAAAACACAGATATTCATGAACTCCAAGTTTCTCAATCCAGCGCTAATGAAATTCGGGGCCAGATTATTTACTGAGGTGGGGTCTGCCCTGTGCATTGTATTATCATTTCCCTGTTATATTGTATTATAACAGCTTCCCTGTTCTCTATTCACCCTCCTCAAGGTGACAGCCAAACCTGTCATTGCTCAAAATTCCACGGGGGACAAAACTACCCGCAGTGAGGATCACTGCTTTAACATGAAAATCCTACAATATTTTCATATATTTATAAAAATATTTTAATATAAGTATTTATATACATAGTTATCTATCCCGCCACAGCTACTACTTTTTTTCTCTCTCCACTTATTTGCAAAATCCTTGGGCATATATTCTACTTTTACTGGAACCACTTTCTTCCTCCCGTTTCCTCATCAAATTGGGCCTCCGTGACCATTACTTAACTGTCAGGAATCACCCTTCTTGCTGAGTTCAATGTTCACTGCTCTTTTTAGCATCATAAACAATTACATGAATCAAATAGTTTATCAAGCAAGCAAGCCAACAACCAAAGCAATTTCTCTTCTCGGAGCTTGGCTGGGTTGGCTCTCAGATGACTTTGGGTCCATGTTTGTGGACTGCGTTCTCCCTAATCCTTTCCTACGGTACCTACTGGGCTCTTGGACTCACCTTGTTGGGTCTTCTGAGAGGAAGGCATCCATGTGGATGTGTGACTACCTCCCCTGGTGGATGATGGAGACTGAAGCTCTGTCCTGAGACAGTAGGAGACAGGAAAGGATCGGTAGCTGAGCCAGATCAAGGACTCCAAAGGAAACAACCATGTCTTATTGAGCCCAACATTGCATATACTGAGGAACAGCAGCAGAGGAGAAATTTACAGCTTTGTAAATCTGCTCATTAGGCACATTTCCTTTTGTTATTCCAACCTGATTACATCATTTTCCTTTGGGATTTTCCCCTGCTCTGAAAGAAATTTTTTTCTGCATGCTCTGTTCCCAAGACACCATATTGAATTTGAGGTTAAGGCAGGCTTCATTACTCCTTCTCCATGGACTTGATTGACTTCCAGAGACCTAACCTCCTAACACCTTAAACCAACCCTAAAGGAAGTTTTTTTCCAAAGTCTAAACTGAGGAACTTGTTTTGACTAGGTCTCTTGGGTCTCCAAGTATCTGACTTGTGATGTGAGCTCAGCCCTTGATACCTCCAGAAAATCGGTGTTCCCCTCTTCACAAGGGGTGAACTATGTTCTTCTGATAGAAAACCGTGGGTGCTACATCCTTAGGCTTCATGATGCTTTTACCAAAACAATAAGAAATTTTATACGTTTAAAACAGATCAAGAGCTGTCGTATCATTATTCATTTATAAAACATTTGGTTGCTATAAGAGATGTATTTGGATCTTTTTATGCAAGTTGCCTTGAGATTAGCACCTTATAAAATTATTTTAATTTTTCAAAATGTATTTATTATTTTTTTTAAAATTGATGAGTAAGTTGGTATGTATCACGTCTAAAAGAGTGTTTTGAGGTCTAGCTACAGTATGGAATGTTAAATTCAGATAATTAATATATGCTTTACCTCATATCATGTTCATTTTGAGAACACTTAACATCCCTTAGTATTTTTCCATGATACGATATATTATCATTAAGTATGAAGTATTCATGTTGTACTCTGTATCTTATGAGGTTATTCCTTCTAACTTCAATTTAGTATCCTTTGAAAAACGTCTCCCCACCCCTCCTTCCACAACTGTCCCAGCTTCTGGTAGTTACTATTTTATTCGCTAATTTTATGAGATCAATTCCTCTGTAAATGATGTCAAGTGGTATTTGTCTTTCTGTATCTGGCTTATTTCACTTAACACGATGTCCTTCAGGTTCATTCGTTTTGTTACAGATCACAGGATTTCCTTCTTGTATATGGCTGAATATTTTTCCATTGTGTAGATGTACCACATATAAAATTTCATTCATCCATGGATGGACACTTAGACTAATTTCATGTCTTGGTTATTGTGAATGGTGCTGTAATAAATGTGAGTGTGCAGATATCTCTTTGATATACTGTTGTCATATACTTTGGATAAATACCAGTAGTAGCATTGCTGAATCATGTTCTAGTTCTATCTTTACTTTTTTTAGGAACCTCTGTACTGTTTTTCATATTGGTTGTACTCATTTACATTCCACTAACAATATGCAATATTTTATCTTTCTCCACATTCTTGTCAGCCATTGTTATTATTCTTTCTGGTTTTTTTTTTGGATGGAGTTTCGCTCTTGTCGCTCAGGCTGGAGTGCAGTGGGGCAATCTTGGCTCACTGAAACCTCCACCTCGTGGGTTCAAGTGATTCTCCAGCCTCAGCCTCTGGAGTAGGTGGGATTATTATTCTTTTCCTGTCTTTTTGATAATAGCCATTCTAATGAGATGAGGTGGTATCTCATTGTGGCTTTGATGTGCATTTTCTTGGTGATTAGTGATTTTGAGCACTTTTCATGTATTTTTGGCTATTTGTATGTTTTATTTGAAAAAAATATCTCCTCAGGTCTTTTGCCCATTTATTATTTTTTTTGCTTGAGTTTTTATTTGTTTCTTGCTATTGAGTTTTTCATATATTCTGAATGTTCCCTTTTTGAATATATAGTTTGGAAATATTTTCTCCCATTCTGAAGCTTGTTTCTTCAACCTGTCAGTCATTGTATTTGCTGTGCACAAGCTTTTCAGTTTGATGTCACCCCATTTGTCTATTTGTATTTTTGTTATCTGTGTTTTGAGGTCTTATTCAAACATCATTGCCTACACCAATTTCATGAAGGATTTCCCATTACGATAGCAAAGACATGGAATCAACTTGAATGTCCATCAATGGTAGACTGAATAAAGAAGATGTAGTACCTATACAACATGG